CATTATTTCAGCATCCATCCCATCCACATTAGTTAGGGCTCTCACTGTTCTCGGATGCCCACATTTTGGATTATCGGTCTCTGTTCCCCTTTCAGATTTGAACCGCTTGTACCACTCATACACTCTAGAGGTTACCATCATTGAGTCCCCATGTGCATTCGTTAGGAGTTTAATTGTGTCTGCTGCAGAAAACTGTTATTCACACATGTCTTGTCACAGATTGTAGTGCGTTTCCTAAGTCGAAGGTTTCCTTTGCTAATGACTTTTTCACTTTTCAAGATGGTCGCTCGTCCAAAATGACCTGTGTTTATTCTCCTATGTGACTCATGACATGACAGGTGTTTATATTGTGATGTTATCAAAAGTGATGACATTCTTTTACTTTCTTGGAATCCACCTTCATTTTTGTTTAATTACTGACAAGTTTGATCCAACTCTGACAACCTAATACTTAATCACGCTTCTTACAAAAAAACTATTTTTACAAATATTTCATATATTTTGCGCGTTGTTACACCTGCTCCACCTACCCTACCCCTAGGTTACTATAGCAACCATATTATTAAGACTACTGAACTTCACGATATGAAACTTTACCAACTTATTCAAAACATGTTTGGAAACATTGTGTCAAAAATTCAGTTAGATTGAAAAGAAAACCAATAAAACACAGCATCATTCCTAAAACATATGGAACACCCTGTATTTCACCAAATTTTCTGTTTTTAGATTACCAAAACCACAAAACCAACATGCTTATGGTTAATATACATAATACTTAACATTACATGCATATCAGACGTTCCAACTCCCCTTCAGTATCGAGTAAGAAGGATGTTATGAAAACAATTTATGATCAGCCAAGTGGGTGATTTTACCATGTGGATTCTAATGATATGTTCTTTGCATTTCAGAGTGGTTGGGTTTACATGATTTTACTGTCCTTCATTACGAACTCCTAAATTTCAAATCATTATAAACCACCTTGTAGAACATCATGAAGAAGAAGAGATGAAGATGAGAAAGATTACTGAAAATAGAGGCAAATCTAGAATGATAACAAGAAATTTCTCTGGAATAATACCAAATGAAGTGAAATCAATAAATAAACACATACTTGTAGAAAGTGATGAATTCATGACAATTTCAGTGATTGACAATAATCGAATGAAATCATCCAGAATCTCTGATTCAACAACTGCTAAAAAATCAAATAAAATTACCAATGAAATTGCAATAGAACGAGAATATCAATTAGTAATGAAATGACAATAAATGATTCTGAAATTACAATAGACTCTCATTCTCCAATAGTGTCCACCAGTTAATCTGAGATGATACCCCTCTGAGCAAAGCCTAAACTGGAACTTTTACTCGGTCCCATCGATCCACATAACTCTGTCATTAGAGATAATAGCATGGTATTTATTTCACATTTTGTAGAGTTTCTCTAAAAACGCTCACTGGTCGTTTATTTTGCATTCGATTACATACAATTCTAAAATTCTCAAGCTAATCACTTATAGACCTTAGTTGAAAATTGATCAATAAATCTACTGAATATTGACTACCTTAGAGGAGTTTTCCCTTATACCTGTCATTTATATATGACCCAAGTTAGCCACCTCGTGGTGAAACTGGGAACTGACTACTGGCATCTACTGAAGGTTATTACGTCATTACATTACTTATTGATACCTTGCTGCAAAAGAATGATTTAACTCCCCAATGAAATAGATAATGTACAATTCAGATTTTATATTTTATTACAATTACAATTACATTACAATTCGACAATCATCTTGGATGCCAAGGTGTATAGTTCTCATACCTTGGGATCAGAGGCGTAAAATAAATGGACTAAAATGGAACTTAAAAAACGGTTCCACTTGTAAGGTGTTACGCTTCAAGAGGTGTTTCACTTAGCAGGTTCTAGAGGTTCAGTGTATATATCATTTAATGGTAATGTATTCAAATCTAGGCAGAAAAACAAAATGGACACACACACAGTGACCATTTAATTGACTGAATCAGTTTGGACATACATTTTGCGAGATCCCCATTTTCTTCTCTTGAAAAGCATATAGATATGGGTGTATGGTTTGCTGAAACTCACGCTATTGGCTGATCCATTCGTTTCTGTGTTAAAATATTTATTCCATGTTATTGAAGGGGAAACGTGAATTTCATCATGGTCAAATGGAAGTCCAAGACCCTACCTAAGTATAAAAAATTAAAGAGGTAAAAATGTTCTATTGTTTTTGATATTTTCAAGCTTTTTAAATAAAATAACACATATTGTATCGCATTTATATCTTTAAATTGTAAAATCAATAACATATACGAAAAATGGTCAAACTAATATATATTTCTCAAAGCATATGGGTGTTCTTGTGCCTACAAAACCTAATTGAATTACCAGTAGCCTGTAATATAAACACAAATAAATCTTTTAAAAGTAACCGTTACAAAATATTTGAATTTTGCGCATCTTGTCGAGTCTTTGATCACGCACTTTTAATAGTAGGCGATCACTGTATATACAATGCATCTGTCATTTCTCTGGAATGATGTACACTTTCCTCCAAAAGATTGAAAACAATTGTAGTACAGTAAAACCTGTATATCTGAACACTTGGCTAATCCAAACACCTCCCAATTTGAACATTTTTTGGTCCCGTTTTTTCTCCCATTGACTCAAATGTTTAAAAAACTTGAAATATGAGCATCTCCCAATTTTGACAGTGAACAGTCATGTTTGAAAATTAACCTATCTAATCTGAACACATAAAATATCACATGTTCCATAAATTGATCAAATATTTGAAAAAAACTTGAACGATCTCACTCATGGTGGGGCTTTCTAGGATGACTAAATTCATTTGAATCAGATTTTCATGTCACTCTAATGCCAAAGCTAAGTAGTCAAAAGAACTATAATATTTATTGAGAATTTCTTTCTATTTCTTCAAAAACCCAAATCTTGCAAATGCAAAACCTCAAAATGTGAACACCTCCTTATCCGAACGCTCTGAGCTGGTCCCTTGGATTAGACAGATTTTACTGTAGGTACAATCCCCTCTAAAAGTTACTGAAATCACTGGCTGGGAATTGGTGTTTGCTTACACACAGGTGTTCAATAGAGTATACTCATATGTTCGCTGGGCACAGTATTTCACTAAAGAGATGTTCATTATGACAGTTTTACTGTACTGGAAATTGGTGTTCACTATACACAGGTGTTCAATAGAGTAGACGCATGTTTTCACTGGGCACAGATCTTCACTAAAGGGAGGTGTTCATTAGGATATTTTTACTGTACTGAACTCACTGGCTGGGACGGAATCGGTGTTCACTATAATATACACAGGTGTTCAATAGAGTAGAGGCATGTCACTGGGCACAGATCTTCACTAAAGAGGTGTTCACTATGACAGTTTTACTGTACTGAAATCAATCACTGGGAATTCACTATATACAAAATTAAAATCTGTGTATCATGCCACCCCTGCAAAATAATTGACTTGCCCACTTGCAGGCCTGTCAACTGTCCCGCAATTTGCGTATTTGTCACGCATTTGCTGAAGAATTTGAAGTCACGCCAGTTATTTTTGCGTGACAGAAAATGTCACGCAAATACGCATTTTACCTGGTAAATATACAAAATACAAAAATATTTCTGTAGAAAAATTTCTAAAAAAGATTGTCTACACAGGAAAAATAGAACGTGGGAAAAAAATACGCATTTCGTTCGTACTTTTCACGCGAATTACGTATATGTCACGCATTCAGTTCGAAATTTTTCGTACCTACCTATGGATCGAGTAACTTCAATAGTATTACCGTAGGTTTGAAATGACGATGTTGAACTGATGTAAACGCCATTCCCACGATTTCAAATTTAACTCTGCGCATGCGCAGCACTGAGAGAGCATGTGCCCATGATTGTTCACGTGATCGAATCCTGCAATTTGATTGGAGATGAAAAAAGCACTTGGTGAAAAATGTGTATACCCTCTGGGAGCCACCAGCATGCATTTTCTTGGTGTTGTATTCTCTAAACTACCCTCTCTCTCTTCCGAAAACCTCTTTTGTGAAAAACTTAACCTCTTAAACCACTTCAACCTTTTGAAGAATTTTCTGAAAATGCTCAATGTATTTGTGAATATTATCATCTAAATTGAGTTTACATAAAATCCATGTACATAAAACAGGACTCTATTCCGAGATTGGTGTATATTATAAATATAAAACAGTTATGTTCATGACTGCAAGAAAATATATCAGTGAAAAGTCTTTCAGTCGGTGGCCTTGGGTTGCACTTTAATGAAAAGAAGTTTGATTATTATTATATCACGGTCACATTCCCAACTCTCTCATTTGTCTCTTTACATGTGACCAAAGAATGAGAAGACATATTCATTGGCCAAGGACCTTGACGTCAGTAAAAGGCAAAACTAACACACCTACAGGGCATTGTCATGAATTTTAACTCGCTTTGTTCTGTACACAGGTTAACCTACTCCAAAATTCTTGTCGTCATCATCTCATGTGTATATATTGTACAAAAGTTACACATTTAAGAAGTAAAGACGAGGACCAGTTGACCTTAACTACTAGTAAAGATCAAAACTATACATGAAGGTAACTTGATATTTCAATTGGAGAATATTTATGTTACAACTGAATTCAATGTCTTGATTAACCTTATCTGTTCATTTCATGGAACATGTCCTTTAAACCATTTTAAGTGGTTTCCAAGACATTACTGGCGACCCTTTATTTTTTATGGAGGTAATAAAACTTAAAATTTTCCATTACATTGACATGTTATATAAAACATTGTTAAATGACAAAAAACATATGCTGCACACCTACCATCAACCATGTAGCACTTACTATACAGTGGCAGAGCTATAAATACATTTTGTTTTAAATTTTTAGTATTGCTGAGAGCATCAATGTGTTTGTTCACTATATTCTAAGGTATCCACACCTACCCAAAAGACCTGAATCTCTCTCTAACATCCTCATTTTGAAGTACTCTGGTCCTCTGTTGAGAATTTTGAGAGGTGATGCGAGGCTATGTTCCTCACATGTTGTCTGGTCAATTTCCACAGACATGGCACTCCTCTATTGCTGTATGTTATTTGTAGGTTCCTTCAATGTAATGCCTGCATCACATCTGGTGACAGCTTGTACTCTAAAAATACACAAGTTGGTAAAACATATCAACTGAATTTCAATTCAGTTGACTAACCTGGATCATAGCCATACATGTACTTAGATGGTTAACGTATACATAATTGTTCATAAAGATATAATACTATACTGTGCTTAGTCAAGGAAACAGATGCTTACATCATAGGACATTTCAGAAATACTTTTCTTAGCCATGTACATGGACCATCAATAGGTTATGAGACTCCATAGGTTATGAAAAAAGCCTCTAAAATGAAGTTTTGTGATTTTCAAAGTTTCACAGAAGGTGTTCATAACCGCATATATGGGAATTTCAAATTTCACTGACTTTCTTGTTTATGTTATACCATTTTATCCTTGTATTTTCTAAATAAACTCAGTTGAAAACGGCTGCATATTAATTCCTTTCAAAATGTTGAATGTGACACATACACTGAAAACATCAGATGACATGATCTCACATCTTAGCATTTTTCTATTCATTTTTGGCAACAACTGAACAATGCAGTGACAATGTGCAATGACACATGTAATATATGTGTGTAAATTCATGCAACTATTTTCCTAAACATGACTGGGAACACTATACACTCTCAACAAAGTTCCAGTCTGATAACCTGAAAAACATGAGTGGCCTGAAGAATTAGTACACATTCTTTGTATCCCAAATATGGGACCGTCAGGTGAAATAATGATTTTTCAAGACAGTAAAACCTGTGTAAGTAGAATACCTTTGGTTCTGTCAAAATGTGTTCCACTTGCAAGGTGTTCCACATACAGAGATATTCCATTTAGCAGGTTCTACTGTACTGCATAACCCTTTAGAATGGACATTGCAGGAAAGACACTGTATTTCATAAGGGAGTCTAACATGCATGTTTAATCAGCTATTACATTTGCTAATGAAATTAAATCATTAAATTCTCTAAATGAATGACTCTTCACACCTGGAATGTGTCTTCATAAATTGTTAATAAGAATCACAAGGCGCCATCACATATGCTGTCCATTGATTGAGATTCCCATTGATTAAGTATATAAGAGGCATAAGAGCATAGTATATTCATGAATTAAAATATGAACAATACTTGTATATGCTATCTACCTTAGTGACTAATATGTCATGATATGACATCTAAAGAGTCAATAAAAGATATATATATATATCTAAAAATAATTCTATCTAGGCAGAATGAGAAACATTCATACCATGTATAATGTTTATGTTAGTCAACTCTATTCTACCCTAGCTGTGTATATGTTTGATTAATTTATCAAACCTATTGTGACAGTTTATCGCCAAATTAATTTCTGTAATTGTTTATTGATCTGATTATTGTTTTCGCCTTTTAGTATTCACACGTTTCATTTTATGAATTATATGAAATCTACATGATAACCTATATTCTGTAGTGAAATAAAATACTTGAGTTGTCAAGTATGTATATATGTCATTGAGATCAAAACATTTTTACTTTCAGAACACCCTACATGTATATTGAAATATCAGGTACACAGCCTTGTATGTATGCAAGTCATGCCCAAAGGCATCATTAGATGAGACCTTATAATAGTCGTTTTAATGTGAAGTTACCTAGTACGTCATGTAGTCGTAAAATAGTAAGTCTGATAGTAATAGGGAAGTCAAGAATAGGTATAAATACATATGATTGGTTTATAACACCTTATAATGTATTAAATAACAAATTATAATGATCAAGGTAATTTAAATAGCACCCTATAATGTAAGGTAAAAATAAATATAAAATATGAGGGAAGGAAAACCCATGAAGACCTCATAGACCCCCTCCCTCTTGATTAAGCCTATATGTGAGTCATGGCGCTATCCCACCATGGGAATGCAGAGTTGCAATGATAGTGTGCATGTATATTCAACCTAGAAGATTAAACAAAATATGAATCCTAATGCAACAATAGAATAGATACATATCCAAGAGACACCATAAAGAATAATCCTATATACTGCAATTAATCTCTATATCAAGCATATTACGCTGATTTGGCTGAATCATAATATATTGTTTTGTTTTACATTGTATTATGATAACTAAGTATAGTTAAGTGTAGTGTAGTGAATTAATTTTATTTTTGTAGAGACTAATGTCTCAAATTAAGACATCTAAAGAGTCAATATAGATAAATATTTTACTTCCCTCCCCTTCCCTTCCCTCCCCTCCTCCTCTTTATCTCCTCTTATACAACACCATATGAACAAAATCCTATAATAATATGGAAGAACAGATAAGATAACATGCTAAATCACTTTTCGATTTATCTTATTTGATTTTGCTCGGTATAAATATCAAAATGGCATATCCCATTTCTAAAAAATGAAATTATCAAATGTACAATATGTACAAAATGACCATTTTGACGTCCCAAATAATGGCCATACCAATTAATAAAAATTCAAAATACTATGAATTAAGAGATGACTAGTTATCCAGTATGTTTTCATTCACAGAAACAAGAAAATGAAACGATATAAATACTTCACCAGTTGAATTCTCCTGGATGCGGATTCTCTTCTAGCTTGTACTAGTGTTGCATAATATTGCTTTTTATCCTGTTTTAGCTTCGAAATAAAAAATCCTATCTCAACTTGTCATCATTCTCATTGGAGATCAACATGTGTGTTTGCTATTATCCCTTTTTATGAGGAACTAAATTGCCTTTCCTTTTAGGGTTAATACATTATTTGGTGACTCACTGTCAAGGGATATAGATCAATCCCAGAGCAAATGTATTTATTTCATGAACCTATATTGCCTATCATTTTACTGGATATATCTGTCTTCACTTCACTTTAATTAACATTACAGCACTTTATCTGACTCTCTGATATCATAAGCATAACCTATTAGTCATTACAATTTATGCTGAATTAAAATGAGACTAAACTAACTATTGAATACAAAAATACAATGTACATGTAGTTGTAAAATACAAGTACAGCATGACGAAAATGTAAATTACAAAAATTCAAGATAGTTACAAATACAGTGTGACAAAATCTGAAAAATATCAGTGTGATGTATGATCATCATTTAATATGAATCTAATTTGAAAGGATAAATGAACCTTGCTACATAATATACAAACCACCCTATAGAATACATTATTACATTATAGAATGCATCATGATAAATCATGACATCTCATTTCTTTTCAGCCCTGAGATGATCATGTTTTATATGAAACAGAAAGATGCTCTGAGTATCAGAATGCCTTATTTGAGAGAATAGGAAGGCGGGAGACCTTGAACATTGTATTCCTTGCAAGAATTCAAGTAAATTAAAACATATACTGCGTATACACTATACAAGTATTGAATATATGAGCAGAAATGTTGTATTAATCCTACCTTGTTATCCTGAACTTTTCTGGATATGACTTATCACACTGTATGACAGAGCTACAGTATATGATCAATTTAAGTTAAAGATAAGATAGAACTATAGCAGACTAAACAGAACATAGAAAGTTAGGTTTATGGTTTAGGTTTATTGCTGATTGGCTATTGTTGTTAATAAGTAGACCCATTGTTTTGTGATAAGAATAATTACTGAACTAAACGCAAGTCATTCCAATCTCAAAAGGATAAGGGGATGTATAAGTATGTCATATATTCCACATGTAGGGAAAACATGATTACTTGCTTGACCCCCCCCCCCTTCCCTATCTCATCAATTTCCATAACTTCCAAGGATCAGTGATGTTTGCTCTATGGGTTTATCACTGATAAAACAGTGATATGATTAATAATTAATAATTCAGTTGTTAGCCTAGGCTCAACTGCTTTCATTTAGACTCAATAAAATTCACTGATAAAGGGATAAGCTCCCCTGAGTCAGTCTGTATTAATAAACCTGTTGTTCAGATATATCAATTGACAAATGAATTTTATTTTTATTTGACATTCTTGAGCACTTTGTAGAGTCATTTTTAAATGTTTGTTTGGTTCTATAAAATGTCATTTTGACATGTTATTGGAATTTTATCACTCTGACCTGAAATAGCAGGAACATCATACCACCTCTCATGTCTAGGAATGAGACTTTGAATGTATATACATACAAGAACACAAATGTGTACAAAATGTCCCCACCTATGGGTGATCCCATCAAATGATTATCCTAAAAATGAGTAGACGAGACTTTACCGACACAATTTGAGAACGGAATATCAAAAATGGCCACCTTAAAATTTACCCAGAATGCCAAAAATTAGTCAGTTCTAGATTTTCATACTAAGAACCACCCCTGAAAATTTGAAATTGATCCCTCACACAGTTAACCAGAAAACATGTAAACAAGGCTTTACAAACAAGATTTTGGGACGGAAAATCCAAATTGGCTGCCTTGACATTTATCCAGAATGCCAAAAAACTAATCTCTTCTAGATTTTCATACTAAGAATCATCCCTGAAAATTTGAAATTGATCTACCAAATGGTTCACCTAATGCGTAGACAAAACTTAACAGACAAGATTTTAGGACAGAAAATCCAAAATGGCTGCCTTGACATTTACCCAGAATGCCCAAAAACTAATCAGATCTAGATTTTCATACTAAGAATCATCCCTAAAAATTTGAAATTGATCTACCAAATGGTTCACCTAAAAGCGCATAGACAACCCAATTGAAAAATAAAACTAATTACCAACTTATTACCAACTAATTTACAACTAATTATCAACAATTCTGCTGGCAATTGGAATTAAAGTTAAGCGTTAATTAAATCAATGATAATTATGGCCTAATTATCAGTAGCAAGTTCAATGTAAATTAACTTACAATAATGCTGATTTATGATTTTTAGTTGATAATTAAGATATGAAATGTTTGAGGGTGATAGTAAGTGGTAAATTAAAACGTTTTTGTTCTGAAGTAGATTATTGGTTGATAGTTAACATATAGGATGATTATAATGATAATTAGTTGTAAATTAGGCCCATGATTTAGAAATACAAACCCCCTAAATTTAATTTCAAGATGGTGGAAAAAGAAAACATGTGAGAGATATTTCTCTCATAAAATTGAGAATTACAACGTGAATGGTGCGTGTACTACCATGAAATTTGGTCAACATTATTATAAGGGTATGTAGAACATGAATACAATGTATGTTAAATCTTATTCACACTTCTGTCTGAAATGTTTATGAATTTAAAAATCTTTTTGAATCAGATCATATAATATTAATCCTAGAATGCAATTTAGGTACTAACATGGGTTACCTATATTTCACAAGTAATCCAAATGTGCTCTTCTAAATAGTGATTGTTAGATCAAAGACATTTCAAAGCATATTTTTGATTATATCTGTTACGTCCTTATTATGTAACATTATAGTCTAATGTTTGTGTTCTGATTTTAGTTGTTGATGGCAATAATGATGTTTTCACATGCTTTTCATGAATCTTAAAAATTTGCAAAATAGAATAGCTTTAAAAAAGAGGGGGAGAAACCCCAGGGTTCAAAGATGACATACGCTTATAATATAAATCTGTATTGAGATGACATCGTCGCTGATTGGTTTAGCGAGTCGAGCGTTGATTGGTTTAAAACTAGGTCAATTTGAAAACTTTAAAAATCAAGATGGAGGGTACGTTTTCGACAAAAGGTGTGCAAAGGAGCAAATCGTATGTCATCAATTGAATCATGGGGTTTTCCCTCCTCTTGCTGTGAAATTTCAATAGTTCAAGTTCAATGTTGTCTGTTCTGAAAGATCCTAATTAAGATGAATATTCCGTCACAAAATAGTTCAAGATGAAGCAAAAATCTCTGAGTGAAGGGAAGCAAAAAAAGAAGCGAGTCATTTTTGAGATGTCACAAATCTGACTTAAACCTAACTTTCAACTAATTATCAATAGTAAGTTAGGTGATAATTAGAGATTAACTTACATCAAACTTACAACTAACTTTCAACTAATTTACGTAAATAGCTCATTTGCATATTGATGGTAGTTAATCGTTAATTAAGTTGCAAATTAAGCGTTAATTAAGTTGATAATTAGCTCATTTGCATGTGAATTTTTACACCTAATTTTCAACCAATTATCAATAGTAAGTTAGGTGATAATTGGAGATGATTTTCCATAGGCTTTTTTCAATTGGGAAGACTTTACAGACAAGATTTTAGGACAGAAAATCCAAAATGGCTGCCTGGACATTTATCCAGAATGCCAAGAAACTAATAAGATCTAGATTTTCATACTAAGAATCATCCCTGAAAATTTGAAATTGATCTACCGAACAGTTCACCTGGAAATGAGTAGACAAGACTTTACAGACAAGATTTTAGGACGGAAAATCCAAAATGGCTGCCTTGACATTTCCCAGAATGCCCAAAAACTAATCAGATCTAGATTTTCATACTAAGAATCATCCCTGAAAATTTGAAATTGATCTACCAAACGGTTCACCTGAAAATGCGAAGACAAGACTTTACAGACAAGATTTTAGGATGGAAAATCCAAAATGGCCGACAATAAAAAAGTGATTATGAGTTTTTGCTGATTTCTTTTTGCAAAATTATCACATATAACTACTGTTAACAATAACATAGGCTTTTACAACAAAGTACACCTGGAATTATTTATAAAGCTACAAAATAGTTAAAGTATGAAAACTGAAAAACACCATTCAATATGATACAAAGTATTATCGCGTGCTAACTTTTCTTAAAACATTCAAAATGGCTGACATGACTGAGCTAACAGGTCCAAAACCTAATCAGATCTAGAATGAAGTGAGCTGAACAAGATGTTAAAGTTTCAAAAGCAACTGTGAAGCCATTTTTCTTAAAGTTTGCAGACAAGGATTTTAGCATTTGAATTCAAAATGGCCGACAGGAAGTAGGTATCGATTCAATTTTTTTTCATCCACATCTAGATGCACTCCTAAGATCCCTGAAAATTTGAAGGTGATATCTGTAGCGGTTTTGGAGAAAACTGCCGGACGTACGGACGGACGGACAGATGGACAGACAGACGCGCCTAGGCCGACAATATGGCCCCACACTATGTGGTGGGGACATAATATAGTTTTTTAGAGTGTTTGTTTTACATAGTTATTGTGCTACTTTCTGAATTTTCTTTAAAGATTTACAATTTTTCAAATATTTGTAGTAAAATATTGGTCTTATTTTGTTACATCCATTTGCCATAAAGTGTCCCAGAAATTCTCTGACCAAGCTACATGTTTTTTTTGAATCAAGGTTTTTTTTAAATCAAGGTTTTCAACCCAAAAATAAACCTTTTCACCTTTAACTCTATCATCAGGCCCGTTGACAAGATTTTCCAAGGGGAGTTCACTTTTTAAAAATTTCCAGGGGGGTTCACTTTTGACAACTTTGCCCCAAACATGGCCAATATCACTTGAAAAGTGCTCAAAATGGTGAAAAACTATATGATTTGGAAAGAATTTTTGGCAAGGGGGTTTGCTCAACCCTTCCCTCATCATTTTGAAAAATATGTGCATGTTCAACTCACCAAATACCAGCGACTAGTTGTCAACTTATGATTCAAAGAGTGGATTAGCCCAGTAAAAGCCTAACCCATTGTAGAGTTAATGAATGAGGTTCTTCATAATTCTGAAAATAAATGTTGTCATACTTAAGATCATAGGTTTTGAATCAGCTTTACATATGATATGTTTTACCTGTAATATATATCAAGTTCTGATGATGAATTGCGGCTGTTCAATCAATATAACCTACTCCTTTAATTTTGGAATATATATACTGTGTATAGTATAGTATAAAATAAGTGTTGGCATACTGAAAAAGTATAAAGTGAAACCTTTAAAGTGGAACACCTCTACAAGTGGACGACCTTTGTTATTGGATCACTTTTCAGAGTCCCAAGGCCTTAATGTTAATTGGATCTCTATGAGTGGAACACCTCCCAAGTGGAACACTTTTAGAGGTACCAAAGGTGTTCTACTTAGACAAGTTTTAAAGTATTGGCAGCAATTTACATGAAAATCTGATTAATTATACATGTATAATCAGATTCATAAAGTGATCCTATCAACTCACCCTATAAAGCTTAAGGGCAGCTGCTGGTTCCTGATTTCATTGTCATGGTTTGGTTATCTATTTCTTTAAAAGTATACATGTCAATATAAAATCTTGAAAAAAGGGGTGGGAATAATAAAATGTCACAAAAAGTGAACTTAGAAGCATGAACACTTTTCATCACCCTATTTTTGATGTTCCATATTTCACATTTCACATGGAACCTCTTTTGAAGTTCGCTAGTTTCAACAGAACTCGAATTTTGGCCTTATTACGAATTCAAGACATTTGTACTTAATTACTGACTTACTTTATTGATGTACTTCATTGCATGACCACACCATTACAAACTTAAATGCTGTGACAATATTCAATATATGCAGAGAGCAAATAATTTATTGTACTTAATAGTGACTAGCTGCTATAATGAATCCTCTATGATATTGATCTTTGTGTAATGGATACTATATATTTGTCTTAAAATTGGTGCTATCAATTTGTTGTTCTTTTGGATTTTGCCATCGCGATTAGGTTATCTATAGGTTATACCAAGTGCGGAAACTTAAGGTTTGAAAAAAAAATTTCCTTTGCCTTGTTATGTTTACACGATTCTCCTAGTACCACGCGGTAGTATCTCTTCGGGACGTATCGAAACCACTCCGTCCCGAAAAACCGTTAATTTGAATTTAAAACCTACCCCAGTGTTTGAAAATCAAGGATTGTGAGTCTCACACTTCACCGTTTTTCTTCAAACTTGTTCCGTACAAAGCTTCACAGAAATACCTTTCAGTCGATACATTGTTTTCGTGTACAAAGTACCTCGTTTTAGCGGCGTTTTGGTCCCCAGCTGTGAGATAAAGCAAATTTTCATAACTTTCAACTGTAAGTCAAGTTATCTCGCCAGTCTTTTACCCATTCTCGCTCATAATTTCAGAATGGACTCCCATTACAACCTTCCATCGCTACGTTTTGATTTTTGGGCATCAAACGCAGCAGTTTCTAAATCATCCACACATCTCTTAAAATTTGACTAATACGTCCCGTCACCTTCCACTACGCCCCGCCGAGTCTATGACTACAAACGTGGAGTTGTATTCTAAAACATTTTGTTCATCATTTGATAGGACCACCTACGCTTTTACACCGGTGTAAAAGGGTAGGTGGTCCTCTCAAATTATGGTCCTAGTCTCTATTGATTTATATGGTGACCTAATTACAACTATTTTCCTTATTATTTATACACAATCAGGGCCAGTAAAGGCCGTTGGGAAAGGGGACCATAATCCCCAGAGGACCATAATTTCTTTCACTCCGGTGTAAAAGCGTAGGTGGTCCTATCAAATTATGGTCCTACTCTCTATTGATTTATATGGTGACCTAATTACAAATATTTTCCTTATTATTTATACACAATCGGGGCCAGTAAGGGCCGTTAAGAAAGGGGACCATAATCCCCAGGGGACCATAATTTCTTTTACACCGGTACATTTCACTGATTCAATTTTCACTGATTGCACTGGACGAAATTAATTGAACTCTTCAATGGGAAGGTAGCATACTTCATTTTACCGCCATTATGAGGAAGCAGAGACATTTTATATGTCTCTGAGTTAATGGTAAGAACAAACGCTTCACACGGGTGATTAAACATTAGCATGGCAGTTGTTGTCACCAATCGGTGTAGGTGATCAAAGTAACTCGATCACATAGGCTTCGATTCGCACGTCAATATTTTATTCGTGGTTTACATTATACGTTTACAGTATGTCAAATCTCAACCTGCACACGTGTATCCTCTGAATTAACATGATGTAAGATTCCACGCCTGTAGCCAGGATTTGCCAAGGGGTTCACAAATTTTTAAGAAATTACAGGGTGGGGGTTCACTTTTGACATTTTTTGCCCAAAATGGGCTTAGAATGGTGAAAAACTGCATAATTTTGAAAATACTTTTAGTAGGGAGGGGGGGGGTCCGAGCGACGGGCCTGGATTCCTCGCAAAAGTACAGGGTGACCGGAAAAAAAGGAGACTGTAGAAATAGGCAATATCTCCTAAACTAGATAAGTGACATCAATGAAATTTTGCACAAACCAGAACTGTTCTATGGAAATTTGTTCCTGAAAGTTTCAATACAAACAGTTAACTGGTTCAGGAGCTGTGATCATTTACAATACATGCCCCATTTAGCCGCAATTGAGACCCAGGCAGAGCTGGATTAATATGGCAAAATACCCTTACACATTCAGCCCTTGTTATGGCATTACATTTAGCAGTGATTGCCTTCATTAGCATGCTTAGGTCAGCAATTGTCTGAGGATTGTTTTGGTATACACTTTCTTTCAAATATCCCCACAAAAAGAAATCAGATGGATTCAAGTTTAGTTTGGGGTATACATAGACGAAGGGATATCTAAACTTTGGTGTATGACTCAGTGGCACTTATCTACATAACCTGCGGGGGAAATACTTATAAAATTGACGGAAATATAACTTGACTTTATTCCCAATACCTCCAAATTTTCTTGATGTTTTTCCTCAATTACAATAGATCGGAAATGGATGATAAATCTGATGAATTTTTGAAAATCGACATTCCCATGTAAACCTATGAGAATTGATATGTTTGTCGCATGTCATACGACAGAATATCCATCAATCTGAGTACTAGCAAAAAGTACAAGTGTACAGTAGACAGCTGAATTTGCTATCTTTATTTAACAAAAAGTTGATACGTGTCTTCAGGTTCAACAAAGTTATAGGTTAGGGTTGTCCAAATCTGCAAAATTTTCCAAAAATCTGTCATCTGATAGATTCTAGTTACAAATTGACTCTTGGACAAATAGTTCCACTCTAGACCCCTGGGAAATTTTGCCACGCATCTCACTTGAAGTTTTGGTAATTTTGACAAATATGCCGTTTTCATAAATGGTTTATTACTCAAAATTAAACTGTTGTATTTCAGGAATATGTATTTTTTCTTCATCATGTATGATTTTCAATAACCCTACAGGCACCACTTTTTATTAGCTAAATCCATCGGGAAACTTTGCCACGCTTAATTTCAAAATAACGGAGATGTTATTAAAATTGAGCAATATTGGCACAAAAACGTTTCTGGATTCATATAAAGAATGCATCATCATACAACACTAACTGGTATATAAACAACATCTACTGACATGGTCTGATAATGTAATATAAAGATTTTAACTGTTGTGTGTCAACCTTTCTTCTGTATGATTCCATTGGATTACATTATGAAACGTGTACCATATAAAATGATACATGTTTCTAACGTTATGCTGAAAATAATATAATTGACATCACCCATCCTTTCACATTTCAACATTTTTTCAAGGATAGGGCACTTTAAACGTTTCTTAAAAATATTTTCAATTGTTCAGTAATTAAAATCTTTATATTGCAATATCGGGAAATCAAAATTTTAGGGAGATTTTGGACCACCCTATTATAGGTATATTGAAAATGGACAAGAATGGGTGAATCTTAAAACACAATCCGATTGGTATTTAGAATCGACAATGGAGAGGTTAAGCAAATACGGTTTTTCAAAACGTATACGTAAACGCAAAGTACATTGAATCAACATAGGATTGTATCGCTTTAGTCTACTTCAGATACCCGTTCAACTTCAAAGTTGCGTGTTTAGAACGGGAGATTTTACAATTTCACGTTGCTATCAACGGGAGTCATTATACTCATGTCTGTTGAATACTATCATTGCAATTTTGATTTCGATGCAGAGTATAATTCTTTCTGAAGAAGATGATGTATGTTACGCATGATTTAACTCCAATAATCTTACGAAACGAGCTCGTTTAAAACATGTATTAGAAAACCAGCTATTGAACTTCATCAATGGCATACTATGTAATCATTACAAGCTATGGTGTAGTCTAAACAAACACTAGAGCTGAACGGCTATTTATGTGTGAACTCTACATGTATTTGTATAGCGGCAATTGATACGTTTAAGTTGCGTTTTGGATTTTATACGGTAGCTTAACCTCTCCAATGGCAACCTACAAACGGACACATCGATGGACAAATTGTTTTAGAATGCAACTCTATGTGTATAGTGATAGACTCGGCGGGGCGTAGTGGAAGATGACGGGACGTATTGGTCAAATTTGAAGAGATGTGTTGATGATTTAGAAACTGCTGCGTTTGATGCCCAAAAATCAAGACGTAGCGATGGAAGGTTGTAATGGGAGTCCATTCTGAAATTATGGGCGAGAATAGGTAAAAGACTGGCGAGATAACTTGACTTACAGTTGAAAGTTATGAAAATTTGCTTTATCTCACAGCTGGGGACCAAAACGCCGCTAAAACGAGGTACTTTGTACACGAAAACAATGTATTGACTGAAAGGTATTTCTGTGAAGCTTTGTACGGAACAAATTTGAAGAAAAACGGTGAAGTGTGAGACTCACAATCCTTGATTTTCAAACACTGGGGTAGGTTTTAAATTCAAATTAACGGTTTTTCGGGACGGAGTGGTTTCGATACGTCCCGAAGAGATACTACCGCGTGAGTACGCCTGAACCACTTCAAGGAAAAATATAATTTTTTCTCACCTCAAACTAGTTGAAAGCCCATGATATTGGTCAGATAAAGAACCAAAATCGGAGATGTTGCTCAAAATTTAGAATTGATCCGTACGTTCTCTGCCTGTCATGAGTGAATAGGCTGATCTAAAGGATATGTGGTAATTACAAATTCAAATGCCTCCATTTTGAATATTTTTCCACTTCAGATTTTGAATCCGCAGATTTGGTCTTATTCCATAACAAAAAATTCAAAAAACATCAGAAGTGATCACAATATTTTTAATATTGGTGATTATTAATTTATAGCCAGTAGTTACCAGTTATAATCCAAGTGAATAACGGCCATAACCTGGAGTTTTAGACTATACGGAGAACTATCCACGCTGTAATGTCATGGGGAGGGGTGGCATCATACACAAGGGAAAAGTGATAGTAAGCTGTATATAGAAGAGACCTTTACTATTACTTTTCCCTTGGCCTATGTGGCATATTCTCGCAGTAAATTCTTTTGAATTACCACACGGTGAGTACATGTGAGTCAGTCCCTCTCAATATAGGTAACACTTACAGACAGGGGGTGATTTACTCCCCTAGACCAAGGAGGATTGGCTCCCAGAGTGCAACATCGATATTCTGTCCCATATATGGGCATGTCGTGCTACAAAATTTGAATTCCAACAGCCGCCATTTTGTTCACTTCAACATTTGAATCGTGAATTTTGGTCTTATTTCCTAACGAAAAATTCCAAAACTCACAGTAAATGATCGAGATATTGGTTCGAATCTTTTGAACTGTTTATTTTGAATTTATAATCGGTTATAATTTCAGAAAATAATGACATCTCGGCGTTTTCATTGTTGGAAAATATCGACTTCGATTCTGGGAGCCAATCCTCCTTGCTCCTAGACAGTGAACACCGCCTCTAATGCATTGGAATGTCGTATGTTGACTTGCACCAACACAATCCTCAGAGACCCAGAGGGTGCATGAATGTTATCCCGTTCCCGGACTATAGTCCTGCACTGAGCGCATTCATTTGCCTGTACGATTACAACTTGGGAGAATTATCTACGCCCCTTACACTTAAGATACCTACCTCAATGCATTATAGAACTCAAGATGTAACTTCTAATATATTGGAACCGCCGATTGTCTGGGTATATCGGCAGAACGGGAACATTTTCTCTTTTTCATCGAGAGAGATTCCATCACTTTTCAAAATGGCAGTTGGATTTAAAAGGGGAATCCCCCGTTTGGCTGTCCCGGATGTAGCCCGGAAGTACCAATATGGAGGAATTTGACGGTTGAAATAAGTTAAATGTTACACGCAAATATTGCGATCAAAAACGAAAATGTCTTCGTTCTGCCGATAAACCCAGACAATTGTGGATTCAACTACACGAAAAGAATGCTAAATTACCAAGGAATCTATTGAAGTAGGTATCTGAAGTGTAAGATGAGTAAAAAATTCTCCCATGTTGTAATCGCACAGGCAAAAGATTGAGATGTTCACAGGACCATAGTCCGGGAACGGGATAACATGAATGCACCTATGACTCCCCGTGAATTCATTATGTAAGGCATGTAAGAACATATTTTAGAAACTTCATGATTCATTATTTACAACACAAGGACCAAATTGAAAATCTGAAATGAAAAATTTAAAGAAAGTCACTTTTGTCATAGATAAAAACGAGAACAACAGTGACACTGTTCCAGCATATGAGCAAAGTTTTAACACACATAACCTACCATGAATTAAAGCTTTTAATTGTAAATATATGAACTAAAATTAAAAACACTTACCTTATTTATTTACCTGTATTTCTTACGGAAGTCATGACTAATCAGTAATTGACTAGTGAGACATCTATAAAACGACATATAAATGATAATGCACAAGGAGGCCACTAGAGGGTTGAAGAGAATGTAGACACTGTACCACAGATTGGCAGATGTAGTCTCTTGAACATAGGCCATGGGTAAAGTATAGTAAGCCGTATATAGAAGAGACTGTCTCTTCTATATACAGCTTACTATTACTTTTCCCTTGGCCTATGCTCTTGAACAAGGGACAATAATAATGGCATTTTATAATCAAAAGTAATATCTTCGGTTTAATGTACATAAGATCTAGGGGGAGGGGGCATGGGTTCTGCCCCCGTCCCCACCTAAAGTGGGCCCATCCAAAAAATTTCGGGCCCATCCAAAAATTTTGTAGAACAACCATTTTTAAATACTTTCATACAATTAAAACTTGTATTTGTCAAAGCGAAAAAAGTGTCAAATATTTCACATATCCAAGTAACAGTGTATTATTAATGTCACAGAAGCTAATTTACATTTTGTCTTGTATAATCTTGGAGGTACAGGATGGTAAAAAACAGAAACCTGCTATTTTCCTCATATCTGCCATTTTAGAAAATAACTCCCTGATATTTCTACATCATTCATTTCAAACGATATGTCATGACCATCAGACTGATAGTCACAATGTTACAGCATTTTAAAGAACATGCTCCAGTGGCCACTATTGCGTTTTAACCTGCACAAACCTGCACACATCCTCCAAAATGTCCCTATCTGACTTCTATCTGTGGAGATACAGCAAAGATAAACTTGTTTGAGAATGACCTCAGGACCTCAAAAGTGAGATTATCTGTGTCATTCAGGCCATACATGCTGTAGAATGCATTTGGGTCGGTCATTGACTACTGTGCAAGGTTTGCCTACAGCGTGACGATGGCCAAACTTGAAGCATATTGTTAAAAGTGCTATATTATAAACATTGTGACTATCAGTCTGATGGTCATGAAATTTAGTAGGGTGGTATGAAATTGAATGATGTACAAACGTATTAAATGTTAGTGATTAATTTTTTTTAATTGTCAAAGATATGAGGAAAATGCAGGGTTCCTGTTTTTTACCACCCTGTATACTGGTATATGTAATGAGTTTAATGAATAAATTATGAGCACCAAATGATGTGATGCTTATTAGACAATGATACCTGGAATACTTTTATATATATGATTACAAGCCCAATCAATAAACAGTCATCATTCTTTTTTTATTACAAGCCCAACCAGAACAACGGCAACGCCAAAGCGTAGCGAATCCCATCGAACAGAAATGGCTGGCATTTTTACAAACGAATAGCAAATATCACAAAACAACACACCAGAAAGGCCACCATTTTCAAAATGGTTGCTCACTAGCCAAGTTGTCATCAGAAGAAATAATATGCTTTTAAATAGCCACCTCTAAAATTTTTGAAAAATTGCACACGTAAAATACGTTAAAATGGCGGCCTTTTTTCAAATTTTTTTTCAAAATGGCCGCCTTCTACCAAAAGTGTCATAGGACAGTGTGCCATGCTTATAGTATTCACATACCAAATATGAACAAAATCGCTCCACTACTTTTCGAGTTATAGTAAAATACGTTAAAATGGCCGCCTTCTACCAAAAGTGTCTTTAGACAGTGTGCCATGCTTATAGTATTCACATACCAAATATGAACAAAATCGTTCCACTATTTTTTGAGTATAGCAAAAATCGTAAATTGACGAGTAAAGGCCGCCATTTTTCAAGATGGCTGCCATGTGCTTCTTTAATATCTACATTTGTAGCATTATTAATGTCCTTTATAATTTTTTCACATTTAAAACATATTGCTATTACAGTTTTACATATTGCACCTAAATTACTGTAAAATCAGCACTAAAATGGCCGCCATTTTAAAATGAGCGGCCATTTTGAAAATTGGCTTTCGAGCAGAACTTCTACCCCCATAGGGTATATGTGTACAAAATATGAACAAAATCAGGCCAACGGTATTTGAGTTATTGCCCGGATGGACGGACAGACGGACGGACGGACGTACGTACGGATGTACGTACGGACGGACGGAGGCGTTCCCTATATCCCTCCGAACTTCGTTCGATGGGATAATAAATAAACAGTCTGAGGGTACAGACTACAGAGCACAGTGCTGAACAGACAATCCACCAAAGCAAAACAACCTGTGCAAGAATGAGAGTAAGGAGAAGCAATGGTGAAGTTTTATATGAACTCATTTACTGTGGACATATGTCTGTCAAGTTAAGGATCATTATCTTCATGATAATCATTTTAGGAATGCTTTGTATAGTTCACTACACATCAGATGTAATTATTTCAACTCATCAAAAATATGTCAATGAACAAGATAAAGCAGAACTTATTCGATCAAGTGCAAGAACATCAGATGTTGCAGTAAAGGTCCAAGAGTTCAAACATGGAACAAAAGAACTTATCTGCCTTACTTCAGGCTGCCCATTTAATCCAAGGATGACAGATATTGAGAAATTAATAATGATCAACATTTTGGAAACATTTGATAAAATTACCCGAAAAAATAATTTGACCTATTTTATGTATGGTGGTACTTTGTTGGGTTCTTGGAGACACCATGGATTTATTCCATGGGATGATGACCTTGATGTGATGATGGACTTGTCGCAAAAGGAACAGGTCTATGAAATTTTAACGTCCCTACAACCAACTTACAAAATATGGCGACCAACAGGAAACTATTTCCCAATAAACTTTCAATGGAAGTTCTCAAGCCAGTATTCAAGTGTTAGGAAATCTCAAATGTGGAATTGGCCATTTTTAGATATTTTCTTTTTTTCTGAAAATGAAACTCATATATGGGATTATACATATGGAAGGAATGCCTTTTCACAACTCAAATCTAATGTTTTTCCTTTATTGGCTAGACCATTCGAGTCACTTTGGCTTCCTTCTCCAAGAAAAACGTTGGAAACTTTGGATAAATGGTACAAAATAACACAATGCCAGTCAAATAAATTTGATCACAAAAAGAGAATGCCAATGAGATATCCTGTAAGTGTTGTTGATTGCAAGAAGTTACATCCTTACTTCCCCTTTGTAAGCAGAACAGATAAATGCACTGAGACATTGAAAATTGGAGATCATACTTTACACTCAATACATAGAAAATGTACCTGACTAATCAAGACATGTGTAGGGTAAACATAAAAGCTTTTATTGAGTGTACTTTGCAGAGCTATTTAAAATTCATATATTATTCATTGTGCTTTTAACAGGATGCCATCAGCGATTAATTACCACTCTTGGTGATGGATTTGGAGAAACTAATTGCCTATTGAAATTGGGCGATGAAGTGCATGCCAATGGAACCTTATTCAAGATTGAAAGTTGTCACAAGAAATATTGAATAATTCAAAATATAATTCAAGTGATGACAAAATTTCTTGTGGCATCCGCACTTGGACTAGACGCAGGCATACTTGACCAACAAACAAGGATGACAATATTGCATGAAAGAACGATAGAAAACGGCAAGATCCAACTTCTTTCTCAAATTTAAAATATTTCTTTTGAAATTCATGAAATCTGAACTCATGATTGTTACTTTTGTGTACTTTGCTAGCCGTGGAAAAGTTGAACCAAACTCTTAACTATGTAATTAATAAGCAGCACAAACTGGTATTTGAAGTTCATTTGTACAACAAAATACTTTATTGTTATTCTTAGATAAGTCTGAATTAAAAATACAATACAATGCAACTATTAAACTTTGCAAGATTTTCTTACCTATTTTTATATGTATTACAGCTTAATTAATTAATTCAAATGTCAATATCTTAAAGGACATTGCTTTCAATACATGATGTTTGACAGACTCAAAACAGTTTATTTTGATTTTTACATTCCATGGCTTTATTTATATAAAAGAAATTAGGATAAGGATTAGACTTTTTAGTTTAGACTGAGCCACTTTAACTACATGTAGTTCTATGTAGAGAGCCCTTGATATCTTTTAAAATGGCATGGAAAATATCACCACCTGCCATTTGTTACAGACACTGGTCGCTGAATGCCGACTGTTGAACACCATCCACAAACAGTTGGAGACAATACCAAGATGTCAACACTTCTGGTGGTGACATAAAAAGTTGCACTGTCTGTATCTTTGGTTAAATGACCTATTATTTGGAACCTTTGGACATTGTTATGAAGTGGATTGTTGAGGGACTGAATATGCCTATTGAAATGAGATCAGAAAAGATGTCATTTTGAGAACAATCCTCAAATCTCTTTTGTAAAGCTAGTTATAAAGACCATCCATGGAGATCAATATTCTTGAAGAAAAGTTGAACATGTACCTCATCCTCTTTTTAAAATATCTGGATCAATTGATACATACAATGTCTATTAATCTGAAGCACACAATGCACAATGCCTGATCAATATAAAAATAATTGCATAATAATTCTGCAGCTTTTAAGCTCACATGGTCCAAACATGTTACAGGGGCATTCACTAAACTTGATCAAACCATTCACCATAGTTTTATATCAAAATATAAAGCCTGTATATTGAACATTGGCATAGTTGGGAAATTACAATACAATCGAATGTATGAAAAAATCACATGAATTTGCAAAGCACATTAATGTAAAGCACATGATTAATTATGCTTATAAAGGATATTATCTTTTTGGTACTGACATGCTACCAAGAAAGACTGAATAAATGAATTACATGTACATTAATCATTCTTCTCAAAGGCTGGAATTGCAAGTGTGCTGGTTTCTGGGTGAGTAGTAGGGGTATCGGCTCTATTGTCCTCACCAGTAGGAGCACTGGCACTAATGTCATGACCAATATTCACACTTGCATCATTTTCCTGACTGATATTCGCACTTGCATTACTTTCCTGACCAATAGGAATACTGGCACTGATGTCCTCATCAATATTATTACTGGCACTATTGTCTTCACCATTAGGATTACTAGCACTATTGTCCTGACCAATAAGGGGACTGGGACTATTATTCTGACCAATAGGGGCACTGGTAGTGTTCTCCGGAATACTCTGCAGTCCATTTAGTATTCCATGTGAAGCTATCAAGGCAGGTGGACTAAAAGGGGTATCAGGTTCATCAGGTGTGGCCCAGCCAGGGGGCTCTCTACTATCAGGGGTGTTAGTACCTGAAATGGCACCTACTACTGGTGTAGAAGGGGTGTCAGGTCTCAAGCCTACTGGAGTACCCCAACCAAACATCTCCATCTCAGTGGGTGTGTTTTTATCAGGAGTGTCCAACCTTTGCTTCTTGAGGTGTCTGAGAGGGGTGTCTGGTCTCAGACCTATAGGGGTACCCCAGCCATATGGGGTGTCCATAGGAGTATTGAATGCTGTGTCGGTCTTTCTGAACATCAACATGGATCTACGGAACCCTGAAATAATCGAGATGTTACACATAGTTAAATTTTTGGAAAGAGATTTTTTGGAATCATGGAAACTAATCAGTTTTTTCATAGTAAGATTGAGATATTAAATATCTACCGTATACATGCACATTTTTATTTAACAGTTACATCATAATATTATGTTGACTGTTGAGTTGTAAACTGATGAAATCAAAACAATAATTTGAGTGATACAGTTAGATCTCTCCAAAGGTTTTTTCATGAAAATCTGTCCAATTTTAATCAATAGATTAATAGAATGTTCATGATTTTATCGAGGTATAACTGCTCATGAATGGTCAATCATCCATGACTTGAAAATGGTCACGCTTAGAAAAATAGCTTCCTTTGATGAATTATTTCATTGCTTTATAACCACATTGTGGCTCTAATGATGTTCAATCTTAAAAAATTAAGTTTTGTTGAAAATGTTTCATACCTTTAGACTTGTTAAAGGGTACATCCAATGTTTCACAGGTAGAGAAACCAACTTCTCTTGAGAGTAAGTATTCTGTGAACTGTTCAGGCTTGAATTTAATGTTCTTGTAATTCTCTTGGATCGTCTCCTGAAAATAAGTGTAAGGATATAGATGGCATTGTATTGGAGAAAATGAACAAGAAATATCCACTACTTGAACTAGTCAGTCTAAATGTAAACAAGAACAAGGTGTGCAAAACACTCGTGAGGATATGGAATTGTGTTAACAGTAACAGATATTTCAGCAACCCAATATACCTATTTTTGCTCTACAATTTGGAAACATTTTCCCGTATAATTAACAGTGATCTCCCCAGCATTAAAGCAAGTGGGCATAGCACCCACATGAGAATTTGAAAATAGGCTTGCACCCACTTGAGAATCCATTTGCACCCACTTGAAAATGAGAAAAATCATGAAAAATTAGCGTATTTTGACCAATTTTAGTCTGTACTGTGAAAATGAGAATTTTACACCCACTTTCCACTTGAGAAAAAATCCTGTGGAGATCACTGATTAACCTGCAAAATATTAAGGTATTGTATTCCTAATACCAGTTTTCCATGATGCAGAACCAACAAATTACAACTACATGAATGATATGACCTAGATCCTAGAGCAATGGACCCAGGAATCTAGAGCCCTTTTAATTTACTTATTGTAAGTGCATTTTACTTCAACAGGCACTAAGCCAACAATATATGAAGCAATAACATGAGTATTCTGTCTAATCTATATCACCCCTAGATCCAATGTTATCTCTTGAAACCCTGCTAATATGAACATCCTGACATTGTGTACACTTAAATTCTAATAATAATGTTCATATTAGACATGTGATCTGTCATAAAACTGCTCAAGTAAGACAGAACACCTATCATTTTGCTTAATAACTAAGAGAGCAAGTTGACTTTAACCCGAACCTATTTGCTCATAGCAACAAGGAGTCAATTGGTAATTAAAGCATGTTTTTGTCATCAGTTCCTGCTCAGTATGTGGTACTATAATAATTTATCAATTTATTAGATTTGATAAAATAAGCGGTCTATTTTGTTCAACTTTTTGAAAAACTAAGTCAGAATGATTCAAGGCAATAACATGCAAAATGTTATCACCTGCCATTTGTTACAGATGCCAACTGCCAACAGTAAAAAAAGTTGGAGACTATAACAAACAATATGTCACTACTTCTGGTGGTGACATAAAAACTAAGGGAGCATACTGTCATGATATATTAGTAAAAATGACCACTCGAAATCATTATAGATGAATATTTCTTGTTCTTCAAATCACATTGATATAAAGATAAAGTATAAGATCTACCACATACTGTACATACAGAGAAATGCATAATTTACTGTCATACAATATGATAGTCAAGATAAGCAAATGAAATAAAATTTTTAGAAAGTCACACGTAAGTCTTACTGTCAATGTGTTTTTCTTCTTATATGACGCCCATGCCTGCGGTTCTAAGATGAAACGTCCACCTGGTCGCAGCTGCCTAGATATACGTTTGAAGAAGCGTTTCATTCCTGCATCTCCCCAATTAAGATGTATCCACTTGGTAATGCTGAGGGCCATGATAATGTCATATTCTTCTTTCTGGAGATCTAATAGTTCGTCACTCTCTAGCACGTAGTTCCCCTGGAAATAAATTGTTTGAACAGAAATAAGCAATATGCATTAAATTAGCAGTCTGGTACAGCAGAAAAGGTTAAAAACATGATACAAGATGGACAGGCAAAAATATTGGTTTTGAACTTTTGATTTTAATACTAGACCCATTTCAAAAATTAAAAATCTCTGTTCTCCTACGTGTCCTATACTTCCACTTTTCAGTTTTTCAATTTTTAGTGAAACATTGAACAAGTTATATTGACAAAAATAGAAATAGAAGACATTTAAAATTTTATCTAAATGGAAGGCAGGCTAATTATTTAAAATCTAGGACATCTTTCATGTTCATGATTCCATCTTTTTTATCATTAACTGTAGTGAGACCAAGACCAGTTTGAATTTGATTTAAGTATCAATTTGGTTTATCCTCCAACTAAGGAGTCCAACATCTAACCGAGACAAGGGCAAAATGAATGATATTTATGTCTGGACTCCTGTGTTGGATGGTTTGATTCATGCAAAACTTTGAATCATACCTGAACAAACATGACATTGTTAGGGTATCCGGGGGATTCTGCAATAGGCACCTTAGGAGCAGCAAGTGGTCCATAACAAACAGACATTGACACAGGGTAGTCACTAGCACCATGCTTTTCCTTAGAGATATAATGTCTGATATTTTTCCTTGCGATGGATATAAGATTACTATCTATGTCTATCCCTGTTATTTTCTTGGGTTTGAAATCTCTAGCTATAGACAGAGTAATATGTCCAACATTACATCCAATGTCCAAGACATCCATATCTTCGAACCACCTTGACTTCATCAAGTTGAGTCTATTATCCTCTTCCGAGTGAGGGTTCCTATATCCATAATAACGATTATAGTTACCATATACAAACTTATTTCCTTTCTTTTGACTTGACTTTTGTTGTTGGGTCTTGCTTTCTGATTTGTTGGAGTCCTCCCTCAGAAGGCTTCTTGATACAATGCTACTTGGCTCAGGTCTTCCATCTCCACTACTATGATGTTTCTTGCGACGTGCCTTGGGAGAAGCTTGTGGAATAACAGGTGATACAATTTCATCTTTTCTTACTGTTGCTTTGTTAGGTGTTTCTGTGTCAACAAATAGTTCATTTTGTAATGAATCATCTTGGCATGGTGTGGTATTATCATCCATTGAGGATTTTTTACGACTTTTATTACGTTTCTTTTTCTTACTACCAGATTTTGGTGAAACTAGAATGTCATCTCCACTGTTAAGGTTTAATGGGTCACTAATGTTTGTTGGCATTCTAACCTCAATGTTTTGTCTATGTAATGGTGGTGGTAATGGTGATGATTGTGGAGTTTCAGCATTCATTTTTCTATTCACCTCCTTATCATCAATCATGCTGTTTAGATTAAGAGGGTCATTGATATTCCCACCAAGTAAAAATCGAGTAGGTAACACCATTTTTTCTTTGTTACTGTATTTCCTTCTTTTGAAGTGTTGATTACTTTGCGAATATCTTCGCTTTTTCTGAGAGTTGTTCAGATGACAAAAAGGAGCAGACATTTGTCTTTGTAAGTTTTGTTTAACATTTTGTTTGCTTCCATGTGATGCATCTTTATGTTGCTGTACTGCTGTAGTAAACTTTTCAACAGACGCACGGAGTTCTTCTGTTGTAACACTTGTTTCAGACGTTTCCATTTTTTCTCCACAATGGAATTCAGCATGCTCAAATTGAGTTCTAGTTGGTGTTTTAACGTCGACACTCATTGTCTGTGAATAAGTGATTAAAGTAGTTTATAAAGTCTCTGCAACTAGCTGCCAAACCATGCAGAAGCAAGGTCCTGTATGTCAACACGTGGTTATGTTTATTATGGGACGTGTTGCGCCATCTAGATATGTGCCAGTGAACTATTTCCTAGAGGTTTGCCTTTTGGAAGGTCACTTTTCAAGTCGATAATCCAGTCCTTTAGTAGAATATCTATTCATTCAAACCTGCCAAAAATATACATCTCTCCATTGTCTTTCAATTCCATGGTAAGATTTATCATGAATATGGCTGAATTTAAAGATTATCCGTTGAAATTGCGGTACTTTTTCAAAGGTTGCCTCCGTGCATTGAACGATTGTTCAATTCGTTTGTGCGCAAGCGCCAGAATAGAATGGTCATAACATTTATTGAACTAGCTCAATCAACCTGTTGTTTAATAAAAATAAGCAGAAACCCAATGCTATTCAGTTCGGTAACTTAAACAATACGATATGGTACACTGATAGTAAAATAACAATAGATGTAGAGCTATGTTACTGGAACACTAAACATTAACTAGTTCAGTTTATTTTAATCAACAAAGCTGAAAGTCTGCAAGGAGCATTGTGGGAAAAACTCAACCAGAGTAAGTATGTGGTACATTCGTCTGCTTTTCAAGTGATTTAGGTGTTACTACACAAGGTAACGACGTTCATTTATCCCCTAAGGTATTCAAGAACATTTGCCACGCATGCAAAACTGTATTTTATTTCAAAATAGTTTATTAAAGTGTCGCCTTCAACTTTCAAATAAATCTCAGTCATGGCGGGAAATTCAAATTCATGACGTGTTTCTGTTTGTTTTCTGTTAGTCTAAGTAAAATGGATCACTTATCAAAATGTAGTAAGACTCATGTAGAAAAGAGCTTAGAACTCATGAGGACTCTGACCAATTTTCCATACAAGCCGTGCACAGCCTGACCCAATCCCATTGGTCCGAATCTCAATCGTCTAAATCCCAATTGTTCGAATCACAATCGTCTGAACTTACTCGAGTCTTTAGCCAATTCTTGGCAAGAAGTAATTCCATCTGGAACACCGTGAACTAGAGTCAATAGCAGGCCATCCAACTGTCCCGCAATTTTCGTATTTGTCACGCATTTGCTGGAAAATTTAAAGTCACACCATTTTTTTTTGCGTGACAGAATATGTCACGCAAATACGCATTTTACCTGAGTATTGTCAAGCAAAAATATTCCTGTAGAAAAACGTCAAAAAAGGGATCACCGGCGCCGATACAGCTCAAAACCGAACGCAGAAAAAACGAACGCATTTCATTTGGACTTTTCACGCGGATACCGTACCGTTTAAAATGCTATTTTCATGAATGCGATTGCGCAAAAAAGTGATCACCAATACAGCACAAAACCAAACACCGAAAAAAAACGAACGCATTTCGTTTGGATGTCTTGATAAAAGGTTGTTTAGCATTTGAACTTCAGAATGTGTCACAACTTCTGGTAAGATCTCCAGCTTTTGTGAATGGTGTTTGGTGGTTGGCATCTGCAACAAATGGCAGCTAGTGACATTTTGTATGTTAATACCTTGTTGTGTTTGCCGTAACCATAAACTTATCTGCACATAAAACTAAATGTAAAATTTTACGCAAAGTCTTTTTATTATGATTTTTCCCTGTGGTCCCTTGGAAAATCATATTGCGATTGTTAAGTTTTTGATCAGTAGGTTTCGCATTAATGGGATTTGGATGAATGAGATTCAGACCATTGGGATTCGAACCATTGGGTTTTGGACCAATGGGACTCAGACGATTTGGATTTTGACCAATGGGGGTTCAGACCAATGAGATTCGGTCATTCAGACCATCGGGATTCATATCAATGGATGTTGTGTGTCCTGACCTCACAGGCTAGTATCGGAATATTTGTCCGCTGTGACGGAGCATGCTATTTTTCATAAAAACACTAAGAATACTTCACGATTTATTTTTTAACTCATATGTTTCGTTATACCATACAAAATTACTTACTCCATGCAATGGATACATCATTTGCGGGTAACTTTCACTTCTGTTTGAAGTCCAATTACGCTGGGAAGAAAAGCTATTGAAAATGGCGCCGGAGTATCAGACTTCAAAATGTACCATTTCTTGTTTAACTTTCTAATGGCACGATATAGTGACATGATAATATTTACACATGGTTTCAGCATAACTATGAAGGTATAAATGAGATGTTGATGTATTTGGTCTTTTTAATTCTTTTATAAAAAATAATGTTTAATTTTTTTGTCCGCTGTGACGGAGCAGTTGCAAATGTGAACTGTAGAAATGCTCCGTCACAGCGGACAAAAAATATTAATATTATTTTTTATAAAAAAATTAAAAAGACCCAATGCATTAATATCTCATTAATACATTCAGAGTTATGCTGAAGACATATGTTAATATTATAGTGTCACTATATTATGCCATTAAAAAGTTAAAAAAGAAATGGTACATTTTAGAGTTTGATACTCTGGCGCCGTTTTCAATAGATTTTACTCCCAACGTTATTGGACTTCAAATAGAAATGAATGTTACACGCAAATGATATATCCATTGCATGGAGTAAGTAATTATCTTTGATATAACGAAACATATGAGTTAAAAAAATAAATCGTGAAGCATTCTTAGTGTTTTTATGAAAAATAGCATGCTCCGTCACAGCGGACAAATCTTTCGATACCAGCCTGTGGACCTAACCCAATATAAGATAAGCATATGGTACTTACTTACCCAGTGCCGGGACTATATAGGGTGACTCAAAAAAACAGAACCCTCCAAAAAAGAAATAATTTCTGTATTTAATACATATCTGTAATCAGCTTCATTTTTCATGTACAGAAACAACAATCTATAGATGACAATGTGGAACTAAATTTGTTACATAACATTCAATATTCTTCTTGTTATTGTCAATTAAAATATACAGTAAAACTTGTGTATAGTGAACATTTTTTTGCCAAGAAAAAATGTTCACTGTAGGTAGGTGTTCACTAGAGAGAGGGTAATTTATACAGAAGTCAGTGGACTATGTGCGTAGGAAGGGTGTCCACTAGGGACAGGTGTTCACTAGAGAGAGGTGTTCACTAAGACAGGTTTTACTGTATGCTCCACTTTTGAAAGAAAAGAAAATGTAAGATTTTCGTGTCAACCAAAAGGTTACACATCATTTTTGATCCCATCACATTCTTAGCTTCTTGTTAAGCTGCATTTTGTTGAGATCATTAGTGAGGAATCCAACAACCTTTAAGCCATCTTTAGGTATGGCTGCACCTTCTGAGTGATATTTTCATGGAAATGCGTTCAATGCAATCACACACAGTGCTTTCAGGTGTTCTCATAAGTCCAATCTTAGAAACCTCCCCAGAAAAGTGTAAGCTGATCATTTTTTTCCATTCACATGTTTAACAGTTATCTTATCTCTCTCTTTCAACTCATTATTAAATATTCGACTTTGAAATCACATGTCATGCATTGCTCTTGACTGATCATTCTGCTGTCTGAATGATTTCTTGAGAATTCATTCAAGGAACTTCGTACAGCGTTTACTTTGAGGTGTTCTTGCTCAGAGAGCTGGCCTGGAATTTTAGTTATCTGATGTTTTAGTAGGTGTTTTACCATTGCCTATTCTTAGTTTTTCAATTAAAATATTAAAGGAGACATTCATTTAACTTTTTTGGAATTTCATTCTAAATTTCTTATGAATCTCAAGATATGATTTTGTCTCAATGTTGATTTTCTGAAAATTGTGCATGTCTGGTGTATTTGAAACTTTATGTTTTTGTTATGTTTTGTTATTCTTCTGTATTCAGGTTGAATATGTACATGTAGAAGAAGCATTTAACAGTACATCACATATAGCACTCAACGATGGCTGCATTGAAGCCCAAAAAGGGATTCAAAAATCCATTTTTTGGTAAGTGTATTAATTCACAGGGTTGCTTTGCTTGGTGCATAAAGTTCTAGTCTACCTGTTATATATTCTCCATCAAGGGCTTGGTGCAAGAGCTCACTAATACTTTCAATTGCATCTAAAATACAGGTAGTTAAATTTTAAATATTTCTTAAAATACACTTTTTTGTTTTAGTTCCAAGAAGTGCTGATACTAAAGATGCTGACTCCGTTGACTGTGTTCAAAGTAAATTCTCTGGAAACAATGAAAAGGTAAGTTTGTGCAGGGAGCATACAGATGAAAACTGAACATTCCTATGCTATTCTTCTTCATAAAAAGCAATGTTTTTATCTCTTCATATACATATATCTGCTTTATATGGGCTTATTAGCCTCTTGCAGATTATTGACATAGACGTAGACGAAGTTGGGTCAGGGATTTCTAACTATCTAAATTCAATTTGTCATGACTTTGAAAGTAGTTTTGGAAATTTTCTGAAAATATTAAAAAGTTGACTTTTGAAAAAAAGTAACAACATGTCTCAAAATATCATAGTAAAGTGTTTTGGTTGGGTTGTAGCAAACATTAAAGATTCATAGTTCATACAAATTAATATCATACTGTACACACATGTGCACAATATAGGAATTGGAGCATGAGGTACCAAAGATCAAAACACCGAAGAAGACACATGAAAAGAAAACGGATGAAAACATAACTCCCGAGAAGATAGTAAAAAAGACACCAGCAAAGAAAGTGAAAGGTGCCACGTGTAAGAATACTCCATTAAAGGAAATCAATGAGGAAGGGAAAGGAAATGAAACTCCTCAAAAGGTTAAAGCCAAGGTTCCCAGAAGCACCCCATCAAAGGTATCAAAAAAGGTGAATATTGCTGATTTGCTTTTTATGAACATATGCAAAATCTATTTATTCCTGATCTGTGTAAAAAACAAATGCAGACCCCGCAAATTAAACTTCCATCCATCTACAAATGTTGCAAACTTGTGAGGGAAAGGGTGGTCGCATGGACCTCAGTGTCCCCTGGCTAGCATCTGAAGTATGTAATATATAAGGTCTGTCAATAAACAATGCAATACAATTTCCAATGTATTTATATAGAAGGAAAAGACCCCGGTGAAACCTGTACACACTTACACTGATGCAGAGTACGATGAACTGTTTGCAGCTGTACAAGAGCGAGTTACAAGTGGTGATCTTTCCTTTACACCAGGCAAGTTTATAAAACACTAAGATGATCAAAGTAATTGAAATATGTTTATTTCAATACAAAGAAATCAGATGGGGTGTATGTACCAAGTAGCTTCATGCTGTTAATTCATGAAGGTATTACTTTGTATCTCACTGCAAAATTGATCACCTGAACAGCGGAATTCTTTGATTCTGTAATAACTTGAGATTTCTCTGTCACATTAGTTCTATACAGTACAGTAAAACCTGCAAACATGGAGCGCACTTCGAACTGGACAAAACTGTTCCTTATTGACAGGTGTTCCATATAGAGATGGTCTATTGTCTGGGCCAATCCAGAAAATACTGAATAAGCATATATTTATTGTTATGAGCATTTTATTTTGTGATTACTTGAACATTAAGAACATGAGATTGAATTAAGCTTTATAAGTTTATTTATATTTTCATATAGAGTGCATAAAATCTGCAAGTTTGTTTCACTTAAACATTTTAGAGATTTGCCTCAACATGACATAATAGATACATTTCTATTATCTCCAAAAAAGTGTCAATCTCTAGATTATCTCAACTGGTCAGCTTAATTGGAAGAAAGCATTAGTGTCATGGGAATTAATAAAAACAGATTATAAAATTGGGTAATTAACTGTGGGTGGGATGTTCCATGCTTTAACAATTGGCTTATGGAAAGTCCATGTCCTAACCTCATTCATATTAATCCAAGCTCCTTAGTATCAAATATTGGCTTAAGCAATTCACATCTCTAAAACAATAGGCAGGACGTACAGTGTAACCAATTAATTACTTTTTTTATGAAAGTTTTTTTTAGTTAGTACCATCAAGTGGTTAAAGCCAACATTTTTTGTCACTCATTGTCACCCTTTATTTGTGCAATCAGTATGTCTACTACTTTAACTACTCAATTTAAAGTCATTCATTTTTTAGTTTCAAATATCTTCCTCAATGAAACAAATGTTACATTGCTAAACGCAAACTAAATTTAATGATGCAATTGTAGAAGCGAAAGAAGATGGAGTAGAAACTACTGAAAATAATGAGGCTAATAAAGGTGAGGTAACCATCACTGAAGACTGTGATAACAATGACTGTGGGAATTTTGTGGATGAAGAGAATATGGATCCAGTTCTGAGTCAAAAAATAGAAGATGATTTCGAAGCAGTTTTGGAAGCTGGACTTTCTGTCTTGGGAGAAGATTTAGGTACATCTACATTTGGGTAATAAATATATATAAAGATATATTGGTGAAAAGAGATACAGAATCTATGAAATTCATACATACACAACTCATCTGATTGCCAGTTTATCCATATAAAACTCCAAATGTATTGATGTTTGAAATATGTGCCTGCTCTGTAGTGGATCCAGTGGAAGCTGAGGCCCCCAGAGTAGACAATAATGAAGCTGGAGATGATGATGAGGAGGAGGAGTATGAAGAAGATGAAGACTCTGACCAAGGAGACATCGATGAGGATAAATTGCCAACAGAAATCAGGTCTGTAGGTCTTAAGAGACAAATTGGAAATGTGTGGTTGAATGGTCCTTTTTCCATATAGCACCATAAACATTATAAAACAAATCTCATATATTGGCATAACATTATTATCAGATTTATCCTATAAATGACCAACTATTTGTAAATCTTGAAAAATACTTCCGACTGCTCCAGGGCTGCAGTGCTGAGTCAGGTGAATGAGATTACCCCTGTATCTAGCACCCTCAACTCCCCTGAACCTGCCCTCAATGACAGCTCAACATCCATGAAACCTCCAAAATTAAAGGCACAAAGAAAACCTAAAGGTATGTCTTGACTTTCTATTTGTGCATCTTTATTTATGTAGCAATATAATGGTTTATTTGTAGATTAACAGCCATAAGTAGCTCATATCAGAACATCGACAAATCCCTAAACAGAGCCACTTTTCACTATATACTGTACCTGCATGCAAGAAATAAATGACAAAATTATGCTGAAGCGATCCATTATTTTAAATTTTGTGGCAATTTTTGTCTATTCTTCTACAGTGAAGTCATTTTTAAGAAGATAATAGAATATGTTAGTTGTAGGAAGATCACAGTTATGAATCGTTAATATTTGTTTTCCAGAGAAAACAATTATGAAACAAGTTCACCAGAAGAAAGTTTCAAAGAAAAAACAAATGCAAGAAAGACCACTGACAGAAACTGGTAGGTATGAAAAGTCATAAATTGGTGGACAGGATAATTATCTACATACAATTGTTTCTTTATTTGAGGCATTTATCTACATTTATTGTTTCATTGAGGATGACTATCTATATACGAGGGTTGGTTCAAAAGTTCTGCACCGTTTGCAGTCTAAAGTCTTGGAATGGTTTTTTCAAAATTTTCCTCTACTGAAATATCATGCAATGTTTTGAATATTTTTGCAGGTACTTGGGTGCAGTGCAGTGAGAGGAATTGTATGAAATGGCGATATCTAGATTACATACATGACCCAGCTAGCCTACCAGATACCTGGACATGTAACATGAGCAAAGGTACAACAGATTATACACAGTTGTCTACAGAGAATGAATGAATCATTTATTTATTTTTATGTATATACTGGTTGATCCCAAAAAGAAAAAATTGGTCAGGCCTGTTTTGGGGTCATACAGTATCATTTGAAAACAAAACCACTTCTGTGTATGTCATAGAACAAACTGATAATTTAAAGTTGATATCAACATCAGTGGTATTTCATAAAACTGTATTTAAATTTCTGCTAGTCCACTTTCATGATGGCATATTGAAATTGATTTGGATACCAGTAATGATTTTTGAAAAGTATATCACTGGACCATGATTATGGGATTCATGATCTGAGATTACATTCAATGAAAAGTGATTTCTAAAGTGTTATTTCAGATATGCAACATAATAGTTGTGATGTGGCTGAGGTGGATTGGGACAGAGAGGCCCATGAGAAAGACTTCATTTACACCAAGTTTACTGAAGGTTCACTTGTATGGGCAAAAATGGATGGCTTTCCTTAGTGAGTTACTATATTTTTACTCTTTCCTTTTCATCTTCTATTTGAGAAAAAACGATTGCCCATTTGAATTTAATGCTCTTAAGCTCACAACCTCCCAAAATGAAACTGAATTACAATGAAACCTGTAAAGTGGAACACTTCTGTAATTTGAACACTTCGCAGAGTCCAAAGACCAACTGATTAATTTTAAATGAACCTCTATTAGTGGAACCTCTCCCAAATAGAACACTTCAGAGGAACCAAAGGTTATCACTTAGACAGGTTTTACTGTATGTTGAACCAATATTCTGTTGCATTCTGTTGTGGGATCAGTTCAAAGATACTTTGCCGAGGTCATATTATTTAAATAGGAGCAGTGTTGAAGCAATAGTGAACTACTCAGTAACTGATAGGTTTTAATTAAGTGTAGTAAATTAAAGCACCCAAATAACTATTTACCCATTTGTTCATTTCCAGTTGGCCAGCTATGGTTGAGATTGATCCTGATAATGAGACATATTGTGAGCTGACTGGTGTCTTACCTGGAGACAGCATGTCACCAGTAAGTTGTATAAAATCACTGATTATTCCAAAACACTTTAAAAGTTTTGGCTACATTACACATGTACACGTATACAATAAAACATTGGTTGGTGAATGTATTTTTTGTTATTTTCTTTTATAACCATTAGGATGACGTCAGTAAAACCACTCATGGGAATTGTGAGATCAGGGTTGATTATTTTATGTTTGAGTTGGGAGGTGTACTCTGAGACAGGATTGTTCCACTTGACTATATGAGGAATATTTATGTTTTGGGTGCTCTTGAAGATCTGGGGTGTTCAAGTATAGTATAGAAGAGTTTCTCTTTGAAGGTGGTTGGACTTTGAGGACTGTTTTATTGTACAAATACTGCACAAATGTAGACTGTTATTCCTTGTCTTCTTTCAGAGTCACTACCATGTTGTATTCTTTGATGACAAGGTGACGAGAGCTTGGATTCGTGTATCAAACATTCGCAACTTTACTGGAGCTGAGACCTCAGAACAACTGGGCTCTGTATGTCACATTTTGCTTTCTTAAGTGATTTAATTACTGCAACAACACTCACTATTTTTCCTTGAACACAACCCATGTGATATTGTTTGCACTTTCTGTATGCATAGTTTTACCATTATCTTTATTGATTCATGAGAAAAGTTTTTCTGCAAGAATCAAAAATAATATGAAAAGAGAAGCTTGAATTGTATGAAAAACATTCATGTTTTATTCTTCAGTTCAAAGTTCGCAACCATGACTACAGGAAAGAAGTGACATTGGCAAGGACCAAAGCAATGAGGGCTTATTCTATGGGCATCAAGGTAATAAAATTATCAATGGTATATCAAGAAAAAACAAGTTATAAAATAAGAAATAAGACTGGCATCTTCTTATTGTAACCTAATTGTCATTAGAGGATGAATGAGACATCATGTCAGTTTAGTCTTGATAAAAGTATTCCTGAAATGAAAAGTCCATTGCTATTGTATTGTGCCATCAGTTTCAAACACAGTACAGTAGTATGAACCTTTTTTGAGTGTTTCTTAATAACCCGTGGGGATAACTTGAAATGCAAGATCAGCATATAAGAGAGAATATGCAAAGGAGAGAAAGGAAATCTGTTTCAGTCATCTTTTTATATTGTTCCATGTATTTAGGATATTGTCCTATGGTGAGTGGAGCAATGAACAGAATTACAGTAAACCTGTCAGTTGAAACACCTTTGTTATTGGAACATCATTGTAAATGGAAGACTTTGGAGTCCCATGACCCTTTGACTCAATGTAAAATTAAACTCTAAGTAGAACACTTAACAAGTGGAACATATTTTCGAGGTACCAAATGTGTTCAACTTACACAGATTTTACTGTTGCATGCAGATATTATAGCATCTTTTGATTTTCTCTTTTCTTCACTTTCCAGGAGAGACTTGCAGAGTTCAGCTTTTGCCAGAGGTATAAAGGTAAATGGGGAGATGTACTTGACTCCCAAGAAGACAAAAATAAAGGTGAGATGTCTTCCAAATCCTTTGATAAATGCACAAAATTATGTACAAAACAGCAATTCGTAGAGTACAATAGAATCTGTATACATGTAAATTGAATTGCATTCTTGATGATGGCTTATGTAGATGTAGAGCATACATGCACTGTCTAGTGATATATCATACAAGCATATTCATTCACCTTGCTGTTAATATTAAAATTACTGGTTCAATCCATTTTCCCAAAATGTTATCCTCTAGTCTTACACGTTCTCTTTTACTCTAGCCTCTGTGTCCAAGCGTATAAAGAGTCATAGACGCAAAAAGAGTAAGAGGTCAGAGTCTACAGCTACCATAATGAGTGATGCTGATGTAGATGATATGCTGGGTAGAGCTGATGATATCCTTGACCAGGCTGAAGACATCCTTAATTCCATGGACCTTGATGATGACCTACTCTCAAATGAAGTTGATGGTACAAAAACTTAATTTGTTTTTTTTCTTGATGCACATTTAGTAATAGGGGCTCAGTTCCTAAAACTGATTACAAATTTCTTTGCACTATCTATATCAATAGAATGTTACAAATCTTCTTTTATGTGAATATTATAGTTTTATAAAAAAAATCGTACATAGTCAGAGCCTTTTTTAAACAAGGAAAGGTGCATGTATCCCTTGTATTTGCACATGTCTTGGGCACAAATATTGATAGGTCAAATATAAGCTGCTCTGAATTTTGTAAAGAAATAATGTAATGTGTGTTTACAGAAAAGGATGAGTTTTTGTTTGATGAGGATGATAGTCCAAAAAAGAAGAAACCAAAGAAATCAAAGAAACACAAGGAAGAAAAGTCACTGTTGAAGAAAACTAAAGGTTAAAATAATTCAGTGCTAGGTTCTCTTTAAAAGATGCATACTTTGCTAGGTTCTCTTTAAAAGATGCATACTTTGCTGGTAGTTCCAGTGTTAATATTTCTATATTCATACCTGAATTGAAACTATGATAGAGATAAATTGTCATTTTAGATATTTGTGGGCACCAAACTGGGCTTGTGGTAAAATATGTTTGCTGCAATGTACATTTATGAACTTTCTCTTCAGAATCATCCGCAGATGAGAAACCACGTAAAAAGCGTAAACATTCCAACCTTGATGAAGCATCAACAAGCAAAAAACGATCTTCAAAGAAGCCCCAAATACCAGCAAACATCAAGATGGTAACAAACCCATTGACCATACGTAAGCCAACATTCCTCTCAAAGAAACCTAAAATGGACAAGAAAGACTTTATTAAGATGGACACTGAACCTGATGATAATGTTGACCACGCTGGTAGTGATGAGGAAGAAGATAAGATAGTGTGCTCTGGTAAATCTGTCACTCTTAGTCTAGAGTTGGATGGTGAGGTATTCACAATGGAGATTGATAACCCAGATGCCCCAGATGATCACACTGACACTAAGGCACCTGATGACACTGATAAATTAAAAAGAAAAATTGAAAACATACTTGAACAGGATTCTATTGATTATGATAAAATTGAAATGAATTCAGGGGTTTGTAAAAAATCTAAATCAGGTTCAAATAAGAGGTCAAAATCTTCAAAAAAGAAATTTCCAGCTGTAAAGAAAGCAAATAGAGATCAAATTAATGAAGATGATGATAACGTAAAACAGATGGATAAACTAGAGGAGAACGAAATAGCAAGCAAGAATGAAGTAGCAAGCCAGAAATCATTGAGATCAAATTCCAAACCCGAATCCCCCGAAAACGAAATCAACCATGTGTTGGAAAGGTCATGTAAAACTAAAACACTGCCTCAACAAAATTGTCACAATTTTAATGATCTAAGCCAGAAATCTGATAAATCTGCGAAAGCTATCTGCCTATCGAAACAGGAAAAGAAAGATTCTAAGACATGTAAGAGTCAAAAGTCGGAAAAATCTGGAAAGTCAAAGATAAATCGGGAAAGTCAAGATTTTGACAATCTTAGCCAAAATTCTGGAAAATCTGTAAGGTCAAAGATAGATCAAGAAAGTCAAGATTTTGACAATCTGAGTCAAAATTCTGGAAAATCTGTAAGGTCAAAGATAGATCAAGAAAGTCAAGATTTTGACAATCTGAGTCAAAAGTCAAAAAAATCTGTAAGGTCAAAGATAGATCAAGAAAGTCAAGATCTTGACAATCTGAGTCAAAGGTTAAGAAAATCTGCAAGATCAAAGGAAAACAAGGAAAGTCAAGACTTTGATAATCTCAGTCAAAAGTCTGGAAAATCTGGAAGGTCAAAAGCAAAACAGGAATTAAGCCAAGAAAGTCAAGATTTTGACAATCTTAATCAAAAGTCTGGAAAATCTGAAAGGTCAAAGGCAAAACAGGAATTAAGCCAAGAAAGTCAAGATTTTGACAATCTTAGTCAAAAGTCTGGAAAATCTGAAAGGTCAAAGGCAAAACAGGAATTAAGCCAAGAAAGTCAAGATTTTGACAATCTTAGTCAAAAGTCTGGAAAATCTGAAAGGTCAAAGGCAAAACAGGAATTAAGCCAAGAAAGTCAAGATTTTGACAATCTTAGTCAAAAGTCTGGAAATTGTGGAAGGTCAAAGGCAAAACAGGAATTAAGCCAAGAAAGTCCAAATTTTGACAATCTTAGTCAAAAGTCTGGAAAATCTGGAAGGTCAAAAGCAAAACAGGAATTAAGCAAAGAAAGCCAAGATTTTGACAATCTTAGTCAAAAGTCTGGAAAATCTGGAAGGTCAAAAGCAAAGCAAGTATTATGCCAAGAAAGTCAGAATTTTGACAATCTCAGTCAAAAGTCTGGAAAATCTGGAAGGTCAAAGGCTAAACAGGAATTAAGTCAAGATTTTGACATTAACTCAAGCCAAAGATCAACAAGATCAAAAACAAAGGGTGATCAGTCCAGTCAAGATTTTGATTTCAATACCATTGTGAAATCATTGTCTCAAAAATCCAAGGCAAGTCAATCTGAGGCAGACCATTATGAAGGTAGTTCAGATTTTGACTTTGGTGACAATGAATTATAAGATTTAAAATTATTTTATTTTTTACATGAACTGATTGTATAATGACTATATTAATAGGTTTGCCTATATTATGTATTAATAGATAAATATCCTCAGGACAATTTATATTTATTGTTGCTTTATTTATATTTATAACCATCAACTAATAACCATCACATGGGCCTTTGTAGCACATGGTTACAGTTTTGTTACTGCAGCTAGGTGGTGATATTTTGTCATGTTAATGCCTTGTTAACTTAATTTAATATGTACTTTGTTTGGTGTATTTATTACATATTTTATACAAGTTTATGTTTACAATTATATGATGTTTATGAAGACTGTATATAGACTTTATATTTTATAGTTTTGTTCTTTAATGATTGATTTGATGATTGTATTTGTTGATATTATTATATCTTTTATTGACAACTACTTATTAATATTTAATGTTGTAGTTGATAGATGGTGCTATATTTGTGAATTGTACATGTATGTAACTTGTAAGGTTATTCTATACCATTAACTCTTAGAGTAAATACCTCGTGAGGTATTCATTAACTGCCTAATATTACTTTTATTTAACTTCACCATTAAAGCAATTTGTTTTAAAACTTTTGTCTCAACTATAACAGCATTTTCAAATCATTTTAGTTAGGCATACGTAGGATAAGATTTTAAATCAAGTTGACCTTTCATGTGCTATTATTGTGAAGACGCAGGTTATCTTGAATCTTTTGGGAGGCAGTTATCTAGGTAAAAACAAGTTGAAAATGGGAGAATATGGTATAAATTAAAGATACAGAAAACATTTCGTTATGAATATGTTACATCATTGTATTTTAATTCATTATTGAATTTTTAATCAGCTCAATGACAAAAATTGTACGCTAATGCCTAAATTGTCTGATATTGTTAAATATTGTAAAATATGTAGCTGACAAGAAATACCCTTGCTATAGCCTACTATGAAGCCTACCACGTTTTCATTGCATTTTCTAGAATAAGGTTGATTTTGTGAAAGGCTTCAATACAGTGGGTGGGGACATCTAATTTTGCCAAAGACACGGAGCATGACATTTTACCAAGATGTTTGATTTATACCTAATATCTGCTCCATTTTAAACAATATAAAACACTCCATACAATGACTAAATCAGTCATTTTTCTGCTGGAATTTTGTTTTATTTAAAAAACAGTAAGAGCTGGTTAAGAGTAGATGAATTGCTCTGGCTCTGTACCAAGGATTTTTTTCTTTACCAAAATTAGACATCTCCACCCCATGGTATGTATACATTGTATAATCTGATTTTACATTTTTGAAAATAATGATCTCAAAAATGGAGATGGAAAAACCATCCAAATTTCCTGTTTTATAGTACTTACTTCAGAATATTATTAGCTCAATGTTATCTACTCTGCTAGATGAGCATATTGAGTATTGTCATTGTGTTAAATCAGAGACATAAAATTAGTCTCTAGTTAAATGTACAGGATGAGCATTTGCTATTTAAAGTTTGCAATATATTTATTTTGTTACTTTTATTACAAAAATATACACTTGTTTTGTTTTAGAGGTCTTTTAAACCTTGAGACTCATTATCAGCCCTTCATTGTTACCAGTAATATAACAAAGCAAGTATCATTGAGAAATATTCCTTATTGTCCAAGTCAAATTATTTTTCAACTCACCTAGAACATCTTTCTTTAACCTGAACTTACTTCAATGTTTAAATATAATGTTTAGAGATAAATAAAAGTTCATGATTTCATAAATAGCAGACTTGGAGAATTCAAGTAAATAGAGAACATTGGACTAGTCCTGCTATTTATGAAATCATGACATTCCATGAGAATAAACACATAACCGAACAATATAATGACATAGTAGCCAAATTATTTTTGGGAAATGTGCTCTGGCCCAAGTAAATTACTATGACAACTAAAACAATGATATATCCATTATATTTTCCTAATATGAGGTTTCTGATTTAATCAAAAGAAATTCCCCTTCAATGACAGGTTTGGTTGAGTAAGGTTAAGAATGATTTTGTTTTAACTGATGTTCTAAATCAATGATTATTAATGAAGTGCTGAAAATTCTGAGTTGAGAGAATATTGCAATGCCAACATTATACAACTGAATCATATGATTCTGTTGCACGTATTGTGTATGAAAGTTTCCATGGTCATATCTCGTCACCTGTATACACCTTCCACCAATGGTTTCACTTTATAGAACAAGTCTTTGAACAATTATGTTCCTGCTTGCATTCATGTCCTTTTTGCATTATCCAACATGTTGGTCTATTGTCTCCAAACCTTGCCAAGTGTATGTGAAAGTCCTCCATGTCTCCATTGTGTTCATGGCATACTATTTGATAGTCATTTAATGGAATAACACCACTCCACCGTAACTTCTGCATTACTGAGAAGCCAGAGGTCTCCCCCGAAATCTTTATGTCAACTGCTCTGCCCATGATGTGCTGAAAATACATGCGATCTTGATTTAGGCTGCATAAAAAAGATCAGACCATATAATATTGAAGCTTGTAAAACAAAACATCCTTTAATTTGGGAAAAGATATGGGTTGCTGGATATGCTCAGTAATGCCTATGGTTACGTAATGACTGCCAAATAAATAAAATAGTGAATACTGAATGATAATGTTGCCATCGAGTGAATTCAATTTGGGGGATGAGAGGACTATTCGATACAATATTTCAAATAGCTTCTATTACAATGTCACTTATACTCCCTTATGTTCATAAAGAATTCTAACTTTATAATAGCGCTAATGGGGTTCAAGACCCAGTATAAGTGGTTTGACCAAAGTATTAGAGAGGTTTCACACAAGGGGTTATAGCTAAAACATACGCCAAAGTGCATCTTGATTTAATTGAACTGCTAAGCCTACGCATAAATCTGGTGAATGCGTTACAGATTTTAGATACATTGAATACGCTAAAAACATTGTGCAAATGCCTCTATATTATAGGCTAAAGTGAATCTATAGCTTGTTACCTGAGAATCTACACTATCCAGATAGCATGAAACATTGTGTTTGTTCAATGCATTTTCACAATCTCCATCCAGAAGAGTAATCTTCTTGCCAAAGTGTGTGGCCAAATCTTCCAACATTAATCGAAGTTTGAGATCAGTGACTTGCACGGTCTTGTAATCTACCAGTCCCTTCCCCCAACCATTTGCCCCTCTTTTTGGAGCTGAAATAGAACATAATGTAGTGGTTACGGATTTATTTTTACAAGGAGTAAAAAGTATACTTTCATGTCCCATTTATGTCATTTCAATATCCACATAAGCTTTTAAAGGGAGGGTTCCAAATCTTTTTTGAACTTCTTTCACAAAGAAAATGATATTCTGATCTGGCCTTTTTGGTCTTTTTGTTGTTGTTTACAAGTATTAGCTGATATTATATATACTGTACGCCCGGTATTATTCGCGAGCTTTAATTTCGCGAATTTTGCGAAAACACGGTTTCGCGGCTATTAAATTTCGCGAATTTCACAAGTTTGAAATGCATTACTACTAGTATTCCAGGAATTCTCGAGCTACTCGTGTGTAAATTAAGTTAAATGTACAGTAATTGCACTTACCTGATGTCATATTTGGATGAGATTTACAATAACTGGGATCTTTATCATCGGCAAGCTGCATATCAACCTCTATTGCATCGTCATTTTTAATATTAAAGCAAAAGTGCGTGGCTCCCATAATAACTTTACCGTACTTCATACTGTATTTTATCGTATTCGGGGATTCCTCAGTATATGATGTCCAATCAAATTGCAGGCTACGATCACGTGAACAATCCCGGGGATTTAATTGGCAATTTCGCGACGATAATTTTTCGCGATTTTAACACCATCGCGAAAAGCGCGAAAGTTAATCGCACGCGAATAATACCGGGCGTACAGTAACTAAATACATGTATTCCAAACAATGACAATTTAAGCAATTCTCTATAATCACATCTCTCTTACAATAAAACCCATTAAAACACAATAACTTATGCTGACAAGAATGAGTTAATTAACTAATAATTATCATGGGCAGATGTCCCAAAGTTTTTTCCATGATAGTCAAGAAAATAATACAAATATCCATTGTTAAAAATAGAAAGTGATTTTTACCTCCAAATCTTGGCATGGTTGCACAGCTTAATATTTTTGATGTCTTTTTTAATCCTGTTTGTATTTGTGTTTTGACCTTACCCTAATGCCTTACTAGTATTTTATTAAACATTGAACTTGAGTTCAACAAAAAGTTAAATATAATGCTAGATCGTGTTATTTTTGGTTCATATCCAATGTTTTTCTTGAGTAGAATAAACAACAAGATCCTCAATTCTGTTTTATCACAGTGTTTATGCTGCAAGGCTACGGTTTAAGAATCAAATGTTTTGTTTGTATGACAACTATCCTGATAGATTACTAGTAAGATCAATTCAATACAGTCAGGTTCATTCATGTAGTTTCTAAGGTCCCCATGCTCACTATTCAATAAATGCCCTATACAACCTACTCAAAAATTAAAAATACACAATACAACTGTTTAAGTCAACATGTAAATATTCAGGATTATGTGCTAACTGCAAGGTCATAAAAAGTGCTTTATTCAGTAATATTTGATTGATTAAATTCAATTTCACTCCAATAGGTATTATTTAATAAGGTTTCTCTATGATTTCTTTCTGTTTGAATCTGAAATGGTTAATTCAAAAGGTAAAAGTAATAAATTGTTGAGTCAATATTATATGTATTGACACAATTAGATATTCATTTCATCTTAATTCCAATTCACAGCTCTCCAATAAAAATGGGCAAATAATACATTTCCAGTTGATATTTAACAAAGGCTATTGGCTTAATGCTGTTGGCCTTCAAAATTCATTACAAATAAATAGTAAAAGAATCTCTAATTTCCTCAATCAAACATTAACCTTAAAATCTGAATGTGACTTGATATGAAAGAATACAAAAACATACTTTTCAAGGAGAATGTCACTTGGTTATACAGTTACAGTAATGCCCATAGTCACCATCCATAAGAAGGCATTCATTAAAGCAGGATATTTTTCAAGTCTGACCACTTTCAAATCTCAACTGGACATGCTAAAATACATTCTCTGCACACAAGGGATATAACCAAATACTGTAATAACACTATGTATGTTCTCATCACACCATTTGCCTTTGTGTACATTTTTTTGATTTCACACACAAAAAAAAGACATTTTGTTTAGGGGAATTTTATCCCATTCTTTATTTATTTCAAAATTACTACAAGGGCATTTAAATATGCCAGTATAATTTTTCTGTTCAGTTTCTAAGTACATTATTGATAAGCTGTGTCTCCCTTATAAAGTGAACATGCAGTAAATTGACAAGTTATTACAAACAGTTATATTTTGTCATACCAATGTATGTGTGCATTTTAATGGGACTTGATGATTGGCAGTGTCCTGTATTGCCAATACCAAATATGAAAAGTACATGTAGAAGATCCTGCTATACATACATTATTGCACCTTTAATATAACATTTGGCAAAATGTTCATAAATCAGACCTCCAAGAGATTAAACAATACAATATGGCTAGTCCAGCTGCTATTCTAAGATCAAATCATGAATTGCAATTGTTTTGTTGTAATATTGTCTGTGATAAGTGAATCATTGTTGTAATTGTGGATGGAATTAACTTTTCCACAGATTGGAACACAGAGAACTTGGAATTTGTTCAGAAGCCATACAGTTGCTTAGAAATCACAAAGTTGCTTAGAAGTCACAGGAAGCGAACACCTCTGGATAAAGTTCGAAAAAACCCTGGAAAACATACCATTCATATTTTATCAAACTGGTTTTTAGAAATTAAAATTGCAACATTATTTGCTGAACTATCAGACTATAGACCTTCTGAAATGCAATAAATGGAAAATCTGGAGAAAAACTGTTACGCTAAACTATATAAAGAAGCAAATTTTCAGATTTCCTTTGAAAAAGTGGTCAAATTACCCCAGGTTACAGTGTATGAATTGTTTGATGCTTTTTGGTCCTTTTAGAAACAGCAGTTTTTAACATATTATGAAAGAGCCACCATACCTTATAAAGCTGTACTGATTGTAGGACACTCGATGTGCAGCACATTTCACGTATTGAGTGCATGCTTAGCTGGGGAGCCCCAATATCTACAGTGGGCATACCTAGCTTAGCAGACATTATTGGTCCAATAGTACTTCCACACGCGGAGTCATTCCTCACAACAAAATCCTACAAGTTGAAAGATGTAATTAAACTGATGCTAGTAGGTAGTTACCAGTTTCACCACCAGGTGGCTCGTTCGGGTCTGATAGCATGGCAGGTATAGAAGAAAGTACCCTTCAACTTAAATATTCATCTGTTCAATTTTCATATCACCCCTATGTATCTAATAGGTTTGCAAATTAAAACATGTCCAGTAAGAGAAAATGTTATTTGTCCAATGCAAGAAAAGATATTTCACTTTTTGTGATTTTATAACATGGTGAATCTCCCAAACTAGAAATAAGTCATTTAATTCAATTGGTATGTTTTCCAAATGAGATATAAACAATTTAGACCTTGGGCATACCAAAGGCTGGAACCTTAATCAAAGATAAACTATTTAATGTCATACCTGGAGGGGTACATTAACTCTGGTGGCTATTTCACGGAGGATGGATTGTGTGATAGCAGTGCTGGCATAGCGCTGGTTAGCATTGATCTTAATGACGATACCTTCATGCAGACCTGGACGATGTTGCATCTCATGTTTCTCACTGGAAAACAGTACAGTCTAGACAATGCTAGAAGGTAAATGGCATGCTAACTGTCAGCAAAATAGGGATGTGAAAACTTGTCAAATGTGCAAAACTTGTGAGAAGACAGGTATACATGTTGAGAACATGTTATTGAAAAAATGACAGATCCCTGGAGCAATTCCAATGAAATGATCTAGACTACTTACTAAGAGTAAATATTAGGCCCATAGCTAAGGGGGTTCAACCCACTGGCCAAAAATTGTTTCAATATCATGCATTTTGTCACTATTCCGAGTACTTTTCATGTGATTTCATGTGGCCAAAATGGTCAAATGTGCACTGGAATTTTTTTGAAAAGTGAACCCCCCTTGACAAAAACTGACTATGGGCCTGAAATATATTTTCACATGTAGTTTATACAAACTGTCCTCTTCTTTCACATATTGAAGAAAATACAATAGTGTATGGGCAAGAAGGGCTTGATGACTTTCATGTTAATGATATACCTGTAGTTGGGGTGAATGGCATGTGCCTGGTCAGCACTGAGCATGTAAGACTTGGGGATTGCCTCCTCAAAGGCTGTGGGACCTCCCCCTGAGCTGAGCCTCCTAAGTACATGCTCCTGTAGCATGGAGGCAGCTCCCTGAGCACTGGATGATCCAACCTACAGTGAATATTAAAATATACATGTAGCGAAATAAAATCTAGAATTAAAAATCTCAAAATAATATTCAGTGACATCAGTGAGTTTAAGTTTACATTAGAAGTTATAACTACTGTACAATGTATGTGAAAACTTATTAAGTTTAATTATAGTTGAAATATTTTTGAACAGACTTAGAACAGACTAATTCAGACATGTACCTCTTCATTATCAAAGAGACTGATCATCCTGATGTTTGGGTCCTCATTTAAAGTATCTCCTTCACAAGAGTTTACAAGGCCCTGAAAAAATCAATCCAGTACAATCCTAACATTAATCACAGTCTTTGAAATGCAATAAGTACATTTCTAAAGCATCAAAAGGGAAAGATACAAGATACTAGAAACAATTAACACAATTTAAAAAAATGTTATAATTGAACAATATGCCTACAGTTCTGACTATTTCTTACTTTTTATGTAATATTTGGAAGTAAACCAATCCAACCGCAAATATTGCAACATAATTACCTCCAAAGCACAATAACAATTCAGTAAATTGTCCAACCGTGGGGAAAATATGAACTCCTCCAGAGCACCACCTATTGTCTGAAACAAACAATATTGTCACAATAGCGTGCCACATTATCATTGGCCGTTAGTTTCGATCTTGGACAAGTGATATTTTCAGCAAGCATATAATAAGTATAATACAGTATGTGTTGAAAAAATAGTCTAATACTGGGGAACAACACATGAGGTAAACAGCAAACTGCAAACAAATATTGTGGTATCAAAAATATTGATCAATGACTTTGGCATGTTTGGATATGAGCTGTTTTAATTATTTTGTCGCCTACTTCCACGAGACCATTGAAATTCACATTTTTTGCTTAATTGGTCCTCATGAGCACAAATAACAGAGAGAACTGGTCGTTGAAGTTGATAACACAGAAGAAAGTTTTGAGAAAATAAAAAGTATTCCTAGTTTAAGTTCACTTACAGCAGGCTGGGTGTCAGCAAGCATCAACTCGAAGTCCATGATCTGATCTGGTTTCACTTCTAGCTCATCACATATTATTTTTGTAATAATTGGATGGTGTTTCTCCTGCAAAAGAGTCAGCATAATTATGGAAATGCCTGTGAGGGGAATCAAGATCAGCATTTTGGAATCAAGGCTATGTCAGGCGAATTGGCCTTCTGGTGGAGGTTAGTACATTGGAATATCAAATCAGTCTGGAATAGAATGATGACTTTGCTGCCTTGATCAAAACTGTTTCCGTAATCTTATTTTCTGGATCAGATTTACCTTCTTGTTTTCATCCTGGTTTGCCGGACCTTGGAGTTCCTGTTGCACACATGTGGCAAGAACAGGGGCTCTGAAATGCAAACATGTACATGTTGTGACTTGTTAACTATAGTGTAAATGCAGTCTTGATGAAGGTAGAGGCATCCTAGATATAAAGAACTATTGTATAAATGTCTTAAATGATCAATGAGAATATTCAATTATTTTTGATGGATATGCTATATGGTTTATGGCTCACACGATAGGTGAGTCTGACCATATGTCCTTCAGTGTACCTGTCAACAATTTTTTGGACAGATGGCAGGCCCGTAGCCAGGGGGGGTTCGGGGGGTTTGGGCGACCCCCCCCCTGGCCAAAATTTCTTTCAAAATCATGCAGTTTTTCACCATTCTGACCATTTTTTGTGTGATTTTTGGCCAAATAAGCCAAAGTGAACCCCCCCTAGAATTTTGGGGAAAAGTGAACCCCCCCCTTGAAAAATTCTGGCTACGGGCCTGGATGGAAACTACCGATCACCTGAACCAATGATTATATCCATTTTATGGGGTCAATGCTGGTAATTAAGACCATTCGTCCTGGCTCTTATACTGCTTCATTTTGAGGAAATCTGCTTTTTTCACAATTGTACAATAGCCCAATAGTACAATTTACATCCACTAGTGGATAAAAATGTAAATTGTATCAAACTCAGTTATTCTCATGTTTTATGTTAAGATGACTTAACATGAAGTTATTATTGACCAGACTGACTGAATGAATATATGTACTCTAAGATGTTCTAATTAACTTACAATTGTGTCTCATTGTTGAAGACAAACTGATCATTCATGTCCCTCTGAAGATGTATACAGATGTTAGGCACCCTCAGTATAGGCCTGTCAACATGGATCAACTTGTGCTCAAGCTTGCTGCCATTCTGAAAGTGAAAAAGTTAACCACATTACATACAACTATAGTGTTCTAACCATGAATGATTTTGTGTAAAATTGAGCAACATTCTTACCTTACGTACTTGTATACAGTCATCTTGCTTCATCAAGCTTCGGACCTATCCTCATAGATAGAACGTAGTGATTGAGTGTGGGAACTGACGATGGTATACAGTAGTGATTAGGAAATTTTCATGCTTTCCAAAATCTGAACTGGTTTGAAATTGAAAAATGTTTGTTACATACTGAACTGGCTGCAGCACCCAGTTGCTAGGGAGATCACTAGGCAACAATAAAGTTCATTTGAATAAATAAAATAAATAAAATTCCTTTGAAAAAAATTGCACGCTAATTTATCAGGTGGACTGTAGGATATTTCGAAACAAATCAGTCCCTGACCTTAAATCACATGGTTTCAAGTTATCAATTTATTTATTGAAAACAAACATAATATAGACTTAAATACCCAACTTTTAGATTGTTAGATGATTTCTTGTACTGTACTGCAAACCATGAAATAATTTCTCACTGCAATGAACTATTATGGCTAAATATAAAGATCATTCAAAAATGAGTGTACCTTTACAACTACCCTGCCTGCAATGGTGAGATCTCTATCAAACCATGAATGCCATATTCCGCCACCATAGGTTGATACTCCTAGCTGCACATAGCCATGGGCAATCTTTTTAGACACTGGCTTCACCTAAAATACTAAGCCAAAAAACGTGTGGGCAGATGGAATGGCCAAAATTGACAACTAAATGAAGACTGAAAATTTAAAGATTTTGCGATTCACAAATGCTGCACTCCATGTTGGCTTATTGAGCACACTATTAAACATTATGTATTTTGCTGTATGCTATAAATCATGATTACCTTCAAACATGGACTGTCTGTGTGAGCTCCAGTTATAGTGAAGCCATTACCAGGAACATAACGTCCTCCTACTGCAAATGCTATGATGGTTGACTTGTTTCTGGTTACAAAATACTGAAATATAATACACCATAAAGTTTTCAAACGTTTTATCCTCGGCATTATTGTCACACAAGTTTTTCTTAAACAATCTTCCACACAATCTTACACACTTTTAAACCATACAGGTTTTGGATTCTCATGACTGTGTAGAGCATTTTTAATAACAAATCCAAAATGATAATGGCCCCACCAATCTGTATACTGAATTGCCTTAATTTGAAGGCCATTTTGATACGGCGGATTTTGCAGATTGATAAAAAACACCAAATTAAGTCTCCACCAATTTTTGAGAATTCTTTCAATATTTTTTATTGTAGGCCCATTTTATAACATTTTAGCCCACACATGAAGGTAAAATCTCCCTGTGCCACCTAAGAGTAACCTGACCACATGACTTCCAAGAGTAGCTAGCCAATATCCATATTTTACAGATGGGTGAATCTGCATAATTAAATCGCAGCCAAAATTTCAAAATTTGACCAATCCACCAAATTAAAGCAAATTACGATACTGTTTAATCATAAACTGCATTATTCATTATTTTTCTAACCTTGTTGGATGGTTTAATTTCCCACTTGTCCACCTCTCTCAGCTCAGTAAAGCCAGCAGCCAGCAACCTAGTGCGACATTCCTCAACAGCTACAAGTGAAAAAACATGTCAAACAACAAACAGGACAAAATAGTATAAATATAATGCAGGGGCGGATCTGGGAACCAACAAGGGTGGGGGGGGGCTAAATTTCAAGCCAGAGAAAAAAAATTCCCTGTAAAAAAATTTTGGGCACCTCAAACCAAAAATTTTGCGGCCCATTCTCTCAAAAATTGGTCCTAAAAATAAGGCCTTAGAAGACCCAGTAATGACCAAAAGGTGGGTGACCAAAAGGCCCACCTTTTGGTGCCTTAAGGCCTCTTTTGGCTCAAAATTGTTTTTGAACCCTATTTTTTTTCTTGGCCCACCCAAGGGGGCAGAAGTACTCGTTGCCATAAGTCGCGCCCTCAAAACCCGGGTTTGCCGATATCCAAATCCGCCTTTGCAAAAATGTGAACAGTTCATAATTAGACTCGTTCGTGTTATTTTCGTGTGATCGTTCGTGTGATTTAATTGTTTTTATTTGAAGGGTTCCTCGTTATCAATTGTAATATGTAAGATTTTATCCCAGACAGACACAATAGAAATTGCAACACTGGAGGATGGTAATAGCGTGGAATTGTATTTAAATCAAATAGTATTCATATATATGAATAAAAATTAATTTGTTTCAAGTTCCTCATCTCTACTGGCCAATTTTCCTTGTTTTAGTAGCCATTGTACTGATATATTATCTTAGTCAAAATAGAGAACGAACGAAGTATAAGGGGTCTTCTAGCTTTGCACATTTTAGACCAGTCAAAATACGTAACTATTTCCAATATGTTTAACGTCTTGGTAGATACAAAATAACACGTATGAAATTCTAATAAAACAAACTTCTATATTTCGTGGCCTCATTAAATACTTATTTTGTTTGGAATGGCATTAAACACTGGTCTGCGAAACCAATGTTTAAATAAGGGATGGCGCACCCGGGTCTGACTGTAAACCTCCTGTTCACTGTCGTACAGTGAACCCTGCTTTCCCAAACCCGGGTTTCCAGGATTCGCCTCGCATGCCTTCGACTCTTTCTCCAAGGGGGGGGGCAGATCCGCCAGCTTTATGAGCATATACACTGGTTATATTGGCCATTTATCAACTATCAATAAACTGAGAGCACATCATGGAAAATTCCAGATTGGGCTGCACAGCAAAGAGTGTACTTGATTCAAGTCATACCTTAACATGGTCGACGCATTAACATTACCTTCACAATGGTGCTAGTACATTTAAACATGCAACACTTCTGATTATTCTTCTGATTAGTTTACTGCTAGAACTATTCTTTTCAAGAAAAATTACTACTAGGCCTCTGTTCTTCAGGGCACTAGAACATCACAGAATCTAAGCTGTATATATAAGAAAATCTTACATCACATATGGCATACATGTAATTGTGTGTGTGTCGTAATCTACATGCAAACGTACCATGATATGGAGAAGGTGACCTGTTCACAAAGCCAAGAAACTGACGGGCAGCAGATAGTACAGCTTCCTTGGAATTCTGAAAGAAATGCTTATGCTTTTACTATAAATCTTTAAATTTTTGCAGGATCCTTTGGATTACATCATGGGTTGAGATTCAAAAAGTAAGAGCTGGGAAAAGGAGTGTAAATTACCAGTAAGGACCCCCATAAAATCGATATAAGTACAAGTCTGAATTAATGATAGTTATCATCTGTCTGAAAATTGTTGATGGATGGATGAAAGGAATGAGAAAAGAAAGGACAGGTTGAAAAGTTACTTGATTGTACTTGATTCCAGAGGATGTGACCCAATAATAACAAGAACCTGAAATTAAAGCAGCATCTACAAGAGAAACCGTGACTCTACAACACAATAATTGCTTCAAGACCGTGAACCCCCCTCCCCCCTACCTATCTACTGCACTTCACCAACACTTTTTGGGATGATGTGTAGCTGTCAGTGTACAGTACAGAAAATCACCATCATCAAACCAAGTAAAAATTGAGACTGAAGAACTGACAACTGAGGTTACCTATGAAGCAATGAAATGTAGGAAGAAAATTTTCCTCATCCTATTATTATAGCAGAGACATATAAATGTTTTACTAACCACATAGTTTTCTAGACAAAAAAATAACACAAAAATTAGGACTGTCAAAGTTCAAGTAGGCCCAATGTTCTATCAACACAATTTATGGCCTTTAATTTACAATTTGATCATAAAACTTGTTCCTGAAGTGCTTTATACCTTCATATATTTGACAGATAACTATTTAGTTAAATCATGAAGTGTAAAGAGACAAAAACAGTGAATATATAATGACTTACCATCCTTATCTTTCTCTTCTTTTTTACTTGGCCACTTTAGTCTCAAATCTCCAAGAAATTTAGAAAAGTTACACAAACAACTCTGAATATTAATACCTCAGACTCTGCAAATAAATAATTTTATACGTTTGTGTACAAAAATAAAATTGAATTGGCATTAGGGTTTTTACACAATGTAAATCTTATATTTTGAACGTTGAGACTATCGTAAAAAATTTGAAAATGGAATTTTTTTTAAATATTTTGTTTTTAATGATATTTATATCACAGATAACTGCAGAAAATGTTGAAGAGTGTGTTGAATCAAAGGAGTTTCAGACCACCGGCAATATTTTAGGTACATATTGGAAATGATGTCACTATTGTTGACGAAACCGGTATTTTTCAATTAATATACCCTATTATCGCCCATGAATTTCTTGATAAATATTTTGAAATTGAATTAGAGTCCATTTCACTGCCTCATTGCGTCAGTAGAACGGCAAAAATAAGAAATTGGGAGACCATTGTGCAATAATATATGGAAAAGCATATTCATAATGTACATGGATGACATTTGTATTTTTCAGATTTTTTAGTTTTTTTGTGCAATAAGCCTGTGCCGACTTGTAATTTGAAGAATTTCAGCCATGTTAATCTTATTGAAAATAACATGGCAGAGAAGTATCCAAATATAAGAGGCCACACACTCTATAAGCCAAACTACTATTTTTTCATGGCCTGAGTTCGTCGCTTACATGCTAAATATAAGAGTTAGCTGACGTTTGGGAGTCTGACTTACCTTCTAAAGGTTAGAACCCGAATCTTAATGAAACCATATCACCTTTGTTCCGTCAACCATGGAGCATTTGCCACAACATCCAAGAGGTAAATCATGGACCGTGAAAATGAATGATTTCCTTGTAAGTTCCGGAAGTTTCAATACGAAAAATTACCGAACATATGTGAAAACCGAATATTTGTTCGTTGTTTTCACGATTTACAGGTTCGTTTGTTCTCCAATGTTTTGGTCTAAATTATAAAGCATCACCAACAGGTCTTACTCTATTAATCGACTAATACAGCAGACGGCTCATATTTCTACGAAGCATTTCGTTCAGACCAATAGTGGGAGTGCAGATCACGCAGTTTTTGTTCGTTGCGTACTTCACTTGAAATTGGTAATTTTAAATATTGGCTACTTCACTTAGCTTGGCGGATGTAGAACATTGCTTAATATTCTTTTAATTTTCACACCAGACATGCTTGGTTGACACGTCAACAAAGTAAAGTTCAAGGGTCAATGCGTTATTTCGTGATAACTACAATGCCTTCCCGGAAGTCAACATTAATGAAAAATGAAAAAGTCGGAAAAGCATTTACACTAATTTCTATCAAATGCTGTGTTATGCATCATCAATGACGCAACAAAGGTGATATGGTTTCATTAAGATTCGGGTTCTAACCTTTAGAAGGTAAGTCAGACTCCCAAACGTCAGCTAACTCTTATATTTAGCATGTTAGCGACAAACTCAGGCCATGAAAAAAATAGTAGAAGCAATCCAAGATATACAAATGTCATTCATGTACAATAGGAATATATTTTTCCATATATTATAACAAAATGATATTTTGATTTCTTATTTTTTAGCTTTTACTGACGCAGTCAAACAGTGAAATGGACTCTACCAATTTAATTTGTCACATAAAGCTCAATCATGGAACTGCACATGCTATACGTTGTAAATCTAAATCTTTGTTTGTTTGATGGTCACCTAAGATCTACGTGTAAACCTTGTGGAGGTCTTACTGAACACAGCTGACCGTTAGGTAGACTGTGAAATCATGGGCTTTCATGGTGAAATGAAGAGAGTTTTTCCATGTAATAGTGACAGAACATCTACAATACATTCAAACAAAATACATAAGACTCAGATTTGCATTTTTCAAAGCGATTTGTGTGGAAGTGATGTATGTAACGAGGATAGGATTGTTCTTTTACTGAATCACAATTTTCCCTACATGATGTCCAGACCTATTGCATTGCCACTAGGTTGTACAATGAATCAAAAAACATGTATCTGTTCATTGCAGTGTGTAACATGCCTAGAAATTTTCAAAGAAAGGAATCTGGAAATGGTGAAAAAAAGCTGCGGATATTCTGTTACAAAGGTGGAAAAATCAGGCTCACAAGACTCTGGACGAATCCTATGGTAAATTAGATAAGATATATAAATATGCATGCCACCCAGTTCATCAAAAATCATAGTCTTTATCAAAGCTCCGACGGTGTTCCAATATTTGTTTTATAATTAGGCCTCTATAACATGTAAAGTCATCATCAACAGGTATAGCCTCAACAGGTATAATTAGGCCTCTATAACATGTATAGTCATCATCAACAGGTATAGCCTCAACAGGTATAATTAGGCCTCTATAACATGTATAGTCATCATCAACAGGTATAGCCTCAACAGGTATAATTAGGCCTCTATAACATGTATAGTCATCATCAACAGGTATAGCCTCAACAGGTATAATTAGGCCTCTATAACATGTAAAGTCATCATCAACAGGTATAGCCTCAACAGGTATAATTAGGCCTCTATAACATGTATAGTCATCATCAACAGGTATAGCCTCAACAGGTATAATTAGGCCTCTATAACATGTATAGTCATCATCAACAGGTATAGCCTCAACAGGTATAATTAGGCCTCTATAACATGTATAGTCATCATCAACAGGTATAGCCTATCTTTACCTGTAGTACCTTGTCACTGTTTTTTCAACAAAGGAGTGGTATCGATATGGAGAACTTAATTCAACAATGTTTTTCTCTTAAACCAATCATTGAAAACAATCTTTAAAAAAACACGGTATTTTATGTAATGTTGACTGATTGACAACAATTTAATGCGAAAATTATTTAGAAATATTTTATATAACTGTTTTTGTTAACATTTTTTGTTTTTTTTAGTACAATTGTTTTTGCTCCTTTCTACCAATTTTTGAGAATGAAATAGAATGTCTTTCCGAACCTTGTTGGAACAAAATACATGTAGCATATACAACATGTTTTTAGACCTCTCAATATTATAGGTATACAAAGGAATTTTTGGTTGATTTTAAAAAAGTATTCAAAAAATTAAAACAAAATCCCCCAAAATAGATAAAAATCAAGATAAACCTTTTATTTCATTAACAAGATACTTTTTTAAAATCAACCAAAATTGTTAGCATTATGTAAGTTTCTAAATGAGGCTGGGAAGCAATTGTAAATATGTTTGTTATAAAATACTTAATTGTTATATACTTATTTACTGTATGTACTTTTGCCTAATACCCTTTATTTGGGTGATGGTATAATAAACAAATTGAATTTTTTACAACAATATTGAGAGACCTAAACATATTGTGTTTATGTCGTTTTGTTCCAATGAGGTTCGGAAAGATGTTTCATTTCACTCTGGAAACATGATACCAAGAACAAGAAGTGCTTGATGTGTTTTCTTAAACAATATAGATGAAAGTATATATATATTTTTCAAATTATATTATTACCATTCAAAAGATGACCATTAAATTGACGAAGTGTAAAATTTTTAGATTTGTTTTTGACTGGTTTAAGAGAAAAGTGTGTTCAAAAAGTTCTCCATATCGATACCACTCCTTTTATAAAATTGCTTTTTCCTTTTTTGTGAGCAATCCCCTCTCCCCTGGCTACGCCCATGCAGGACTGCTGACAGAAGTTACTGTTTTTCGTATTTTCATTGCTTTCAGGTTAAGATCAAGATAGCCGATGATCAGTATGAAGTGTTCAAAGGTCAGAATGACAGTGATGTATATAGACAATACCAGGCTTCAGCTACCAGCTGGTTCAACCTTATGCCCTGGAAGACAGAGGCCGTGAATATGAAGCCGTTCACAAACTCGTGTATGGGGATAGCAACTAGCTTGGATTATGAGATAGAGTTTAGAATCAAAGGTACAGGTTGACCCAAAATAATGAAATGAAATTTTAGTAAAACTTTCTCAAATATGTTGATACATTGGTCATTCTCTCAAAATCATTTAAAAGTGCAGGTTCAGAAATCTTTTTTTGTCAATATTTACCATATTGGCAAGCACACCTCTGTAATACACACATTCAACATTCTATTACATGAGAAAACATAAACTAAGTAGACTAAAGAATATTCAACCAACAGCGAGAAAGTTATTTCAAAATAATGCAGATGCGAGTAGGTAGTTACCAGTTTTACCACCAGGAGGCTCGTTCAGGACAGATAGCATGGTGGGTATAGTAGAAAGTGCCCTTTAACTTTGTTTTAGTGGCTTGATTTTCATATAACCCTTATGTATCTCATAGATATGCAAATTGAAATATAAAAAAAATTTCAAAGTTGATAAACAATTTCGGAACCATATTTCTAGAAGTACTTTTACATGTAGATTTCAAATATGGCATCACTTTGACTGAATTTGGAATATTTAATGAAGTTAATCAAGATTTCTACTCACATTTAGTCTATCGGATGTTCTATAATGATCATAATCTGAGTCTAAAGTAGAAATGGGATTGAAGTAGGCAGTATAATACCATAGTTAAATAAAATTTTTAAAACTGTATCAGTTTGCCATCTTTTTAGTATATAATTGTGTTCAATGAGGATGTTACATGTTAACCATAGTTTTTGCCTCAATCCTTGAATATAAGCCCTCATTTATCCAAAGTCAATCTGTAACTTCAAGAAGAGAATCTTCAATGATATGAGATATTTTCATCAACTGAATACACCAATCTACTTGTCAGAGACTGGATATCTTGCAAGAAATGGATATTTGAAAAGTATGTGAAAAAAGAACCTTTCAACATTAATACTATCGAATCAAGGTCATGAGTTTTATGACATAAACACAATGGTACATTGGTTGGTCATCACTGGATGATTGGTTTATACTTTGATTTAGACCATTCATGCATAGGACCATCCTCCAATAACAGTGCTTTAAAATCCAAAATATCTTCTTTCTTTTTACCCCCTGGGATAAGCAGTTAGCATTTCCCCGATTAAGAACTGCAACATTGCAACAGCAATCATGTATACGTCATCAGCACATAATTAGATCACATGATTCAGTTTTATTGGGCGCTTCCAATTTGGTCATAGCAGGGGGAAAGAAGGAGGTATGGATTCTGGACACCTGCTCAGGAGGATGGCATAGGACTAGATCCCTCTTATTACAGACCAAGATAGAATCATATATGATCTTACCATAAATTAACCTTTGTGAATAAGGTTATCAATGACATGACTTTATTCTTGTAGTTGTTGATCCATGGTTAGTGAGCTACTTCATCATAGGGATCATCCTGTTCCTCTCTGCCAAGAGACTCAGTAGGTATGTTGTATACTTTGTATATTCAGACAAAAAGAATGGGCCCTATCCTCCCCCCAAAAAAGAACCTTGTTTGATGTGAACATTTGTCGCATATCAAAATATATAAATACAGTATTCATAACATGGAATTCATAAATTGTGAATGTTTTAATAGGTACAACCACAATCTGTGGTGTCTTGAACTATTGAATTTTTTTTCATGTATAGAAAGGTGGCATGCAGGCACTTCATGAATAATATGGTATACAGAAAACCTGAATTTGTTTGAAATGTTGGTTCTTTATTTCCAGGAATGTTTTGTTCTACTATGGGACAGGTGTTTCTGTGGGTTTGTGTGCATCTCTCCTCATCGTAGTCTTCATATTCAGCCGGCTTATACCTGGAAAGGTGATGATACGCTTATTAATATTTACATCATAAATGTGGATTGAGAATTAACAACTGCACCTTTTAAAAATAGTCTGTTTTAGGCATATGTGCTTTTGGTAGTGTTATGGGGTTTATTCTGTGGTTTATCTTCCGATCAGTTATATGGCATCTATGGTTTTACTGGCTGTTTATGTGATACAGAGTAATGGGTATGGCTGAGAGTCGTGATCGTTTGCTTTTTTATGTTGCCACAAGAAGTGGACGGTGTTTGGTGGTCAGTGTCTGTAACAAATGGCAGGTAGTGACAGTTTGCATGTTAATGCCTTGTTATAACTGAATTTTACAAAGTGCTGCATGAATGTCTGAAGGAAGATGAATTAAATCCTCTGAAAACCTAGGAAGAAAATATCATTCATATTGATTTTGTACTCTTTAGTTTTGAAATCACTGGTATTTTTGCTGGAATATTTAAGTTCACTCTGAAGGCCTCACATATAGTTTAGTTGTCTTGAATGCACTTCAACTCCTTATTTCTTTTATTTTCAGAAACCTGTAGTTTACACATTCCTGATGGGGGGCTGGTCTGTGAGTCTCTACTTCATTCAGTATTTATGGGAAAACATCCAGGGAATACTAGAGACATACTCTCATTTCGTCATAGGTTACTTCCTGATTGCTGGACTGATAAGTTTCGCAATATGTTACTGGAAAGGCCCCATTGAGGATATAAGGAGTCGCAATCTTATTAAATGGACTATTCAGCTATCAGGGCTGATATGTATGTACAATAGCATGCAGATTCCTGAAGTATCTGTGTTTATTATGGTCACCATTCTCATCATCCATAACTTCCCATACTCTGTCACATATTCCATCAAAACCTGGTGGTAAGTATTAATCAAGTGAATTTGTATTGACACCTATCTTAAGTGATAAGAATTACAAAATGTACATTCAAATGTATCTATCTTATATGTATTCTAGTATATAATGTAAATAATAAAATGTTACTAAAAGCATCACCACACTACTAACCTGTGATTTTTCAAAAATTGTTCATTCCATTTTTGTTTTTGAAAATTGCCATTATGACATCACAAATCATGTAACATGTAAATGTATTGAAATCTCCATATTTCTTCATTTTCCTGACAGGAGGAGGCGCTTTCCGCCGAAAATCCGTCTGCTAAGTGAAGCAGAGTACATAAGGCAGGGAGATAAGGAGACTCGGAAAGCTTTAGAAGAACTCAAGGAATACTGCAGGAGTCCACAATGTGATGCCTGGAAAACCATCAGCAGATTGGGCACACCACAAAGGTAGGTTCTTAATATTACTATTATTTGCCTGTTTTTTTAAAAATCTCTCTTCCATTTACTTATCCCAGTAATATGAATGAAACTAATGCTAGTTGACAGTCAGTGTTGACCTTGATAACTGCATAGCTGAGTTCTGATCAGAATTTGAAAATTAGCATATTGCAAATATGTCTCTTGAATCCTCTTTTTCATCAAACTTACTGTAAAACCTCTTGCATCCTTTTAACAAATAGAGAGTGCTTTTGAAGCAAATAGTATTAAGAATCATGCAGGATATTCCTCATATTCTTCTACACCCTATTTTTTTTATTATAGATGATTGATATTATAATGTCATTTTATAAATAATAATGTCATTTTATTCTCATTTTTGTATGATGTGAATAAAAACGGCAACTACATCACATTGAGTAACTTCAAAAATTCACTCTATGTTCTTCAAATTATTGGCATAATTAAATACAAAGTACATTGCTAAGCTATAACTTATTTACGAAAAAGCTGTGGTTATCAAATATTACCTTGCTGTATTTGCAGATTTGCTAACTGGATGGAAGGAGACTCACACCTGACAGATGACGAGATCTTGAATTATGATATTGACCCCACACCCCCTATACCCTTGGATCCCTATGATGAGACAGAATCTGACATTGACTTTGCTCTAGGCACAGAATAAAATCTGGATACCAATGACCATCACATGGTTTCAAGTGCACATGCACTTTCATATGGACAATCTTGCCAGTCGATGTATTGTATGCTATACAGGAATTGGAGAATCAAAGAAACTGGCATTTTGAAAGTGTAACATCAAATATGGTGAAAGACTGAAAGTCAAGGATGGAAAATGATCTCTGTATTATATGTCAAAGACTTGCTCATTATTGTATATATGTATATTTAGACAGAATCAAAATTCAGTTGATTCAGTTGTACAGTAACTCAAAAAAACTTAACGCATTTTTTGTGAAAGCAAAATGTATTTGTATACTGACTATTTTTCTGGCTATGGTTGTTCATTTGACCATGCAATACATGCAATATGGCATTTAAACATATGGTTCATAAAATACTATTTTTATTTAGAAATGTTTTCACATGAATAATGAATGCACAAACTATGCAATATGAATTTATTTATTTCAAAGTTGTATGGCAGCTAAACAGAACAAAAAGTTTAGATTTATTGATACTGTACCCCATGGGGAAATCTGCTCACATAGAATGATAAACTACTGGGATTTTAAATAGTTTTCAAGTTTTAGGTTTTAGTCCTTGTCTTATACTTTTAATTGGACTAATTTGGTGCTATTTAATTTGGTTTTTGCGATTTTTAGAATATTGATGGTATTTGAAACAGAAAATGAAAATTTAGTGCAAAAATGAGAAGAAACCAACAGTCGGTTCAGAATTATTTTTGTAACAAAAATTTGATTTTTCCAAATGAATACCTCTTATTGACACTGGAAAGAAGTTATTCAAGGAATATTGTTTTATTTTGTCAAGGAATTGAACTGTCTAGAATCTGTATAAAATCGAAGAATCCCAAAAGCAGGCAACAAATTAATCAACAATTTGTCATGTTCATTTGTACATATGTGGTGCAACTTGGAGATATCCTATGGAGCTCAAGTGAAGAGGTAGGTTGCTCCAAGACTCTTGACCCCCTATCTACTTCACAAGGAAGATGGACCATGGACGTATATTAGTTGATATATGTCCATGGAAGGACCAACTGGGAAGTAGATAAGGTGCGTTGTAGGGTTTTGAAGCAAACCTAAAGAGGGTTCAGGGTACAGTAAGAACATGATTGTGCCACTGTTTCTGATTTTCATGTGCATTGGTGCTCTGGGCTAAATTGCAAATTTACAATCTGATTGGCTTTACATTGAAAGCCATATGTTTGAATACTGCAATATAGTTTTACTTGGCCTGATCACATGAATCACTATATCTAAACTGTCACTATCAACTGATAAAACTGGAAATAGACATTAATATATTGTGAGATCACTTTTATTAGAATACATTAAGAAGTAATTACTAATGGGTAATTTTAAGGGGTCAGGCAGTACCTGATCCTCATAAAGTCTCCTCCAAAATATTAAACACTATTGTCAAATGATGTTGAAACATGTGGTAGAAGTTGTTCTTTTTTATTTTGGTGTATTTTAGGATCAGATTTGGAGACTGAGCCACTTTCTTTACAAGGGCTAGGACCTTTTATATGAAGGCACTGATGACTTGCACAGATATGCCAAAAAGTTCATAGTAGTTCCACCTTGCCCCCAGTTCCCATGTTTTACTGTATAAGAAATAAAATATTTTTTAAACACAAAAACATTTATGTTATAAGGTATTTAATATAATGACTAGTCTCAATATTCACAATTATGCTTTGGTACACTTTTGTAAGTACAAGAACTCTGTGAAAAGGATTGATGTTATAATAACAGTGAAACCTGTATATATGAACACCTGGCCAATCCAACACCTTCCAATCTGAACATTTTTTTCCTGTCCCATTTTTTCCTCCCATTGACCTTAACATCTGAACATATCTTTCCAATGCAAAAACGTTGAAATCCGAACACCTCCTTATTTGAACACTTTTAGCCAGTCCCAATGTTTTTTGGATTAAACAGGTTTTATTGTATTAGTACAATAACATCATTTTAAAGGGTAATATAGTGAAATATTGGACCAAGGTCCAATGTTTCACTAAATTGCCCGAAGTAATGACGTTATTAGTATTATTACCACCGTGTATGCCCAGGGCTGAAATAGCAAGAACGGACTGCCACTGAAGGAAAATTATGCGCATTGAACGATATCTCATTTCCCAGAGAACATTGGCGGGCTGAAATATCAATATTAGGCCTTCCACTATCACGTCAGATATTCCTCAGCTCAATATAGTAAAGTAAAAGCCTTCTTAACAAGCACTAATACCCCTAGAACAGGCCAGGCAAGGTGGTAATACTTTTTGTAATACAAACTTTACAGTCATATAATTTATGAAATGAATGATTTTTATAATATAAATATAATAATTGCCAGTGTTACACAAAGCATATCATTATTAATCGAGCTTAATGTGCATTACGTGCAGCAAAATATTGACAAAAGTCATAAATTGTTTGTAATTGTACCTTAACACTTACATGCATTGGGATTGTATTATTTAAAGGGATACATACATTTAAGGGAGACAATTATTGTAGAAAAGGCCAACAATAATTAGTAATTTTCGTATCTAAATAATTACATTAAATAAAATGTGATTTTGAATAATAATTTTTAATCAGCAAAGTTAAAAATATTATTTGGTATTGGTCAATAATGATGAAGCAACCTTTACCAGATCTCGTTAAGATCAATAATCATCTGAAGAATAAGCCATTCCATTAGATTGACCAATTTTCATTGAAAAATGAACCAGAACACAATATTCTGCAAGAAAAGAATAGTCACTCTTTTACTAATAATGGTACTGCTCAGTTCATTATGAAACAATAATGCACTGTAAAAAAATAATGTTTCTGCTCAGTTGACCATATACCTTGCATTAATGCACTGAAATACTCGAAGCTGATTGGCTGAGACACACTTGGCATATTTTATTCTACTTGTAAGACTGAATGGCAAAGTTTACCTTTAAATGTATGAACGTGTAGTAAATAAATGTATGTAATTGACTAGGATAAGCTGTAATCACAATACAATAACCTGAATTAATCATGTTTTGCTAATTCAGGTATTATTTAAACTAAGTGAGACCAAAGAGTGAAGATCAGAAACATGAGGCAATCACTTCATTTAATGCTGTTTCTCTGTTCGTTTGTTTTTGTTAGAGGGAAACCGAAAACATGTACAACAAAACATCTTGATGGGCTGGAAGCTGTCCTGAAAGATTATATTGATAACAAACTTAATGACAAGTTTGCCGCACTGAAGCATTATTTTGATTTGAAGATCGATTCACTGAAAAGTCATTTTGATGAGAAGGTTGATTCAATGAAGATTGATAGTGATGTACAACATGATCTATTAAAGAAACAGCTGTCAGAGACGAGAAATGCGCTAAGTGAATGTGCTTGTGAAAAACAAAGACGTAAGAATATTTAAAGTTAAATTGAATCTAACATTTCTAGTATTTTGTTAAATTCCCGGGCTAAATTCATGCATTGTTTAAGGATATAAGCCCATAATTATTGAATTGTGTAAATGATTGTAATCATGTATATCTTGTATAAAAACTTTGAATGAGGGTGGCAGCCCGAATTTCAAAGTCTATGATACAAGACCTGAGTAGATTAAATCATCCACACTCTCCAACCAAAGGCACAGGTGCTTTACGCAAACATTCAACATACTATTCTACTATAGCTAGCACCTAAGTACAAAGAAGGTTAGCAAACTTATGATTGACCATAGGCCTTGGGAACATGTATAATGAAAAATCAATTCAATTGAGTTCTGTATGAAAAGGAACTAAACTCATTTTTATACATGTTCTCGGGTCCTGATTGAAAATGTGGAGATATATTTTCCATCTTCTATCAAAATAATGAGCATAGAATAGAAACTAGACATATTTTCATTTAGGCCTATTATAGTAAATGTTGCAACAAGGACTGAACTTCAATACCATTTTAAATGTATTACTTAAGAAATAAAGAATCAATATACAGATATACGAGATAGAATGATACATGATTCTTTATTGCAATTCAAACATAACTCTGGTCAATGATGAAGTAGAACAGTTCACCATTTACATCTACAAGATTGTTGTCTTTGAAAAATTAAATTTTATGTTTTAGGACAAGTACTATATATATACTATATACAAATACTAAATAGGGATGTTGGGTTACAATTGATATTCATTTCAAAACAATTGAAAAGGTTTTGTTTGTCAAAATATAAGAGATAATGAAATAATTAAGAGATAATGAAATAATTAATTTGATGCAGAAAACTTATGAAAACTTCGTTGGTAAATCATTGCATTGCCTGAAATATGCTGACACGCCTTTTTAACGACTGGTACTGCTCATTAAATGCACAGCAAAATCATTTTCATGCATATATCAATTAATTAATACATTGGAATGCTTTAAGCTGATTGGCTGAGACACAGTTGGCATGTTTGAATTACTGTTATATATATATATATATTAATTCAGAGAGAGGTTTGGTTTATCATATGGAAGGAAGTAGAGGTAGATACAGCCTTACGTGTGATGAAGCAAAAGCACTCTGTGAGAGCAGAGGTCATAAGCTTGCTACAAAAGCTCAGTTACTCGCTGCATATGAACTTGGTCTGCAAATGTGCCGAACTGGTTGGCTTGAAGGCTGTGAAGCATCCTATCCAATACAAATGCCAAGAAGTGCCTGTGGCCGTAGGGGCATCAATGATTTTATTTCATCATCAGGGAAGGCTGATGTCTTCTGTGCTGTAGACTAAAGAGCTGATAAAATTATTTGTAATAACAATGAATGTGTAGACTGTTAGATCTTTGGATAGGGTGGCCAAACGTTTTTACAAGTCTTAACCAATTTTTTTCTTTAAAAATAGAAAATATGTTTTTCTTCTATCAAAAGCAGGATTTATTCAATATTATTTTTGAAAATATTTTTTCTCAGAAAGGTTAGATCACAAACGAAGATCTATAAGTCCGCTCCTAACAAAAACATGAATGAATAAAATATACTATCACCAAAATAAAATGTTATTTTGTTTTCCAACTTACAATCTGATCATGATTTTTATAAATATTTTTATAAATTTATTGATGGCTATTTCAAACAAAATTAATTTTGTGCAAAGTATAATGCGAAAATGAAAAGACGCCAACAATCAATACAGAATTATTTTTCAACATAATAAGATATTTGAACCTGAAACTGATGTATTAGATTGAAGCTGGAATGAATTCATTCATGAAATATTGTTTTGGATCCCATATTTGAACTGCCCTTAATTTTACTGCGAATGCACAATCTGATTGACACTGTGTATAAACTGATACAGCTTGGAATGAACAAAATTTCTATGATTCCCGTTTCAACATTTTCCAACATCATTTATATAAGAACATATTATGAGATAATATCAAGGCTAATTTAAAAGTCTTTGCCTGTAACTGATTTTTAGAGGCTATCCCAAAATTCAAACACAAAGGTACCTGTTATATGTACAGCAGGGTTAAATTTCTTCATTAAGATTCACAAAGCATTTGGACAGTTTTCTTTCAAAATTCTTCACAATGTTTTGCTATATAAAAAATAAGATATTTTCAACACAAAAACGTTTATGTTATAAATATTAAGAGATCCATTTTATTTTCAAAATAATAACTAGTCTCAATATGTAATATCTATATGTTCATATTTACAATTTATGATGAAAAAGACCTTCATGCAAGATAAATTAGAGTATTACCAATGTACAATAAATGATTAAGATAGAAGATACAACACCAAGCATATCATGACTGAATGCTTGAACATCGTGACTAATATAAATACATCAACAATATCTGTATTCTGAATAACAGCTGACAAACTTTAAACAAACAGTGAATACAATATGTAGAATACTGCTTTAATACAAAAACACAGTACATATCACCATAACATATTATTCAGAGTTCAAGACTTGACAGCAACTCAAAGAGAAGAAATAACATCGAAAAAGAAACATGTCTGTAAAATAAATAGCCACTTTAAAGACAGAAATATTTCAAAGACAGAATGTGCCCTCTTTCTGAAGAGTTACAGACTATTAGGTAATAATGGAATGTACCTCCTCAAAGAGTGTTACATTTAAAATATCACTATACTTTTTTCTAAAATTGTATGAAAATTCATACTCATGTTGGCTTGAAAATATGTGTTATCATTAACCCCTGATGTAAATGGCTAAATAAAACAGCCTAATTCCATGAAGGTGCAACTCACTTAAGATATAAGAGGGCCATCTCTGTAACTCAACTGCGATCCTAAATGTGTAATTCACAATGATCTGTAATTTCACCAATAGAGTTATATTAAAAATTGTCTTTTCTGTAGATTTTGATTTGAAGCTTGAAAAAGTTAATGTAGTATGTGAATAAGTTGCCTTTTAAGTTTAAAAAGTGAGAGGTGAGACTCTGTTTCAGTTGCATATTGCTGTGGCATATACTGATCATTATGAATTGAAACCATCTTGGGGTGATTTAGGAAAATAATTACAAAGACTGCCACTTGAAAGTGGACTGTCAGTGGGACCTAAAGTTAATGTACATTACAATAAAGTCAACTTTCTAATACTAGTGAGCACCGACTGATCATTTAAAGCAAAGTCTGTAATCTTACATGAAGACCCCCTTTCCCATATTTCAAACCTTCCATTTCAGTCAATATGTGATGTTTGAAAACTTCAGAATGGAAAGCAAGCATTATAAGGATGCTCAACTGCAATGTGAGGTGTCAACAGCAAGATGAACGAAACTGCACATGTTCAACTCCAGGTCTTAATCTCGAGAATAATCAACCTACAGATGCGGTGTCTTCCTCATTTTTTGAATCTCAGGATTTTGTTACGCTACTCAGCATTTTCTCGATTTTATCATCGTTCTTTTTAATGTTACATTTGACAGCTGCAATGAGGTCGAGTTGATCTACTATTGCTTGGTCTATCTCTGCTAACTGGGCTTTAAGTGGCTCCACAGAGGATTCAGTTATGCTGCAAGAAAAATTAAGAGCAATTAAATAAATGGACAGCACTGAGAAAGCTTTCATATTGAAATTTAAATAAATGAGATGCATACTGTATAAGTGGTAATTTTTCCTAATCATTTAATTTGCCTATTTCCTAATTTTTGCCAGGTTCGGAAAATTAAATGTCGGAAATATTGTCTTTATAATGTTATCCAATGGGAGGTTTCTTGTCATTAGGAAAATTAAAATTAGGAAAATGATGAAATTTGACCATTCGGAAAAATAACCACTCGGATTAAATACCACTTATACAGTATTGTGCCCAAATTGCAATTTTACACTTAATATCTGTTTAATCTGATCATTCAAATGAATAATATGAAAATAAAACAAAGAATCATTGAGAAATGTCAAACCTTTGTTCCTGTTGAAGAGATCTGGTGTTATCTTTATTTTCTTTCTTCCAAACTTCCAATTCTTTTTGCATTGAATCAAGATCTTCTTGAACATAGTCCATTATTTTGCCTAGTGGATTTGCACTACGAGTTAAAGTTTGTATACTTGTTCGTAGTTTGTCTATTTCACGCTGAACCATTTCTCGCTCCTTTCTCCTGGCTGCGTCTGAGACAATAGGCTTTTCCTGGAATGAAGAATTAATTACTGAAATTACACAATAGTCTTTTCCTAGGTTGAAATTAGATGGTAATGATGAATTTTTTTCTGGAGTTAGTTTTTTGATTGAGCTTGTGATATGATTTACTCTGGTAAGAGCTTATCATAAACTTTTTAATGAGTGATACATTGATAAACATTTATGATTGTTTTTACATATTATACATTAAGTTTTTACTCACTCAAAATTAATGGAGTATATAATACTTTTCATTGAGGGGATCTTGGAAGAGATAATTTTCTTGTGATATGAAAGTAAAGATTTGCTAATTCATGATCTCTTTTGTAAAGGGTTGATGGGTACAATCAATTGATATGAATATTGATCAAAAATGTCCAAGTTTTACTTTGTTGAGTGAAACTATGACAGAGAAGTATTATACATAAATAAAGCACATAAGTACAGTAAATGTATATTATCTCTAGAGATATACAACACAAAGCAACTGTATAGAAAATTAAAATAAACAGGGCATTAACATGACAAAATGTCACCACCTAGTTGAAGCAAGATGAAAAAAAACCTTTTGACCTTGAGGAGGTCATTAAAGGTCAAATCTATTTTGACCTTGAAAATATCATTGAAGGTCAAATCTATAGTCAGATTTGAACTGTTGAGAACTTGTAGATGATTTTGAAAAAAAATTGGTCAATTTGAAGCAAGGTGAAAAAATATCTTTTTGACCTTTTTTTGACCTTGAAAAGGTCATTGAAGGTCAAATCTTAAATATAAAGTCAGATTTGAAGTTCTGAAAACATGTAGACAATTTTGAAAAACAATTTAAGTCAGTCTATACAATACATGTATTTGTCAAATTATTGGAAGTTGAACGACCAACCGCCGCCAAAAAAACGGAGACCACAACAATATGTCACCACTTTTTGGTGGTGACATAAAAATGAATATATCCGCAATCTTACTATTCGATCAGTCTTCTTGGCCTGAGCTTTCTGACTGCCACCCTCCAGCTCTTTTTTAGTTTCTAATATCTTCTTGACTAGCCCACCTGAAAAGTTTAAAATTATACATATAGTTTAAGAAACTGTAAAATGCATCATACTATGGTGTAAAAGGTAACCTTAACTAGGAAAGTATTTTTTAAATTACGACGGCCCTAGCTTCAGAAATATAGAAAATCTACATTGTTCTGCTTATCCCTTTATTTTATGCTGCATATTTGATCAAATGTGAAGCATTAGTATTGTGTTGTATTATTTGTACTCTCGGCATATGGACCATTTCACTGGACCTGCACATGTGGTATGCCATACCTCATATTCAGACATGAACAAAGATAAACAATATAGAAAAAAGCCATACCATGATCTCCATCTTCATCTACCTCCACCTGGTGTGTTTCAGGCTCAGGTTCAAGACCAACGGTGGGTTCCTCCTCTTTGGTGACAAACATATCATCATCCTCATCACTATCCTTATTGTCCACTATCAGGTTTGGCACATTGCTTGATCCAATCCTGGAACCATGAAATATAGCAGTGTTATATGAGATATGTACAGTAAAGATGGAACCATGAAATATAGCAGAGTTATATGAGATATGTACAGTAAAGATGGAACCATGAAATATAGCAGTGTTATATGAGATATGTACAGTAAAGATGGAACCATGAAATATAGCAGTGTTATATGAGATATGTACAGTAAAGATGGAACCATGAAATATAGCAGTGTTATATGAGATATGTACAGTAAAGATGGAACCATGAAATATAGCAGTGTTATATGAGATATGTACAGTAATAAAAGCCTCCTGTAAAAGCTGGCTACTGGCCCCAAACTGTACTGTAAGTACCATAATGTTCTAAACCATACTGAACTCATCAGAACATACATACAGAAACATGTCTAATGAACATGACAAAATGGTCATAGAGTTGCATCACCCCCCCCCCCCCTCCCATCACCCATTTAATCATAAGTGATTTAGGTGTACAATACATATGCTGACTTACGGTGCGTTTTGTTCCTCCATAGCTTTGTCTTTGTTTTTCACCTTTGGTGCAGCAGGCCTAGCACTGGCTGGCCTCGACAGCTTCCTTCTGGAATGTCAGGTAACACAATAAGATCACAGCTCTGTTTCTTTAAATTTATTACACATACAATGTAGTGACATTTACAAATGCAACTATTTCAGCAATAATAGGTGATTCTAAAGTGAAAAGTGAGTGGTTTTCTCTTAGTTTTAATTTGACAAGGCCTAGCTAATTTGTTTTTTGATATTTCACTTGTTGAGGAATATTCTTGAATGATGACGAACTTGTATTTTTGAAAATTCTACATTTAAAAATGGTTAGGGCATTTTTTTCTCTCATTTTTACTAATGTCAATGTCACTGTTACGGCAACCATGACAACTTGATTTTTGAAGGATATCTACCCAGCAATTGGTTTGACTGCCACTGGTGGAAAACAGCCCTAGGTTTATATGACAATGATTGTATGTTAGATTTCTACATGTTAGACAACTGCATAGAAGGTTTACTTACGCAGCAAGGACCTGGGGAGGGAGATCATCTTCTCCAACAGTAACAGCATTCTCCTCTTGTCTCTTTTGTTCTTTAGCCTTGTCAAAGTCTTCATCATCTGCAACATGATCATCGGTCATGCAGATATTTTTAGTGTCACAAAAATATCAGTCATGGTTTAATTAGTCATGCAACTTGTTTTTGTTTGTTTTGATTAGTCAGTGCTTTGATGTTCCACATTCATCAGTCAAGCAACTTGCTTTGGGCAATCATGAAACTTGTTTTGACATTCATCAGTGAACCGACTTGCTTTGATCTTGGTGTTTTACCATTTAATCTGATCATCTGACAAGTATTTTTATGAAACATTTAAAGTAAAAATATGTTAAATAACTTCAGAATTATTCTTTGTATTTCAATTTTGTGTCGTATAAACTATTTCTGTCAAAATCATATCAATTGACTTATTTATATTGATTTGTTTCCTACAATATTCAAGCAGAAAAAATGATAAAAATGTATATTAATGAACGATTGCATTTTCAGTCAACAACATCTACTCAAAAGCATAAAGTCTAAATAATAATATTAATCATAAATTCTAGACTAGATAAAAGTATTCTGCTTAGATTTCCCTTTGCCAGTTTTTGTGAGATTTATTATGGAAATTATACATTATCAAATGTGAATTCAAGCAAGTCATGACAAAATATGAAGCCTAATACATAAGCACTATGTAATACTATACAAATATACACATATTGTCAAATTCAAAAATGCTATATCAATAATAAAAAAGCATAGTCAGGCAAAATATGATTTACTACTCCTATAATACTACAAAGCAAGATTCTCCAGACAAGGACTACTTAACTCATTTATTGGGCCTTTTTAGTCATCTTGAACCAAGGTATTATTGCTGACCCAAAGAATACACTCATTTAACAGTATGCTTTTTACTTTTATGAGTGAAAACGTATTAAATGAGTTAAGGACCCTGAGGATGTCAAGAATGAATCTATAAATTCTACTTGAGGAGTCACACACATCTAAAACATGCAAATAAGGCAGATATGATGGTTAGTTGGGGAAGAAATTCAGTATAATATGTTGATCAGTTACATGTAAACAAACCTCTAGATCACAAAATAACGGAGACAGAAGCTGAATGAATAATGAATTACAGAATTGAATGATCTGAAACAATTATTTCTAAGAATGTGTTATAATTGGGTTTATAAGCTGAACTAATACAGACTACACCAGACAACTACTTTCTGAAATTATAAGAAGCAAAAAGTGAATGATTGCTTTCCTAATAAAGTGAGTTATGCTGTTAACAGAATCTACGTATCTGAGTCATTCAATACGTTACTGGAAACATATCACTAATGCGATTTCCCCGAGACTTATTGAATGACATGAAATTTGATGCAAAAAATTAAAATCTAGAGATTTGTTAATGTATTCTTATCAACAGTCCTACCTTCGTCACTTGAATCGCGGATCCGGCCTGTTGGATAAAACATGCATGGGTTAGGTAAACACTCAACCACAACTTGTGCAAGTGAATTATGCTTTACACGATTACATGAATTACAGCTCCAATTCTAGTGGAGTGTGACTACCAGGCATTTCCATATTGTTTACTCTGGGAGAATCAAAAGCATTTAATTTTGGGTCTCTGAACAGATGTTCTCAGAACAAAAAAGTGTATCAGGAGATTTCTAACACTGTTATATATAGACTACCCATTGAATAGGTATAATATTTGAAACAACATTGGATATGTTCTTTGGAATATGCCTGGTACTCACTTAAGGGTATTTATCTTAACATAATGACCAGTGAGTACTGAGTAAGTGACATATATGTAGTATGTGACTACACATAGAATGTGACCTACATGTACATGTAGTATGTGACCCGCATATAATGTATGGCCTACATGTGCAAATGCAAAGTGGTCTCCCCAATCTTGGGAAATACAGCGATGTCTATGGTATGACATATATGTGCCCAATTTACTAAAAACTGTCATCACATGTCACTGGTTTTCATTTTATTGCTTAAAAATAAGTATTTCAAGATGGCTGCCAGTTGGAGATCAGGAGTCTTTCGGGTCAAAGGATCTAAATGCAAGAATCAGGGGTAAATGCCCCGATAGTTTCTCCCAAAACTAGGAAATAATACCAACTCATTGCATGAGTAGCAAATCACACCGAATCACATATTATCAATACATGTAGTTCATAATAGATATAACCAGGCAGTTGCACCATGGTTTTGAATTACATACATGACATCAAAGACATGACTTACATCCTCGAGCCCATATGGCATTGCCATACAAATCAAACAAATGGTATTTGAGTTTTTGAAATGTGCAGTCATATTCAATTGGAAATTCCTTGGCCATGAGAAGCCATCTTCAAGCAGCAGGGGTAATATGGTCATTAGGCATAAGTCAATAAAATTTGAGCCGAATTTCAGACAAAGGGATGTACAAATGGCTTTACTTGTTTTTACCCCTACGCGAACTTTGGTTGGTGGGATAATGTAGATTAAGGTCAAGGTGTTTAGAATATAGACAAGTGCAATGATAGAGATTTTTATATCAAACTACATCATGCAAATCAACTCTCATTATAAGATCCACAAGTTAATTAAAATTGCATTCAATTTCTCAAGAAAAACTACTATTTTAGGCTTTGCAAACTGTAAATATTAGACACCAATTCTCTCCAAACAAACACCTGACGTAATTATAGGTACATAGGTGCATTCTTTCCTCAGTGACATCAAAATGGCATATATGTGAGCAATTCTCTACATCTCTAGATCTTTCATGGAAAAGACTGCCAGTGTGATATCCGTGAGAAAATGATTACTAAATATTTCTGCATTTTACAGGTGGTCTGGGTAGAGGCTAGATGGAGCTACCTCCCTGGTGATTTCAACTGTGCTGTACAATACTGTGTACATTATCTTAATCATTCTATTGAATATTCACTATAAAAGCAGCCTACCATCTCTGTGTCTCCTCCGAGAACCTTTAGCTGATGATGGACGGGGAATTCTTGCCGGTGGGTCTCGCTACAAAAAAAATAAATAAAAGTAAAGAATCACACAAAGACATATCATATGTGATTGGTAGGTCAGAAGTATGCACAAGGTTGACATTTTATGTATAATCATGCAACATGTATTTGGATGAAGAATTACTAAAAAAAATCAGCTTATTTGGTATTACATCACCTTTCAGATAAATTATAGCAGACAGCATAGGATAGTAAAAATAAAAGCCGATTTGAAAAAGTATACTCTTTATTTGATTTGTAGGATGCAGAAAGAACAAGCAACACTTTTGACACTACAAAACATTCCATTCCATTTTCCATCATTTTGTGTCAATCAAATGCATATCACTGAAATCACTATTTAATAAATAATGTACTAATCAATTATTATAATTATCAATATTTAAATTAAGCATCATGCTGCTTGTCTAACATTGTTCAATTCATTATCCTCCACCATTACCAACTCCCAATATTGGCAAGCATGCATTAACTCTACATGCATTATGTTAACATAAAATTAATGTATATTTCATAGTCATGCCATTATTAACAAAACCCTACACCTAATGATTTATTGTGTCATATATCTAAGCTTGGGTTAATTCTTTAATGATGCAACAAATTGAACTTAAGTGATTCATCACCGTATGTGTTTCAAATTGATACCTGAGATCACAATTTGAGAATTAATATGTCTCATAACGCGCTAACAAACATCAAATAACATAACACAAGGTAATCAAAGTCAAATCTCTCAACATGCAAAAACTGGTTCAACTTCAACCAAACTGATGAGACAATAGTCCATATTCTTATCTACATGTATATATAGGGTGTCTCAAAAAATGTACTCAAAAATATATTAACAGCATAGACAAACCAATCAATATTTTCAGACATTTTTTGCATGGTCTTGTAGTCAAAACATGTAAGTTTTATTTCGATGACAGTCTGCATCCTTACAACTACATTGTTCATCACATTTGATATTTCTGGTCGAACGTTTTGATTTCTGTTCAGATGCTGATCTTAAGTTGTTCTAGGTCTCTTAGCTTGGGTTTAGCATAAAAATGGTTCTTCAAATAGCACCAGAGAAAAAAGTATGGGCCGTCAAATCTGTTGAATAGGGAGGCCCTCACAATGTCTTATAGTCCCTTATACAGAGGTCAGACGTTCAAGAAACTGCGTTGGTTGGGATTCTAGTGTAGCCTCTGTTGTGTGTAGAGGGGATCAATCAATCCGAGACAACTGTGTTTTCATTTGGATATCATTTGGTCTCAAGGCTAGCATGCATAACTCTGGAAGGTAACTCCTAAATCATTTGCCGATAATTGACCTGATTCTCTGTGTTTGCTCTGCCATCGTCATCCTCAAACATCTTTCTCTGTGGCTATTTGAAGGAGTGTTTTGATGCTCATTCCAAACAAAAAGACCTAGAATAACTTAAGGGCAACATCCAAAGAGAAATCCAAAAGATTCCGCCAGAATTATTATCAAATGTGATTGCAGTAAGGATACAGGCTGTCATCGAAATATGAGGTTACATTGATTATGTGGTATAAAAAATATCATCAAAAAGGCAAGACTGAAATAAAAAGGTGTATTGTGGAGAAAATTTTCATATATAACGATGCAAAAAATGTCTGAAAATATTTATTGGTTTATCTGTGCTGTCGATATACTTTTGGGTACATTTTTTGAGACATCCGATAGGTGCACTGGTACCTTCGACTCTTTAGAGCCACTTTTTGATGATTTTGAGTTCTTTTTCCTCTGGAAAATATATTTGGGGACAAAATTGTTGTATTTTGTGATACTAATCCCTCACCAGTGTTTATATAATATTATACTGTATTAAAAGAAATCAATCTTTTTATCAGAATCAAGTACAAAATGATAGACATTATCATAAATTATGCGCCTTTACCCTCCATAAAACATTACCAAACAATACTTTGTTTAATTATGAACTGTAAAAAATTTTGATTTTTACAGTTTAATTCCATGTTATTCTTAAACATTACAGTCAAGTGATTGTGCAAGAAGCATCTTATATATTTATGTATAGATGATATAACATTTATGTTATATTAGCCTACCTCTGTATCTTCTTTCTCTCCATTCACCATTGGTTGCTCTATTTCTTTATTCTCTTTCTCATCTTCTTTTTCTTTCCTCTGATATGAAAAAATATTATCAACAATATATAATTTATTTCTGTGTGTTCAAAAATTATTTTCATAGGACAAAGAAAAATCCAATTTTCCAATACAAGATCTCCAAGTACAGGATGATACACGTATTTCAGTTGGAAGCCTTTGGTATCCAAAATAGTGTACCACTCTCTGGAGTTATTCCACTTACAGAAGTTTATTTGAACTGTGTAGAAAATTGTTCCACTCATGGAGGTGGGTTTGAATACAAAATGTTGCCAGTTGCCCGGATTTAACCGAGCAAAAGCCGAAATTCACGTGCTTTTTCTCGAAGAATCCCGTAATTTTAACTCCACCTTTTCGACAAGGAGGATGGCAATCTCAATGTTAGTCGTGATCGTTTTCTCAGCTCTTAAGCGCAAATTTTCCCATTTTATTTTTCTCGATCATTTGATAGTTAGTGGATATAACATGCTCCATTATTTCATTATATTCGTTGATAATGGTAGATATTTGATCGGAAATTAAAATTTCTTACTCCCATGTCAGTGTCCAGGAATTAACACTACGGCGAGCAAAACGAAAAAGCCCAAATCTGGATGGAATAGTCTGCTTTTATCTACAATTGACATGTCAAATACTTGATTAAATAGGGGTATGTATTATAATACTTTGCTCAATCACTATTTTTTTAAATATATCAAAAATCATGAAATATTGTAAGAAATCACTGCAGAATTGTCTGCAGACGTATATTGAAGGCCACGGAGGTAGAATCAACCGCTTCGCGGAGGATGCCTGAGACAGGCTGGTCTTGCTGCAAGAGTTATTCTGAAACAACCGTGTCAAGGTTAACAAGTGTCTGGCATAACCGTGACCCACTATAATATTTTATCATTTCGTTTTAAGTGCTATTTTTCTGGCACCACCGAAGGAAGTTAGTCGTATAAATTCCCGGGTTACATACTGTTTATATTCATTCAAGTGTCAATATATTGTTTATACTCATTTGCAAATAACAAATTTTGACAAGCTACATCTTTTTAAACTTCTATCACAAGATATTCATATAAAATATAACATAAATTCAATGCTTTACCCTTCTTCTTTCTTTATCCTTTTCCCTGTCTTTCTTTTCTCTATCCCGACTGCTTTCTCTTTCTTTCTTCTCCCTACTACTGCTCTCTCTGTCTTTCTTTTCTCTACTGTTACTCTCCCGATCTTTCTTCTCCCTGTCTTTACTTTCAGATCTATTTCTATCTGCACTACTTTTGCGATCCTAAAGCAAACAGCCAGATAATTAAGAAAGCAACAAAATTGTTTTAAAAAAACAGATCATAGAGCTTATACTGTACATTCAATAATTAGTATTTTCTTTATGGTTCGCAGCATTTGCAACAATGTATGTTCTAACTTAGGGTTTCCTTTACCAAAGTAAAAAGAGAAGAACACATATATATATTACAATATTACAATATTACATACCCAAATTCCATACCAATCATTGGTATTTTAATCAGCATAAGCTACACACCCTGGATGAAATATATATTAGTTAAGTCCCTTACCTCTTTTTCACGCCTCCTCTTATCGGAACTGGATTTTCTCTCTTCATCTTTTTCTTTGTCACGTTTAGAACCACTTGGTGGTTTCTTTTCATCAGACTCCCCACCCCCAAGAAACTTCTTTAAAAGGGCAGCATTGTCTGGCTGAATACACATAGATCATTTACAATAAGTAATGGAAATCATAGGTACTAAATCAAACACTTATAACTTATATAGATAATTTATTTCAGTTCATTTTTATCCAGCAACATATAAAATATCAATAAAACAAGTTTTCATGAAAAAACAATTATTTGAGTTTGAAATTAAATGAAAGATAGCTTAAAAGGAACAACAAGACAAGTGAGGTGATTGTAGTAACTCAAGTGAGCAAAATAAAATGTTACCTTTTTATTAACTGCTTCTGCTAATGCAGCTAGTAATTCATTTGTTTTCTCAGGTTCATGTCCAGCAACAATCTTAGATGATTTCACAGACAGTTTCCTTCCTACCGCCATTCCTAAAACAGTGTATTTTAATGATTAATATGCACAAGTACAGTACTTACTTTATTTTTATTTTTAACAGACCTCTATGACCTCTGATTTGATGAATGGCATATAGACAATTTAGGAATGAAACTCAATGATGAAAGGAATGTCATAACAGAGGACAATGTTATATGCTATACATGAGTAAAAATAACGATTTGGATTAAGAGTTTCTATCCTGGTCTCTCTTTAATTTTTTCTAATTGCCAATCACTTTGATATGGCAAAATCCCATGGCTTTTTAAAATCTGATCATTTCAGAAATTTGGGGGCAATATCAAAATTCCAAATATTCTATAAGGTTAATAATTTTGTAGTTACCAATTTATCAATTTACCTTCTTGACTAGTTTACAATGTATTCTGCCTATGAAATATATGAAACTGCCAATTACCATTCTTATGAGTCAACTTAGTGATTTTCAACTGGATTCCAACAACAGCTTACACATGTAATTAATAATCATCTTGAAATGCTTACCAATGAAGTCGATAGTTTTCTGCAGGAAAGCAACTTTGCTATCCTTATCCTGAAAACAAAAATGGCATTTTAACATGGGCGAGTGAGAAAAATGATTTACATGATGATATTAATATATTGCATTTTCACCCTTGGTATACATAGCAGGTGATAATGGGACTGGAGACACGTGTTGGGCACTTTACAAAAATCCTTTCACTTTTGAACTTTAACAATTACAAAAATTTTAATGGGATGGAATAAAAACAGATACGGAAAATGTAATATTCATTTACATACCTTGATTTTATCTGAATTGCTTTCATCTTCTTTGTACAGACCTTTCATGAACCCAGTATTTTTTATAACCTGAAAAGCAAAATCAAAATGCATCAATAAGTTAACAAGTGAATTGGTAACAAAAGACGATAGGTTATTTACAGCTGCATAACCAATTTTGACCTGAAGGAACATGTATTGTTGATTTGGATTGTACCTGTAGGTTCACTCTTGACAGGGATCCTCGGTGTACATGGTCATCCTATATTAAGTCTGTATATATTTGACCATATGGATACAGTAAAAAATGAGAAACAGTGACAATAATTGACTATGTCTGATTGGGGGTACAGTGTAAGTTTACATGACGATGTATTTCTGGAAGTTTATATACTTTATTGACCTAGAACTATCTTCAGTGTTGTCAAAAAATGGCAACCCTGCATTTCCTCATATCTTTCCTTTGTCATTTTAGGAAATCACTCCTTCATATTTTACACATTTGTACATCATTCAATTCAATCACCCTGCATTATTTCATTACCATCAGACTTAGTCATGGTTACTATCCAGGCCCCATATATTGTGAGCAAGTTCCCAATGACACCGTGAGCATGAGCTCATGTTAGAAGCGGGGCCTTGAGAGATAGGACAAAATATAGTTATAGTTGAAGAATGTTGTTGCCCTGCAATTGATATACATGTAGCCATTGCACTATGAAATTAAGTTGTACTGAGTTTCGCAAACTAAAGTTTCATAAAAATTTTATATTTCAATTTTATCATATCTCTCAAAGCCCCGCTTGTAACATGAACTCATTATTCGCGATGTCAGCAGGGCCTGGATAGACCCCGCGTCAGTGATAGTCACAATGTTACAGGACTTTGAACAACAGGTTTTCATTTCTATACATGGACACTGCCCATGCATCCCGCAATGTGATTGGTCATAAGGCGGAGCACGGATCATTTTACAAATTTTGTAGTGCTTACTTTCGCAGCATTATCTTGGCATAATAGAGGTATGAAATATGTTTTCTAGATCGTTTAGGGTGTTATCTTGGTCCTGTATGACCATGTCTAATTGAAAGTCCATGGTATGGCTGCCTATGTCTATGTCTATGTCAATAATTTGCAAAAGGGTAATAAGCCCATATTAAGCAGATATATAATTTAACAGTGATAAAATCTGAATAGAATATAATTTAAAACATTAACATTTAGAAATACTGTAGATCTACACGTATGGTTTACAACTAATTTAAAATTGTAAGGAAACTCCCTGATTGGCCAAATCTCAAAATCATGATAAAGATCCATATGAAAAAAAAATCAAGTGAAAATGACACTAGAAAAATACGAAGGCCATAATATTAATGCTATTTTGACAAAACTGATCCACTTTTTATGGAAATACCACAGAGGAGAGAAAGACAATGAACAAACTGCATTTTACTGCTTGTTTTCTGTTGGCTAGGTAACATGTTAATGACGTCACAAATTAAACGTTTAGCTTTCTTGTCTGTTTAGTTGATAGGGCAGTAAGTAACTGATGTCATAGTTTATGTTATATTACGTCATATCTTCATCACAAACACAACATATGACGTCGTGATCGTTGCTTTGATGATTTGCCATATAAGGTAATAATGGCGGACTTTTGGTCACGTGACTGGTCGACAGTCGGTCCATAGAACGAATGGCTCTGCCCACTTCGTGGGGGGCCTTCGTAACAAATATGTTTGAAGAAAAAGATTCCGCACTTGTAGCCTAGGGTCTAGTTTATATATGAAGGAAATTCTGTTCACTGTGTTCATGGTAAACAAAACTACAGTTGGGGACAAAAATAAATGACAGGTCGATTTTCGATCACCATTTCCTAATTATGGTGGTCTGAAAGCCCATAATTTCAAATATTGTCTAGATACATATCCCTTAAAATTTGTATATCTTACATTTTGTATAATCTCATCCACTGATTTATGGCCTCTTGTAAATTCTCTTATTTTTAACATGGGAATCCACCTGTCATTTATTTATGTCCCCAACTGTAAGCCTAAAAGTTTTTCAAAACCATAGAGTTTAGAACAATTCTGAGCACTTTGATATGACTTTTGCCAACACCAAAGATGTCAAATGTGAACCCCCCCACTGGCCCTGGTGATATTTAGGCTAGGGGAAGTCGTCCTATCATTGCACGGGTACTCAGGGAAACTACTGACGATTTCAAATATGATAACTTCAACTTACTTTGAGAATATGGGACGAAAGATCAACCTTTCCTCTAAAATCTAAGTAGTGTTTGACATATCTCAATCTCCGAACGCTAACACTTTAAGACCCCTTAGACTCGCATGTTCGGTGGTCCTAATTATCGCACAGTCGTCCTAATTATCGCACAGTTATGTTTCAGATGTCATTTCACGATACTGTATACATTTCTCTGTTTATAACAGATAGATACATATGCTGTAATCATTTTTCTATCAGTTTTAGTGTAAAATATCAACAAAATATACATTATACACTTACTTTTCTGTCTTTATTTGGAGGGGGTCAAAATTTGTCAGACGAATTTCACTTCTTGCGCAAAAGCATTTATGACAATGGCGGAAGTTAACAATTCTTAAAAAATGAAGAGATATTTCTAAATATATGAATAAATCATGAAGATTGGGAGTAATGGTGTTGAACTGTTTTTCGTAACACTGGTTTAAAAGATGGTGGGTGCATATTTTAGCTATTTAGGACAATCGTGCGATAATTAGGACCGTGCGATAATTAGGACCACTTCCCCTACATAGTAATCTAATAATATTCAATATTGTGGACCCCTCAAAACCTGGCTACAGGTTTGGGTCCATACCAATCAACACATCTTCCAGCACAGTGATACGCATTTACATTTATGATTTGAATGTTCCAAAATACTTACGACTGTGAACACATCATGAAGGAATCGAAATGGAGGTTTCTTCAAAAGTTTGTCAGAAAGTGGAGGTTTTTTGACATATTTTCCAAGCGTTTCTTGGGTCTTTTTGATCACTTTATCCAAGTCGTTGTCCCCCATGACGGCTCGATGTGATCCTGGAGATGTTGTTTATTCTCGTATTTCGATATCACGTCGATAAATTAGACATCCTGAGGCTAAATGTAAAGGTAAACATGAATTTTTTAAATTTTAGATTTGTCAAATGAAGAATTCTATCCCATAATAGCACACACACGCATGCGCATTGATTGAATTTTTTCCGCGAAGCTTTTCAAAGCTTTACGTTGTCAGGGACGACCACTTGTCATGAAAAACAGGTGCTCATTTTATATGCTATATGTGCCGTATTTGGGAGTTTCTATGATTGAATAGGCTGATATAGTAGATGTCACCTCTGTTTATTTTTTGTTTTGCTTGCGATAGACAACCATTGACTTACATGTTATAAACTTGCAACAATGATTTTTGAAAACGAGTGTTGCTTGAATCTGTCTGAAACTCGAATGGCTCTGTCAATGTGTATATTGACAATATATGTGATTATTGAAGTGGCTGCATGAAAATTTTGGTTGTCAAAAGAATGAACCAATGGCGAATATAAAATTTGATCTATTAGATTTGTCAAATGAAGAATTCTATCCCATAAATAGGTGAAAAGGGATAAAGTAAAACCTGTGTCAGTGAACACTGAAATATAATATTTTTTCAGCAGTGTTTCCTCTACAAATGATTTCCTCATAGGATAGGAATATTATAATAAATGGCTGCAAATGACTGCATTTTTCTGTATATTACATTATATTGTAGTATTTGCCATCCTGATGACTTCTAATGATAAGAAGTACAATTATTGCCATGAATGATCATTTTTCATAATAGAGGACTTTCCATATGGCGTTGAAATCCCATGAAGACTAAAATTTTCTTTTATTTGATGGCAAATTCTCTGTGTAATTTTCTATCAAAACAACTTTGATTTGCACTGTTATTTACCTTTATTCAAATTCTAAAGATTTTTATAAGTCGTCTAAAAAGGTCGGGCTAAATCCCCATAGGCCAAGCAAATGGGCTCATAAAAGGCCCAAACATCCCAAAAATTGCAACAGTTTTTAAATTAGTCTTATATTATGTATTAATATCAGTTGAAAAACATATCAAAAATATAGAAAAATATATGCAGTGGACAAATATGAAATTTCACTTCCTAGGTACCCCCTACAACCCTACCCCAAAATTGAGTATTGGTAGGAAACAATTTTTTCTTCCCAAATGGAATACTTTAGTCAAGTATTCAAGCTTTATTATGATAGATAACATATTCACAAATAATGAAAATATTATTTAAATCAATTTTGAGACCAGTAATTGGTCATTTGACCCCAAAGTATAACAAAATAGGCCACAAAACAGGCATGTTATCGCATATCTATTTAGATATTTTAGGATAAGTTTGTCAGAAAAGCATGAAAAAAATCAAGGTGTTACATATTCATATGAACTTCATATTTGGTGAGTGTCAGAATTCTAAGGTGTATACTTAGGAAGAAAAAAATTATTTCATTTTCATAGTTTTGCCCCGCCCACTATAGGGGAGACTATAGTTTTGATGATTAACTCCCACAATGTATCACATTTGTATTAGAGTTGACATCTAAATCATTTATATAGGCTTGTCATCATCTAAAATACAAGTTTTGTGAAGGTTTATACCTTATTAGTATGAAAAATAGGAATTATTAGTTGCACCAGGTGAAATGTTAAGGTGACCTCACTTTTATTTGATGAATAATTACATATCACCACTCTGATATTAGGGTATTTGATAACTGCTCTATACTAGGCTTATCTAAATAATGTAAGTTGTAGTTTTTGTGGAATTTAATATTGTTTAAATTATTAATTACAATCCGCAATTACAAAATTTGCATATATTTAAATTCATCAGGTCATAAATCATTACATAAGAGTACATTACTATGGAACTATCAATTGGATGTATAATGCTGTAGAAACGAATTTATGGTTATTAAACGGAATCTAAACTGACAGAGAACATTAAAATCTCAGATATCTGGGGAGTCTTTCATTAATATAATTTCAGTGCATAGGAATGATGGTAATTCTGTCTGTCAGGTTGGAAAACATTGAGTGTACATGTGCTGCATTCAGAATCGGATGCAGATATTGTGATTGTGAAAACTCCAATCCAAAGTGTCCTAACCTCAAATACAGTACTCATACAGATCTCCTTGTGCTGCTCATTTATCATGCACAAAACACAAACTTCAACATTTTCTTCAAACCTGAACCAAAAGCAGCAACCCAAGAAACAAAATGTTGGAATATAAATGAAATAAGATTGTCTTTGGGAAAAGTGGTCTGTGACAATATTTTGTTTCTTTTCTGGGGTGTGACATCGCATTCAGGTTATATATGGCATAGACAAGAGGCTATCATTGAGGCAGATAAAAAAGAGTGAGCTCTTGAGAAAACAAGCGGTTGTTTTTAAATTACCAAAAGCACTGGTGATCCGCTCGATTACGCTTGTCGTTTCGGTAACAAAATGTCTAAACGTCGAAAGTACGATATTTCTTTTTTCCTTTTTTTCACGCGTTGTAGGCAGAATCCCCACGATGTTTTTTTCTCACAGAATTGTTGATTTAATTCCTTACTTAAGTTAAATAAACGGTTTGGTTTAAAAGTGCAGATCTTAATTGTTTATCGAAATACCGTTTATGTAACTTAAGTGAGGAATTAAATCGAAGATTCTGTTGTCTTCTGAACTATTTGTTCGCAAATATGTACATTTTTTAAACATATAATACTGATACATGTTTGTGATAACAATGTTGTGGGAATTCTGCCTACAATGTGTGAAATAAAGAAAAAGAAAAATCAAACCTTCGATGTTCTGACATTTTCTTACAACGTAAACAAGTAGAAAACCAGTTAAATGCAAGCGATTCTGTCATTGCAGAGGAACATGCTCTTTTGTCAATTTATGGTGGAAAAATGGTGAAACCCTAAATTATCTTAGGCTTCTAAAATTCTATTAAAAGAGAGCAGCAAGATCTGAATTATTGCAGCCCCGTGTTCTTCCTCCATTTTCTGATGCTGCGGAATACCACAGTTACAGAGTGTACCATCAGATCCAGGAGTGGGAGGGAAATAACTGCCTTCATTATAATTGGGCTGGGAAATAAGCAACGAAACCAATTGCCTAAATGCAGCTCCCCTTTCTCAGAGATCATCCATTGTGTGTGTAAGGCAGATTGTATTTCTATGAGATGTTCTAGTAGAAAAATGAAATAACTGTTCTTTGACATGTAAGGTATGCAAAGGCATTTGTGCAAATACCTCCATTACTGATCATGATAATAATGCTGACTAAATAATGAACACTGGCAGATCTGGGCCCCTCCCACCCCCTTGGGCGGGCCCAGAAAAAAAATTGGGCCCAAAAAAGGCCTTAAGGCCCCGAAAAGTGGACCTTTTTGGTCATAAATGGGCCTTTTAAAGCCCTATTTTTTAATTGAAGAAAATGGGTCTCAATATTTCAAAATTTGGGCCCACTTCGGGGTTTTAGGGGCCCAAAATTTTTTCCGCGGAAGTTTTTTTCTCAGACCTGACATTTGCCCCCCCACCTTGTTGGTTCCCATATCCGCCGCTGATGAAGGCTGGTGATAGACAAGGTTGTAACTGATTGTTGTTACAACATAATAGTATTAAGCTTATTTAATCAGCATTCTTTTTTGTTCTCTATAAGTAAGACACATATATGAAGGTTAAGATTACAAAATTAAGGCAGCATTTTTGATAATGAACATAACATAATCGAACCAGGCCCTGTATAAAGACCAGGGATTTACTTTGCGTTACACTAGTTAACTCAGGAGGATTTATTAATGTAGAAACCTTTTCCTCATTTTTTATTGAATTTCATCTTGAAATCGAACATTCTTCAGTTGAACTTCATTTCATTTCTCAATATCACTGTGTGGTTAAGAACACCTTAGTCAAAAGTAAAAAAATTTCCTTAATACAGGGCGAGCCAAAAAGGTAATCCAAACAAATCTTAATAATCCAGTCCAATCATCCTGCATGGATTTAGTGTCATATTTGGCAGAATTGAGTCTTGGTCAATGTATTATCAATCTACCCAGTCTCAGTGGCCTCTAGTGGTCACGATTTTATGGCCATTTCATACCATGCCATGAAATATGGGTGTCATGCCTGGAGGCCAACTTGAACGTATCGTGCGTTGTTGTTCAAATCAGGAGCATAAAAATCATGTGTTATGACTCTCATCTTCATTCTTATCTCTTGTTTTAATGTTTCAAGTGTTGTTAGTATCGAAAAAAGGTCCACAGATAAAAAAAACTGGTGGTATTGATGTCCAGTCAGTTAGGCACATTTCGATATTTTGAGCACATTTTGTAAATGGCCATAAAATCGTGACTATTAAGGATAGATCAATGACACTTAGTAGAATGAAAGAACATTGAACAAGGTAATTGTGCCAAATATGATGTCAAACCCATGCTGAATGACTGGGTTATTAACATACATTTGGTTGGGTTACCTTTTTTGGCTCATATTAATAAACTGATGTCAGGGACAGGGATATTTAACATTTTGTTGCCTTTTCAAGGACATTTTTTGACCACTGATTGTAACAAATCGTTCTCTGTTTTACCAGAAAAAGTATATTATATATCAAATTGAATTTAAAAGGAAAATCATTTGATAATTTAACAGTTATCAACTAAAAGTAGGGCTTCCCCTATATTTCACCTGGCATTTGCTGTTTTTCTACTTTTTTTTACATAATCCTTTCCTGAAAACCTCAAAAACTGTTTTCAGGACGAAATAAGCCTTTACAAATAATTTAGTTGTGCTATTGAGTTCAAATATGACATATCTTGGAAGTAATTAAACAAAAGTAAGGTCACCCCAAAAGTGGGTGTGGTAAAATATTGAAATTTCAAATATTATTTTCACGCTCAATATTCACTTAATGACCCTGATACTTATCAAATACAATGTTCAGGTGTACAATACCCTCCTTGATATTTTTCATGCAATTCTGATGAATTGATACAGAAATAAATACATTAATATATTAAATTCGGGCTATTTGATGGCCTATTTTCAGATATTTGGCGCTAGAAATGCCAATTATTGCACTCAAATAGTTGGTTAACAATTTTTAGTTGCTCTTATGTCAGTAAACTATCATAATATTACTCGTTTAGTTGACAAGAGTATTCCATTTTGAAATAAAAAAATATTTACAATCCCATACTCAAATTTGGAGGGGGGTACCTGGAATGTGACATTTCATATTTGTCCACTGCATATATTTTTCTATATTTTTGATATGTTTTTCAACTGGTATCAATATACAATATAAGCCTAATTTAAAAACTGTTGCAATTTTTGGGATGTTAAACTTCCATTTGCCTAGCCTACCATACATTGAGAAAATGTTGAAAAACCTTAAAAGTTCATTTATTCTTATAAGAATCAAAATTTAATGTGAAATCACAATCCAAGTGTCAATTGGTTCAAATAGTTACTTTCAAATGGTGATCCAAATGGAATGACTCGTTAAATCAAGAAATTAGGTGACTCTAGTCTTGCCCCAATAGCTTGCGATATATTTTAACCCTACCAACACCCATGATGCCATCTATTTTTTCATTTAGATGGAAAAGGGTCAATTGGTAAAACCTGTACATGCCAACTTTGCCAAGCCAATGCCATGCCAACTCACAATCCATCTCCCAATTTTACATTTTGCCTTTAAATAATATTAATTAATCCTCCAAATTTCCTTAGATTACATAGGGTTGGAATCTCAAAAATCAAACTAACTTCCAAGAAAAGAAAATCCCACTGAACAAAACATAATTCTATAAAAATCACTTGTCATTTTGAACATTTCAGGATAGAAATATCAATAGAATTGTATCCTTTTGGTAAAATCTACATACATCTAAGACTTGACATTACAGTAAAACCTGTCTCAGTGAACACCTCCCTCTCTCTTGTGAACATTTATCTGTCTCTAGTGGACATCCTTCCTCCAAATGTCATACTATATTGACTTCTGTATAAATGACCCTCTCTGTCAGTCTGTAGTGAACACCTACCAACACTGAACATTTTTTCTTCGCAATAAAATGTTAAATATTTACAGGTTTTACTGTATGTTAAAAAAAACTTCACTCATAGAGATCAATTCTGTATGTCCATGCATACGGCATCAGCCTAGCAATCTTGAAACCAATCTGTCAACCACTAGTTGAGATATTGCCTCAAATGGACAAACGAACCAAGGGAGGAACAGCTTCTCTATATCCCTTCCAAACTAAGTTTGGTGAGATAATGACCAAAATTGTGGAAACTTCAAAATTCAATATCTTGTTCTATTTTTTATTTCACATAATAACACATCAGTAACACAAACAGCATATTTTTTATATTTGTATTATAACTTAAGTTAGAAGTTCTGTGTGCCAACATTTATTGATTTTCAAATTATTTTCAAGGATATTTGGCATTTTGTTAAGATGTTTTGAATATTCTATACATGGAGCTGTCTATCTAGTGTATGTAGCTGACATCTTAACTATTCATATGTCCCAGTAATATTAATGCACAAATCACTATTCTAAATTATAAAGTACCTAATATGAGCACACATTAATTGAAAAAGAATCTATTTCCATATTTGACTGAATCTGGCATAGGCTCATTTTTAAAGTCTGGCATATCTGGAGTAGGCTCAGGGTACTTGTGTGATGGTTCCACTGGCTTTGGTCTCTTTGTATGATGAACTCGGACCTTGGAGAAGTAGCCTAGATCTGGCCGTTCCTGCTTCAAGTTGGCTAGCACACATTTGTCAAATGCTGCTTGGGTTTCCCTGCACCTGAAGATATATATAATGTTTCTTTTCATCATTTAGATCTAGTTATAATACACATGCTAAATATTTTGATACAACATATATTCAATTTCAACTGGTCATTTACAAAGGTTCTGGATTCATAAGTGATTGAGGAAAAAGGATATTCCTTGCCAGACCATCTCTCTCCTAATATGGTAGCTATAACCATATAATATATACTTTCCGTGTTTAGCATGACAGGGAAAAATGTTTTGATATGGTCAGTATTAATCACATAAAAATGAAGTGCTCAATTCCAGTAGGCTGCCATCATGATAAACTATGACATCTCATTTCTTCTCAGCCCATGTTTCAGGTTAAACAGAAAGATGCTATGAGTATTAGAATGGTAGACTGCCATCTTTTAACAGTTTAAGATTTCACTCATCAAAAGATTTCATTTATAGCATATATATAGCATTAGGTAAGGATAAGGATTGGCTATAAAAGAAATTACAAAATCAGCAGAATATTCTTTTTCAGTTTTGTCCATGATTTAATCCTTCTAATGTCTCTTCTTTTATTCTAAGCTGACAAGCTCTTGCAAATAAAGTAAGGATCACTTGTCTAGAAGTGATTTTGCGCTACGTTCCTATACTGTTATACGCAAGGTTATGAAAGTTGAGAGTCCATTGCTTCACTTCCTGAGTGAAATCTTAAAAGATGGCAGCTCACTGGAAATGAGCACTACATTTTTAAATGATCAATATTAACTACATTGTGTATTAAAACATTTCCCCATGTTTTTGCTAAATATGGAAAGTACATATATGATTATAGCTTTCATATCAGGATAGAAAGAGTCTGGCTGGAACGTCCCTTTAATTCATCTTAGAAAAAGGATTTTGATCAGATATAATTTTGGTTAGCAAAAATTGCCATCTAATTCATATCAAGTTAAGTTATAAGCTGGAAAGTTCATTGTGGTGTTATTTGTTTTTTTTACTTTGCTGCAATATACAGGGTGGGCCAAAAAAACACCACTTTTTTGTACTTCTACTTAATTTGGCAGCTGATTTAATTTGGTGGATCTGCCAAATTGTCCACCAAATTAAGTCGCTGCCAAATTCGCCAGTAATTCTTGTACCATGTAGATTAGTACCATTAGTACATTGTAATATTGCAAGTCTGCCAAATCAAGTAGCCACCAAATGTTCAAAACAGCAAGTCCGCCAAAATAAGTAGTGCTAAATTAAGTAGAAGTGCAGTAGTTTTATTTCATGTTTTTTCTTTTGCATAATTGTGATTGATATGATGAAACTTCACTTGATTAATACATGTAACATTACCTATCATAATGCATGCGTGTTCCAGCATTGTCAATGCAGTTCCAGTACTTAGTGAAAGAATCCATACAATGCTTCTTCACCTCTCCGAAAAACTCAAAACCACAATTTGTGACTTCTTTGCCCTCGTTGATACATTTCCTGGGATCTTTCTCCTCACGCCAACATAACATAAATTCCTGAAAAGATATAATAATACCTTTTATTTCAAGTTGTTGTAGATATTTTGAGCAATCGGAATACATGTATGTGTTTCATGCAGTATTTTGAGAGGTGAAACAAGTTATTTGAGATTAGTAGTGTTGTAGCGATGTGATTCACCATTTTCAATAGTAAACATCGATGCACATCGGGATGGGGGTCAACCCAGTTGTCCGAAACCCAGTTGTCCGAAACCCAATTCTCCGAAACCCAGTTTTCCGAAACCCAGTTCTCCGAAACCCAGTTCTCCGAAAATTAGGGGATCTTATCTAAAAAATACAATTTCTTAAAACGAATCTTGTCGCAACCTATGCGAATCACGACAACACAACATTGGAATCACGTTGACATCATTGCAAAATTAGGCTAAATATGCTAAGTCAAGACGTTAATTTTTTAATGTTTAGCCTACGAAAGTTCATGGGTAACTTGAGAACTACAAAATACAACCAAATACTTTTCGAACGTACAATAGCAAATAGCAATATTTCTCACCTAATGTCTTCATAGTTTAGGAACGTATTTTAAACGCATGATAGCCAAATATATCAAGATACTATATCTGCCTTAATGTAGTTATCTATTGTTGACAAAGTTTTGAAACATATTTTATCCAGGTCCATCAGAAATTAACAATTATCCAATACATTCATACGCATACGCACTTTCTCTGATTATTGTCAAACAATACATTTCAGGAGAAGAACATAAAAAACAAATGCCGGAAACGAATGCCGAAAAATAAATCCCAAGTGATTAAGTTTACAATGTTTTGTTCTTTTACGATTTGATAAGAGACAGAGACTAAGAAATTAAATGCGACGAAATATTTTGACAACGTAATATGTATACTGTTTTATTCTTAAAGTTCTATGCGTTAACTCATTTTATCTGTTTCAAAATGTTTTATTTTATTTTGCCTATATAAAAGAGATTTGAGAAGATAGGATAAACTGTTCCGTAATATATTTTGTGTTTTAATAACCTTTTTTTAGAATCACAATGTAAAATAAATCCCCCGTTCCTGCCATTCTGGTAATGCCGTAATGGATGCAATTCAAAGTGAGGGGGAGAGATCTATGAACATCAAAATGCGTCCATCCCATTAATTTGGCCAAATACATGGCATGGGACTCACCAGCGGATCTAGACGGGTGCGTGGGGGGGGGGCACGCCCCCTCCCTAAAAAGTCGTGTTTTGCCTCATTGCTTTTTACAAAATTTGAATCTTTTTTTAATTTGCTCACAGTTATCATCACACGCCCGCCCTAACACAAAATCCTGGATCCGCCCCTGAAACTGGCCTAAGCTGAAGTACGTCCCCCCTTTCTCTGGTAAAGTATGACTATATTTTTCGGAGTAATGGGTTTCGGACAACTGGGTTTCAGAGAATTAGGTTTCGGACTACTGGGTTTCGGACAACTGGGGTGTACCCATCGGGATGTACATCGGGAAAATTCTTATTACCAAATTTACCCCCATTATAAATTCTGAATACAACAAATAAATAATAGTATGATACTTCCGGTTGGTCACATGCGTAAACAAGATATTAACATGACAAAATGTGACCACTAGTTGCTCACAATATTATGAGATGTAAACTTCTGAGAACTTGGAGATGATTTTGAAAAAAAAATTGGTCAATTTGAAGCAAGATGAAAAAAGATCTTTTGACCTTTTTTGACCTTAAGCCAAGGTCGTTGAAGGTCAAATCTCAAAAGCTAAGTCAGATTTGAACTTCTGATAACTTGTAGATGATTTTGAAAAAAGAATTTGTTCAATTTAAAGCAACTTGAAAAAAGACCTTTTGACCTTTTTTGACCTTGAGAAGGTTGTTGAAGGTCAAATCTCAAAAGCTAAGTCAGATTTGAACTTCTGATAACTTGTAGATGATTTTGAAAAAAAAATTGGTCAATTTGAAGCAAGTACAAAAACCTTTTTTGACCATGGAAAGGTCATATCTTAAATATAAAGTCAGATATGAACTTCTTATTCTGAAAACTTGTAGAAGATTTTGAAATTTTGAAAAAAATTGAAGTCAGTCTAAACAGTATTTGTTAAGTTATTGGAAGTTGAAAGAAGTCAGTTCGAAGCAAGTTGAAAAAAGACCTTTTAACCTTTTTTTGACCTTTAGAAGGTCATTGAAGATCAAATCTCAAATCTTATGTCAGATTTGAACTTCTGATAACTTGTAGATGATAAAAAATTGGTTAATATGAAGCGAGTTGAAAAAGACCTTCTGACCTTTTTTGACCTTGAAAAGATCACTGAAGGCCAAATCGAATATAAAGCCGGATTTGAACTTCTGAAAAGGTGTACTAGAGATTTTGAAAAAAATAATTCCGTCTAATTTGAAGCAAGTTGAAAAAAGACATTTTGACCTTTTTTTGCCCTTAAGAAGGTCGTTGAAGGTCAAATCTCAAAGCTTAAGTCAGATTTGAACTTCTGATAACTTGTAGATGATTTTGAAAAAAAAATTTGGTCAATTTGAAGTTACTTGAAAAAAGACCTTTTTTGACCTTGCAAAGGTCACTGAAGGTCAAATCTTAAATATTAAGTCAGATTTGATCTTCTGAAAACTTGTAGAAGATTTTGAAAAAAACTGTCAACTTCTGGGGCGGTGAATTTATACGATCCGCGATCCAATCTGGATAAATTTCGTCATGGTAATGATGCAATGTGGGATTAATCCAAGAACTTATCCAAAAATCGGTGAATTTGTACGATCCTGGGATTAATCTCAGGATAAATCTCAATCCACCTCTTGAGGTACATTACTTTTTGGATAAATTTTATCCAAATTCCAATGCAAATTGGATAAACCTTGGGGATTCCCCCTCATAATCCTAGGATCGTACAAATTCACCAAATAAATATCGGATTAGTAATCCAAGATTTATCCCAAAAGATAACATTTATCTGGATTGGATTGGGGATCATACGAATTCAAGGTCCCTGTAGTAATATGGAAACCACCTTCTAATTTGCCTCACTAACATTTTATTGAAGATCTCAGCTATCCAAATTAAAAAGTGCAAAATCTGTCATGGGGAATCAGGTACCATTTGTATAAGGAATGTTACGTGGTCACTTTTTGAAATTTTCCAATTTAGTGACGAATCTTCTGAATTATTCTTTGAGCTTATGAGATCCTACTACAAAATGATCTGGCCCACAGTCTATATGCAGTTATGATTTGGGGCAAGCCCAAATCATTAGTCTATCTACCTTCTCTACAAGTTCAACAACGAAAATTTAATAATGTCGTTTACACACTGAAAAGTAAAGCAATTTCTCCGGGAATTGGCTGTGAATTGTAAATAACTATAATTGAAACTATGACACTACAATCTGTGTAATTGCTGCACTTACAAGTGAATGAAACCCGAAAAACTCCTACAGCAATTAAGCCTGACAATTTTCAAAAATTTTAAGTCCCGTTGAGATCACGTCTTGTCACATGATCGCTTGAAATTGTCTAAAATTGCAGTTTTTATGAAATAACAGGTTCCAGGAACGTTTTTATTTTGAATTTACCTCTAAATTAATCAACCAATCAGATTGCAGGTTTTCTAGGTCAACTACAAGAAGTTGAAAAACAGCCCGGCAAAGTTGTTGTTAACAGAAATTCTCCAGTATCTTGTCAATTATCATCGATTGGAGCGCATATCAGAAGAAAAACTAACGTGGATAACACTTATTTATTTTTGTCACACAGAGCAAGGGATTAATCGCGGAAACGAGGATCTTCGTGGAGAATCGACCGATAGAAAAAAGGTACTCTGGCAAATTAAAATTTTCGTTGTTGAACTTGTAGAGAAGGTAGATAGACTAATAACTGCATATAGACTGTGATCTGGCCAACTGTGTAAAAAAATCAAAACCAACCTTGCTTTGAAAGTCGCAATATTTGCCAAAATGATGTGCACCAGCTCTCAGAACGCCAGATGATAGTTCCAACTCAGGTACCGTCAGCTCCTCGTGGCTTGGCAGCCATGTATCGCTTGTAATTACCATATTAAAGCATATTTTGTACACAAATCTTGATTTTGAGAAGGACACCAAAATGGCAGAAATATCACGCGAGATTTGAACGAGAAAAGAAACGAAAATGAAAGCAGAATGTGCTTTCCTATATTCTAGGCTGTTAGATGATCAATTATAAAATTGCTTCATTTTAATGTATAAATCATAGTTTCCTTATTCACACTGACTATTTAAGGTACATTCGCTAACTTTGACATTGTTTTATAGAGAGAAAGCTGTAGTGCTATTTTTGTCTGCTAAACAGAGCTCTTTATTTTAGAGGAAAGAAAATAGTAACTGGCCTGAAATGACACGAGGAATTATTACGCCAAAAGTAGTGCCAAAAGTTTTGATGACATTTAAAGACATAGTTCCTCTTTCACGTATATCATCTCATGGAAATGGGCATACCAGCGCAAAGATCTTTGTTCCGTGGTGAAGAAAAGCCATCAAACATTGTCTGAAGAGCAGATTTATCTCCGTAATTCTACTTTTAACATGGCGACCTTGACCTTGAAAGAATATAGCCATTTGGGCGATAATAGGTGATTCAAAAGTGAAAATGAGTGCTTTTTTCGTAGTTTTACTTTGACCAAGCCTAGAAAAAAATCGAAGTGGTAAACCTACCCCCAATTTTTGATATTTTCGTTGTCTAGAAGTGTCCTAGATGATATCAAAGTTTAAGAAAATTTGTATGTCTAGAAATATTTTATAAATTAGTGCCAATATGGTGGGTTTGGGTGTTTTTTTGCTCTCATTTTTTACCCCATTTCTACGGTTGCCATGGCAACTATAAGGCTTTGGTAACCATGCCAACTTGATTTTTGAAGGACATCCACCTGATAGTAGTTGGGCCAAGTTTGATGGAAAATGGGCATGGTTTGATATGCTGGCAGTGAGGTTGATTGTGGCATGTAGTAAAACGGCAAAACAATGGTGGAGTCATACCACGAGAACATCTGCATTTCTTTACTGCTCACGTCTTTCTTATTCAATAACAAGTCTAATGTATATGCTTTACTCGTCCATGAATATATAAAGTTCAACTAAATTTCAATTGAAACTGTTAAAATTGAAAAATCATTGTGAAAAATTATGAAAATGAAAACAATAAAAATAATCCTGATTTCAATGACTTTACTTGTGGCAGTATACAATGTTGAATGTACATTGTCCAAAAGCAGTACGAAATCAAAGAAAAAGAAGGTTGAGGAAGATGTAAGTGCAAAAACCTTCCACGAAACTATATCATCATATGTGCCAAAGTTTTAGTTTTATTCATCTGCTGACAACATTGGTCAGAGAATCACCGATGAAATTACATGTATTTCTTGTTAGAGCTACAGATAGGGCTACAGATACCATAGGCGTAGCACCTCGTACGGCTGGTACACACAGGCGTTTTTCACTTCGTTCAACTCTTATTCCAGTGGTGGCGTACTACTCATAAAAATAGCGCTACGCCCATGGATACTACTACGAAGAGTCTTGCAGGCATCTGTGTTTGATTAGACTAAGGCTCTGGGACATAACATCAATGTCTGTCATAAAACATAATTAATTTAGATAGATCTTGACCTCCATCCCTCTTACACAAGTCAAAATGTTCACCATCCAACCTAGTTTCCCCTAACGTAATTAATTACGTTTTTTTATGGAAATCAATGTTTTGACCCGGCCCCTAAGCTTAGGCATGTCCATTTAATGTTCTTGTATAAAATTCATTTGAAATAGAATTAATTAAGGATGCTGTTCAGAAAATTTGAGAGTTTGTGGAATGATCATGTTTTTTTCCGTTTTAGGTTGCTATTACAACAGATTCAGTGGTAAAACGTAACTTAGTGACCCCATCTCCAAAAGTGAAAGACATTCTTGGGCAACATAAAGAATATTGTGAAATTGAAAAGGAGATAAAGAAGTTCAAAGGGACAACATTAGCTTATGTCACACCGGTAAGAGGAACAGATTAAATTCCTATAAAACTATAACAGTTAATTTCAACTAAATTGATCTTGTAAAATTCAGTTTATCCATCCTCCTATCACAGGGCTTCAAAATCCAGAATACCTTCTTTCTTTTTACCCCCTGCTATAAGCAGTTAGCATTTCCCCGATTAAGAACTCGCAATTTGATTTGCTGTCACAACTCTGCGACAGCAATCATGTATATGTCATTGGTGCATAATTAGATCACGTGATTCAGTTTAATCGGGCACTTCCAACTTGGTAATATAGCAGGGGGAAGAAGGAGGTACAGATTCTGGACATCTGCTTAGGAGGATGAGTTAATCTGACAGCTCATTTAAAGTAGTATATTGTAGCAATTCTGCATTAAGTTATATAGATATCACTAGTGTGTCTAAGTTTAATCTGTTAAAGTTAAAGATGGATATATTTTATTGGATGTGATGATCAATAAATGGTAAAGCCATATAGACATTGTTGTCTCCGTTATCTCAGTAGTTATTCCTATCAATCGCTAAATCAATCAATTTATTTTATGAACCTTCAGACATTTAGGCTTCAATATTGATAATACCCAATAAGGCCATATTTATTTTGATTAAGTTAATTGTATCATGTATTTCAATGTTTACTACAATCTCCATGCACTGATTGAGATCATTAGTGATAAACCTTTATGTACAGGCCCGTAGCCAGGATTTGCCAAGGGGGGTTCACTTTTTGAAAAATTCCAGGGAGGTTTACTTGTGACAATTTTGGTCCAAAAATGGCCCAAATCACTTAAAAAGTCCACAGAATGGTGAAAAACTGCATGATTTTGAACAATTTTTTGGCCAGAGGGGTTCGCTCGAACCCATCGAACCTTCCTGGCTACGGGCCTGAGTAACATGTACCTACTAAATCAATATAAAACAGGAATGCTATGGGCATGTTTTTTAATAGATTCCAGTCTCTCTCTTATATAAGATCCCACCACCAACAACAAATTTGAATTTCAGTGGAACTCCCATGGCTATGACATTGCAAAGATGTTTGGCAATAAGTTTGACTATGTATCACCAGTGTGGCTACAGATAAAACGCAAACCAGGTGGTGCTTATGTCATGGAAGGGGGACATGATATAGATAAAGGTAATTCTATCTGACGACATTTACTATAATCTACCTAATTTCCTGGCAGGCCCGTAGCCAGGATTTGCCAAGGGGGGGTGCAGTTTTCAAAAATTTCCAGGAGGGGTTTACATTTGACAATTTTGGCCCAAATATGGCTAAAATCACTTGAGAGGTGCTCAAAATGGTGAAAAACTGCATGATTTTGAAAGAACTTTTGGCCAGGGGGTTTTGCCCGAACCCTGCGAACCCCCCCTGGCTACGGGCCTAGTTTTACCTCATTTGATGGTCAGTGTTGAAATTGCTTTTTAGTTTTATTGATTTAAAGAAATTATTTCACACCAATGTTTATTTGATATTAAACCTGTTTTAATATCTTTTATATGTAATTTTTTGTGCTTTAATTCTCAGGTTGGGTGAAAGACGTCAAGCATGGAAGGAGTGTTAATCTTAGTGAGTTATATTCTTTTATATGTAACAATGAGCACAGTTATATAAATGTATGTAAATTGAAACTAATTCTCCAAGATTCTCAATGGATACATTTTTAGATAGGAAACAATATTATAACTACATGTATAGGGCTCTCACCAGGAAATATTTAGGGTGTGGTGCTAACATCTTCAGAATAACCGTTCAATCGTGATAAATCATATTTATGTAATGTAAATATCCTTTTTACATGCTATTATTGTATATTCAGTCAAATTTAGAGTGTGGAAACAGTCATGATTTGCCAATAGGGTGTGGAGGGAGCTTAACAGAGTGTGGTGCTGCGCCACAGTCTAAAAGCCTGGCGAGAGCCCTGATGTATTACAGTATTGCAAACCATATTATAGAAATGATTTCCATGTTAAAATCTGCAATCAACCAAACTTTCTCAAAGCACAAAAGACCCATTCTTATATACACATAGTATCTAATAACCTGTCTGTTTAGTTACTCTGATTTTCTGTGCCAATCCCGCTGATCAAATATAGTGGGGCTTCCCGTACAATTTTAAAATTCCCGGGAAGTTTACGCTTGTAAAAAAGTTGACATATTTTTCAAAAAATTAATTTCTTCGTGTTTCCTACCGATTAAATTCACCATATCTTATCAGATGATTAATATGTTAAAATTATTCATTCGTAGGAAAAATGTATATTATATAACATATTCCTATTCCACCAATTGACCTTTTGCGATCAGAATTCAGGAATTTTGTTTATGGATACTGTTGTCACGTATTTCGTCTTATTGGTATGACGTCATATAGAAATGATATTAGACATGATGGAATCACGAAATGGCGGACACGTGGCAGTTTTGAGCTAAAAATATTGTCGTTTCTTATATAAAAACCATGGATCGGATATTTACCAGGTATGCCTATTTGACTAGATCATGAGTATGTCTATATATATGCGAAGTTTGGGTGAAATTCATACTAAACATCGATGCCTATAAGCGCCCCCCGTTTTTGTCAAAATCGGGGGGCGCTAAACCGCTATCTAAATCATGTCAGTAAGACCTTAGACTTGGTATGTGCTTAGCATGAATGTTGATCTAGTCAAATAGAACGCTTTCGTGAAAAATAAATCAATAAAGCACAAAATATAGAAGATAATCTCTCAAAATCAAGCATCTAAAGCTGTGTGACCTAATTGTGACGTCACTAAAAGACAGAATCCATTCGGTGATCGCAAATCATCAATTCTAAATCTAAAGTGCCCTATACCAAATTCCATGGCAATCTATGATGCAAGAAGAGAGGGCCATGGTATTCAATGATGCAAAAGACCACCGATAATATACTCTTTGTACAGTAGCTACTTCTGAGTTTTATAAAAGAGTATAAACCTTCCATTAGAATGCATATGGTCCAGCAGTGTAGTAAAATAGAGAAGATCTACGTACATACCAGGTTACGTCACACACCAGCCTATGGTCACTATCACCAGGTTATATTCACCAATGTGCTCCGGGCTCCCTGTTCTTCAGTCTGTATACCCAATGAATGAAAATGTAGCAATCATTTACAATCAAGAAAATACTTAGTACTGAAGAAGCGTGCCATTGACTCATCAAAAGTTGAGCTTCATTTTTGGTATAAATCATTTGAGTTTGGACCAGGAGAGCCTTGATTCTCTCTGTTCTGTTTCGATTAACATTCACTCTATGCATAGAGCCAGGGAGACAATGTTAAGGCATTTTAACTTTTTGTACCTGTAGCTTTTATATTACTCTTTTCTTTTACCTTATATCATTGTATACCATGTAACTGTCTAAATGAATAGACGCAAATAAAGAATACATACATACATACAATAGATAAGTTTATCGTTCCATTCAGATTATTTACAAACACATAATAACAATGTGACGCATAGGGTATGCATCATCTGTTCCCATGCTCAATTATTACATACTGAGGACAGTCCAAAGATGGAGCATTTATTGTGTATACTTGCAATTCATTTCCAGTTCTTCATATGTTGTTTTATTCTAGCCCCTCGTGTGTTGTTTGATGGATGGACAGGGCGTGACTTCAATGCATTGTTCTCCAGTGAAGATGAAGTAGAAGATTGTGTTGATGCTATCCTTAAATTTGTTCAGGTAGGTGCTGCAGTGAGTACAGCGAGGAGTGTATCAATGAGTATGGAAGTGAGTGTATCAACAAATTAGTACAGTAGCGAGTGTATCAATGAGTACAGTAGTGAGTGTATCAATGAGTACAGTAGTGAGTGCATCAATGAGTATGATAGTGAGTGTATCAATGAGAACAGTATGAAGTACATCAATGAGTATGGTAGAAATTGTATCATTGGGTACAGTAGTATGTGTATGAATGAGTACATCAGTGTGAGTATTGATGAATATTGTATTGGATGAAATAGTAAGTGTATCAATCGGTACAGCAGGGATTATATCAGTGAGTACAACAGGGAATGCATCAAGGAGTACAGGAGTAATTGTATCAAGTATCAATGAGTACAGCAGTGAGTGTATTGATGAGTACTTTATTTGGTATATCAATGAGTAGTGAGTATATTGATGCGTACAGTAAAGAGTGTATCAGTGAGTACTGCAGTGAGTGTATCAATGAGGTAGTCGTGAGTTTATCAATGAGTTTAGCAATGAATGTATCAATAGTACAGTAGTGAAAGTAGCAATTATAGTAGTGAGTATATCAATGAGTTCAGCAATGAATGTATCAGTGAGTGTATATCAATGATAGTAGTCAGGCCCGTAGCCAGGGGGGGCTCTGGGGGCTCGGACGAGCCCCCCCCCTGATATCTCCTAAAAAAATGTGGACCTACCTTTTTGCTTCCTTGAAGAAAAACTTGCTCTTCCCCACATTCACTGGGCAATTAAGATTAAAAAACTGGGAGTACTGTGCATTGTTTTTTGAATTTGGGCATTATTTTTCAAAATTTGGCCCAATTTTTTTGCGGACATATCTGTATTTGTGTCCCTTTCCCTCTGTTTTTTAGGATCGTCCTTTTTGTTTTGTTAAAAATGGCCTCCTGGCGGTTTCAGGAGGGGGGGGGCATGGGTCCACCCCCGCCCCCCTAGAATGGGCTGGAAAAAATGTTGGCCCAAAAATATTGTAGGGCCTCTTTAGAGGGCCTTTTTGGGCATTACTGTACCTTTTTGGGCCTTATTTTTTTCAATGTTAGGCCAAATTTTCAAAAACGGGCTATAAATTTGCAGAATTTTGGTTTTAGGGCCCTAAAAATTTTACGTGCGGCCCTACTATAGGCCCAGAAAAAAATGTCGGGCCAAAATTATTGTAGGGCCTCTTTAGTTGGCCTTTACTTGACCTTTTTACTTGACCTTTTTGGGCCATATTTTTTCAATTTTAGATCAAATTTTAAAAAAATGGGCCATAAATTTTTAAAATTTGGGTTCTGGGGCCCTTAAAGCTTTTCCGCGCGGCCCTAGGATAGGGCAAAAAGCTGGCTACGGGCATGGTAGTGAGTGTGGCAATGAGTTCAGCACTAGGTGTATTTGCTGCGGTACTCCCATCTTTATATTGGCCTAAAACCAAAACCATCATGCTGTACATTTACTATCTTTATTTTTTAGGAACACAAGTTCAATGGGATTGTGTTAGAAGTTTGGATGCAATTGGGTGGCCAGAAGAATAAGTAAGTAAAGACTACTAATGTAAAAGATAATATTTTGAGGATTTGGAGAAAATTTGAGAAAATCATAATTGAAAAAATACATTGTATATGAAAAGGTTCTCCGCCTATTTTCCAAGTTCGACCAATACTGTTTCACATTTTTTCACAATTTTCCTCTGGTGGAAGTTGTGAAGCTCAATATTCTGAAGCATGCATTCCATGTTAAAACTATTTCAGCAGTTAAATCAAAAGTTGTGGAGAGGTCCCTTGTCTTGAATAACTGATGAAATATTGAAACAAAAATGAAATTATGTAATATGAATAAAATAGATTCAAAAATCTCCTCATACAAGCAGAAAATTATCTATATGCCTCTGTTACCACTGATCACTGTGTCTTTCTTTACCAGCAAATCTTGTCTATTTTCTAGGGAGTTACTCCACTTTATTGAACATCTTGGTGAGAGTTTCTTTGCAAAGAGCAAAAAACTCATTGTTGTCGTACCCCCTCCAAATCCTCTCAGCCAGCAGGGGTGAGTATAATGCTTTAGGAATAGTTTAAGTTACATCCAACCTTTAAATAAGTCAATCAAATAGTTTTTTCCAACTCAAGATCAATTCTCGGTATTTTGGAGAGTGTATCAATTTTTAATAACTCTCAATGCCTATTTATAATTCAAGGTTATGTCACTATTGTGGCATATATGCCCGAAGTCTCAGTGATATATGGCCCGACCTTGGGAGGGACATTGATCTCTGAGAACCGAGGGCATATGTGCCACGATAGTGACATAAACGATTTATAACATACCTATGATGATGTACCGTTTTCTTATAGAATTGACAAACAAATGGTTTGAAAATGATTGAAATAAGTTTAGAAAAATTTCTCGCGCAGTTTTATCTTCGATTGATTGGTTATGACGTCAGCGCCTTGACCAATCAGAAAGTTAGCGGGCGCTGGCTTTTCAAAACGTATATTGGCCCGCTGTCTTGTGTACACTATGCACTATACATCATCATAGGTATGTTATAAAATGTACTTATTACATTGTATAAATCCTATTTTAGGCATAATATATTACCAAAGGAGGACTTTGATCTCCTGGCTCCAGTCGTAGATGGTATCAGTCTGATGACATATGATTTCTCCAATGCAATGAGGTATAAAAGTAGAAATATTTAGAGGTTATGTCACTATGAAGTGAAATATGCCTGAGTTCTCCCAATATAGGCGGACCTTGCTGGCATGCTATATCAGGGTAATCTAATCGGGCAATATCTGTGGATAAACAGTAACCCACTTTCCAATTGAATTTCATACAAATGCTTCGCGAGGTACATGTATGTAATACATAATATGTATATGTTTATGTGTCCTGGTGTCCAATACATATGTATATGTGTCCATGTATATATTCCTTTGAATTAATACTTATTTTAAAGCTCTTATATGAAAATTGTCAGAATTTTAAAAAAATGTTTGTTTTAAAATTAATATTAAAAAAATCATTTTTTTAAATTTTGGAACCTTGGAAGATAATGCTAGAATGAACATATAACCCCAGGCACAAATCAATCAAAATCAATAAATCTACATATATCAAAATAATCCCTTAGGAATAAATTAATGGAATGAAATGCTTACTATTTCAGGCCAGGTCCAAATAGTCCATTACTCTGGATACAAAAGTGTGTAGAATATTTAGCTCCTGATGCAGATTCTCCTAACAGACAGAAAATACTTCTAGGTCTCAATTTCTATGGTTATGATTATGCCTCTGGGCAGGGAGAGCCAGTTGTAGGAAATAAGTGAGTGATATGATAGAATTTGTTTTTATTTGAGATGTGCTTTGCTAATGTGAACTCAAATATTTCACATATGACGCAATTCAATTTTGAATAATATTTAACACAATGTGTCTTCTCATCTGAACTTCAGACAAATCTACACCAAACTATGATTCTGTTTTTGATATGGTCACGTAGCTCTCTTATTCATTACAGTAAGGTTTCACATTTGTCTCACAATTTGAGGAATTTTGACATTCATTTGAGAAAGTCAAAACTTTTACAAAATATGAGATTTTCCAAAAATTCACCACCTGGCAATGGGGCCAAAGTACACTTAAGAATTGCTTTGCCTGTCTTTTACTTTCAGATATATTGAAATACTTTCCAAACATAAACCTAAATTGAAATGGGACTCTGAATCAGCAGAGCATTATTTCACATACAAGTAAGTTTTTAGATTATTATTGCCAATATATGTGACAAGATCTAGGTTAACGATTTTTATTTTTATATTTTGTGTTTTTGGAAAAAATCATCTTGAGGATGAGTAAAACCAAAGCCTATTAATAGACATAAAATAACACAACTTAAGAAAAATGTGCCAGTTTACTGCAATGGACAAAAGTAACACATTTACCTACTATAAATAGAGTCTAACATCCAACACCAATATTTTAGCATTCTATCTTAGATTTGATTTTTTATTCCAGAACCTCTCAAGCAGAACATACAGTGTACTTCCCTACCTTACAGTCAATTTATTCCAGAATAGAACTTGCGGAAGCAATGGGGACTGGGATATCCATATGGGAGATAGGACAAGGATTGGATTATTTCTATGACCTTTTGTAAATGTTTGATTCATTTTTATGCAATTTGAAACACTTACGGAATAGGATGATTGGACAGAAATATTTTTATTATTTATTTGTGTACACTGGGTTGTTTTAATTCATTTCTATGCAAAAACATGTTGATGCATTATTATGGGGGATTTTGGTGAATGATACAATACTGTGAAATGTATCAGTGTCACATTAATTCCATTCTTATATACAGATGTATATTTATCTTTGCGAATCTTATCATGTCTGCCTCTCTGACTTACATATGTCAATATATTATTATTGAAGAGCAGATCTACTTTTCAGAGTAAAAAGATTGAAGTTGACGCTGTGCCAATTGACAAGTACAGCGTTTAAAATATAGAATTATATCAGTCATCCTATGTATATAATGATGAAATCAACGTTTCTTTTGCCACATTTAAGTCATTCCATTTATAGTAAGCATTTTGTTGTTGCATATGTTGAATGAGTGCCTTACAAGCCACATCATAATTAGGAATGTTTGTTCATCTTTACCAACATACCTCTAAACAACACTTTTTGCATTGAGTCAATACTGATGTGGCAATGATGAGATCACAATGTTATTCTTATGACTTTAATTGCTAAAATCCTCTTGAAATGCAAGAGGAGTATACATCTACTGTCTGATGTAACAAAGACACTGGTGATAAAAACACTATTAAGAGAAACATACACATAGAAGATATGAAATACATATTGGCTACATTCCACAAAAAATGTAAAAAAATATTCATGATGTTTGTAAATATATGGTGATTATGAAACATGTATGCTCAAATTAATTTGGTATTTGGACAAGATTAGTACATGTACATGTACATTAATGTACTTCCACAATTGTAATAAATTACATTTAAAGGAAGGGGATAAAAGTCCATTTTGCTTCTTTCATCAATTTTAATACACCCCACACTCTGAAATCGAGGTACCATATACCATTTTCTAATTTTCTTGGTACCTTATACATGGTACATTTGGAGTAAGGCATTATATGGTACTGTTTGAGTTCAAAATATGGTACCATACAGTACCATATTATGTGGTACCCTTTTGTGCAATAGTTGAAATGGTACCATATGGTTTTGTTAAAGATTGGCTATTTAGGAAACAACTTTCAATTTGATCAGTTTCATTTTTAGAGGAGTGAGGGCCGGCAATCTGAAATGTGTTTTATTACTTTTTTGGACAACATTGGAGTCTTGACTCAGACCCTTATTATGGTAATAGCACTAGAATACATGTAAGTTATTCTTCTTTTGTAATAAAATGTTAAAATATACACTTGAACATGTTTTATTCTGTTTTATTCTTCTATGTGAATTGTAGTTGTAAAAGGTATTGAAGCTTTCTCTAGGACAAAATGTAATCCGCTTGACTCTAAATACTAAATTGACTAAATATAGTTAGTACCTCAGTTGCAATACTCTATTCCAATTGGTTAAATAGCAGTTAAGTGTTCTTCAGGTAAACCAAAAATGAGATTTGCAAATTTTCGATTTATTTCTAAATCTTCTTCAGGCAAATATAAATTGTATATATTAAAGCAGTATAGATAAATTGAAAAGGAGTGGTATCGATATGGTGAACTTTTTGAACACGCGTTTCTCTTAAACCAGTCATCAAAACATTCTGAAAATTTTACACATCGTCAATTTAATGGTCATCTTTTGGATGGTAATTTGATACATATTTATATACTTTTCTCTATATTGTTTAAGAAAACACATAAGACACTTCTTTTTTCTTGGTATCATATGTTTGGAATGAAATGAAACATCTATCCGAACCTCATTGGAACAGAACGACATAAACACAATGTGTTTAGGTCTCTCAATATTGTAATTGTACAAAGGAAAGTTTGGTTGATTTTAAAAAAGTGTCTTGTTAATGAAATAAAATGTTTATCTTAATTTTTATCTATTTTGGGGTTTTTCTGCATACTTTTTGTAAAATCAACCAAAATTTCATTTGTATAACTATAATATTGAGAGGTCTAAGAAAATGTTGTATATGCTATTTTGTTCCAACAAGGTTCGGAAAGACATTTTATTTCATTCTCAAGAATTGGTAGAAAGGAACAAAAAACAATTGCACTAAAAAACAAAAAATTTAGACAAAAACAGTTATATAAATTATATAAAAATAATGTTTGCATTAAATTGTTGCAAATCGGTCAACATTACATAAAGGACAGTGTTTTTTACAGAATGTTTTCAAGAATTGGTTTAAGAGAAAAACATTGTTGAATTCAGTTCACCATATAGATGCCTATCCTTTGTAAATCTCAATCTTTTTTGATGTATACACAATGATATGTTTGTTGCAGTTTTGTCTATAAAGAACCCTGCGATACCCTATCTGTAATTTTGAAAATACATGCACAATAATGAAAAGAGTAAGACTATTCTGGAAAGTGCTTGAAATGCATTTATGGCGTTTGTGTTTCTCTCTTATATTTTGTGGCATGTTGAAGTGTCTATAAAGTGTCTACAAGCTAGCGATAGTAAACAGCTTTAATAACAATTTTCAAATAAAACATTAAATTCATACTAGAAATTTTATTTGATTCTTATGACTGATAATTAAAATTAATGATATATTTTTATGTACAGTTATGGCAATTTTAGGAGCAAAAAATAACTTTTTAGTTAATGGACTTGAGCATTGTTTCCATTGACTTTCTAGTAATAGGCCATTTGCATAAGTATTCAATATGGATAGATTGGGTATAGACAAAATGTCTTTTTATCAATTTTGGAACACAAATGCTTTACCCTATATGTGTAGAAAATCTGTTAAAGATAAATAATATGGGAGCCACTTTGTATAAACTCTGATTTGTTTATTCACATTATGTTTGATCCAGCTGTGTAAACTAGTAGTTTCAAATCTACTTGACAGATTTTTTCAAAATGGCAGCCATCTCAACTTTGTAGTTTTTGGAGTAGAGGCAATCTGTGTTGGGTTTACTCTATCTGGTTCAGTTTTTTTGCACATGCAGGAAAATGAATAAATTATTGTGATCCAAAGAAATGTTCCAAAGACAAAAGCATCTTCCAGTGAACATGCAACATACCCCTATATGGTCTCAAAATGTCAATATCTTCATTAATCATGGACCAATGCTAATGAAATATGGGTCAAAACACTGAAAATTAAATTTCCTTTTGACTTTTTTAAGATATTTACATGAGAGGCTTCTCAGATATTGGGTCACATGGGGTAACTTTGCCCCCTCCAACCGTTTGTATAGGTAACATGCCCCTTAATTGTTCGAATGGTTAAAACTGCTCCAAAATGGTCAATGGAAGTTTGAAATGTGTTTTCTGCTCAAATATTGTCCCATTTCTCATATGGTAGGGTTTAAACTTATATCTGTCACTGATCGCTTTTTATAAGATCATCCAATGTGTTTCAACAATTTCTGTGAATCACATTGGTAATATTTTGCACAATATCCAATTATAGGCATGTTTGTTAAGTCTTGCAATTTCTTCAAAATTCAAGACTGAGAATGAAGTATGGCATCAACAAAAAGCGTATCTCTACAAGATTTTATAATATGAGCCAATTCATGCATGGATAAGGAAAATACAGCCTGTTGCAGGGGTTCACTTTTTGGACCACCCTGTATATATTTCTCTTATTGTTTTAGAAAACACATCAGACACTTCTTATGTTTTGTATCATCTATCCCAACAAAAGAGAAATGCACTGAAAAACAAAAAATGTTAACAAAAACAGTTATTTAAAATATATATAAATAATTTTTGCATTAAATTGTTGTCCATCAGTCAACATTACATAAAGGACCGTCTTTTTTACAGAATGTTTTCAATAATTGGTTTAAGAGAAAAACATTGTTGAATTACTCAGATGCAAGTAGGTAGTTACCTGTTTCGCCACCAGGTGGCTGATTCGGGGGAAATAACATGGCAGGGTATTATCCTTTATCAAGACAATAACAAAAACACTGTATCAGAATTATAAAACTCAATGGAACAAAGATATATTAAATTACCCTGTCTTGAGAACTTATGTTAAATTCAAAAATGTCTTTGAAAGAGAGAGTTATTTAAATATCCAAAATAAAAATTACAGGCAAGCAATTTGTAGATTTAGGCTTAGTTCCCACAAGTTACATATAGAACTTGGTCGTCATTTAAAGCCAAAGCCAAAACCTGTAGATGAACGTTTATGTAATATTTGTGGTATTTTAGAAGATGAACAACACTTCATCATGATTTGTAAGAAAAACACTACAGAAAGAAAAAATTGTTTGACACCCTTACACGATTTAATTTTGTAGGCAGTCCTGACATTATTTTTAAAAAACTAATGTCTCACAAAAATTCTTATGTAATTTTACATTTAGCAAAGTTCATCTATCATTCACTCAAAAATTGGATTAATGTGTCAACGTACATCACACTGATATTTAAATTTCTGTCAAGTTATATTTGTATTTTACAATTATCTTGTATTCTGTATTTTACATTTGATGATGTAATTAGAATTGTATTTGACAACAACTTTATTTTTGTATTCAATAGTTAGTTTAGTCTTAGGTCAGTTTTGTAGATTGTAGTTTTTAGTGACTAATATGTCATTGTAATGACATCAGAGAGTCAATAAAAGATATATATATATATTACAAAATTCCCTTAAACTTGAATATGCATCAGTTTTAGTGGTTTACTTTTCATGATAGTTATACAAATTAAAATATGTCCAGTAAAAGAAAATATTATCTACCCAACACAAGAAAAGATATTTCACTTTTTGTGGTTTTACAACATGGGGTCTATGGGGAATCTCCCCGACCTAGAAGTCACATTTTTAAAGAAAATTAAATTTCAAAGTTGATAAACTCTTTTCAAAACCACATTTCTAAATGTAATTTTACATGTTGATTCCAAATATGACATCAGTTTGACTGAATAGTGAATTTTTAATGACATAAATCAAGATTATTTCTACTCGCATCTGGGATATTCAGTTCACCATATCAATACCAATCCTTTGGTCCACTGAATTTTTGGCTTTTGACAGATGTGATCTATATTTGAAATGGTTGTATGTATGCCATGTGTAAATTTTGCCAAAAGGAGGCATATATTGCCCCCGGGGGGTTCACTGTATATAAACCTTGACGGGGATCCTCGGCGCACATGGGGTACCTTTTTGGACATTTGGTATGGCAATGGACCCAAATTTTAGGATGTGGTGTGAGAATGCCCCCTCATTTAACTTGTGAGAGATGGAAATGGTCAGATTTTTCAACTTTCTGGTATGAGAATGGTCATGGAAAATATGTTATCTCACAATTATGGTATGGAATTAGTCTAGTAGTTACACATATCCTAATATGAGGTTGTTTTATTTCGTTTTCCTCAAAGATCGCCTTGTTCTTGGGACCTTCTTCAGTTTAAATAAATAGCTTTTTCCCCAGGAAATATTCTACTTTGGACCAGACATGGCATTGGTATGGCATTGGTCCTATATTTTGACATTTGGTATGGCATTGGTTTCATATTTGGGCATTTGGGATGGCTTTTGGGCACTATATCGGTTGGTATGGGAACACATTCAAATTTGACATTTTGGTATGGGAATAAATTGATATCTGAGGGTTCAGCCTAGGATCCCTGCCAAATTTTGTACACAGTGAACCCCCCGGGATATTGCCTTGTAATTCCTAGCATGAAATATTCAAAATTAGGAATGATTTGAGTTGCTGTATTTCTAGTTGTTATTTTTACTTGCAATGTTGTCATCCCCTTCATCTCTAATTCAGCATTTAACAAGATAAAACAAAAGAACAATAAATATTTATCTGCATTTTGGGATTGGGTCAGTGAGAAATATAATTGCAGTACTAGTATTACAATTTACAACACAGTAGTATGGGAGCAAATGTCATTCCGTGTCCTTTTTAGAGGCGAGCTAAGCGACATATATTTTCATGAACTATACGTGATACTTACCAAGAAAAATGATGTTGGCAATTCTGAATCCGCGACGGCGTTGCTATGGTAACCAAGTAAATATGCCACGCCCACTTTTAGGGGCTCTTTTCAGTGTATGACCCCTATCTCTGTCATTTTTGTTCAGATTTAGATGAAATTCACACCAAATGAACGCTAATGGATAATGCAATCAGGAAATATTAAGTTGGCAATTCTGGATCCGATATGGCGTTGCTATGGTAACAAAGTAAATATGCCACGCCCACTTTTCGGAGCTATTTGCAGTGTTTGGCCCATAACTTAGTCATTATGGCTC